AATGTTTTGTCATATGACGGTGGTTCTTGTTGGTCGTGCAAATCCTAAAGTGCAAAGGAAAATCGTAAGAATTAATTGTGTCATGGTTAAATAGAATAATATTATTACAGTTTATGACACGACTTTAACAATACAAAGAATGAGTCAGTGATGGCAAATGCAATTCTATAAGTTGGTTCTTTAAAATGGAAAGGGAGAAGATTAAATAGAGTGAGAATTATTTTTCCGATCTTTTGGCAAATAATCAATCCCGAGCCAGCTTAATTCATGCACCACAGTTTCTTTCACAGTCTGCTTTGCTAATAACGAATCTAAACTATTCAAACCATTTTTGCTAAAAAACCAGCTATTTATGAACATGCTTAAATAACCCCTCAATTCTACTGTGGAAGTCTTTGAACAGCGATCCAGCATCAACAAAGAATTAGATAACATATTTTCACGACTAATGTTCCGATGAACCTGTGACGAAGCGACAGGGGATATTACTTTTTTTATTTTGTTGAGATAAAGCCTTTTAATAACAGAGTAGTCAAGCTAAAGACTGCCTTCGACGCGGGATAAGGTTTTAATTGCAAGACTAACAATATCCCTGTTAGGCTGTTGAAAACGATGAGTCTTATAGAAGCCATGTTGAAGGATATCATACTTTCAACAGGTAGAAGGTAAATTCAATTTATATGATGAAAAGGGGACGCTACAAATAAATAACTTAGGAACAGTTTCAGACGATGTAGCATAACTACAGGAAGAACTGGCTAGACAACGGTTGTTTACGTTGGTAAAGATATGGAGCAACTTGACAATCATGATAAATTTATCTAGCCAACCCAAACATAAACATTCTTTGGGCGTGGTCATAAAAAAGCTCGATGCAAAGGATGAAGGGTTTACTAATACGTTAATGTAGAAAAGTAAATCTCCCAGTGGCATGCAAAAGGTATGGTTAAAAATGACATAAGGAGAGCCCCAGAAAACTCAGTAGTTAGTAATAAGTTGTAGTCATAATAAAAAATAATTCTTTTTTCCAAATTTTATACCCGCCATAAAGCATCATTTCGCCGGTATTTACATGCTAGATGGCATTGCCAGGTTTTATTTAGTAATACCAGGTGCACTGTCAAAAAAGTTATGCTTTTAAATGCAGATATATCAATGGCTTTTGTTTTTAGACAGTGTCATCAAGACTAATTTATATCCACAGTAGTTAAACAAGTGACAAAATTAAAAAAATTAAAATCGACAAATTAAAATCCGTAAATAATACCAATCAGATAGGAAAAAGATGTGTGTGTGTGTGTGTGTGTGTGTGTGTGTGTGTGTGGTTAAAAGCCAACTGAAACAAAAACACTAATGCTTATCTCCTTATTGTAATAATTTTCTATTTTGCTAGTATCTAAACCAGAAGCAATTTCAAAAGTATTGATAATTATGACTATTCTTTCATCTGGTTTCCATTCCAAGAAATACAATGATCATCCTATAACAATGGACATTGATTAATATATCAAGTTATAGATAACAATAGGCCGGCGTTATCATTTATCTCAAAATGAATAACGATAATTTTTAAACGGGGTTACGCATGGTTTGATTCGTGGTATAAGAAGTATATCATCATTGGTGATTAATTATAGTAGCCCGTAAGAATAAAGTTCCATAAATAACAACATTCTCCCTTAAATGGAAAGATCAACCAATTACTAATCCATAAGTTCCTTTCCACCTCACTTCTATTCAACTACATCTGCAAACAGACAACGCACTGCAAAAGAACCCATCTGCCTGAAAGAGAAGATTATTGCGCATACCTACTTTAAAACTTTTAAAGGCCTCGATCACTAAACCCAAAGCTATAGTTAATCTCTTAAAAATTTATCTTTCGGTCTTATTGGTTTATATATCATTGATATGCAATAAAAAGACTGAATGCTGAATGAGGGTCAAAGAGCATAACAAAAAAATAATCCAATCTGCCACTGTCAATGGATCCACTTCTTTGAGGGCTCTTCAGATTTATCTCTAAATGTATTAAATAGATGAACAACTTGTTGTTGTTGGTCTAGTTCGTGAAACTTCTCCGGTTGTCGGAGTTGCTGATGTTAGTGGTCTTGCTTTGACTGATGAGTCCTGTACTGTTCCTATTGACGATGAGTTTATTCCACCTATAATTATGGACCCAGACTTTCAAAAAAGACGGCTAGACATCTTTCTTTCTTGCTTCGGAGAAAACGATTGTTTCGAAGACACGCCGTATAAACCAAAAATAAAAGTTTTTTTTTAATTCGTGCTGCTGTAGTTATTGGATTTAAAGAACATAGAGTATCTCTTGGACTGGTTTCCGGAAGTCAAGTTCTTGAAGTAGACCAATTCGTCTGCTGCGGGTATTTTTTGTTCTGAAAAGAAAACTTCTAACACTCTTTTCGTTGCTGAGTCTGTTGGTTCTGAGGAGATAGTGGACTATGAGAACAACCAGGTCAAGGCTGAAGGTTTGACTGGTCATTTGAAACGGTTTTAAACAAATTGAATAAAAAAAAATATCTTTCTTTATGCTTCGTCTACCCTGTATTTTTTTTTCTATTTTTCTTTTCTTACTGATTTATATTTCAAATCCAACATTACGACTACGCGCACCGTGGCTGTCCCTAAGAGACCCGAAGGATTAAAGAGTCTCATTTCTTTGCTTGTTTATTTTTACCTTTATATTTTACCCTTTTATGCTCAAATTATTACAACAATGTCAAGTTCTGCTCGTTTTTGTGCGTCAAACTAGGCCAAAAAAGAAGACAATAAGTATTTAAATTAAACCCAATCGTTCACTTAAGAGCAAGATCAACCAGATTAGTCTTTTGGATGGAGTGAGGCTTTAACATAAGAGTTGCATATGCATGCAATAAGGCACATATCCGTCCCCTTCAATACGATAATATATATTCTAATGATAGATTTTACTATTGATTTATCACTATTTCTATGTAATAAGAACAAATATATTTATCTTTCATCCATTTCGTTCGTAGACTATGCTTGGAATATTAATTGATTTTTGTGCGATTATTTATTTCGTCGCTGATCGACAAGTTTTATTCTAAGCGTGCGCTAATTATTTATGCAACTAGTTTCTAGGATGGCGTTCAGGCTCCTATGAAACAATATTAATACAAAAATGTTTAGCATAATATGTCTCTAGTTTTTTATTGTGGGTAATTTTAATAGAAACAAGTAATATGGCCAGTAATATAGCCTTTTAAACACGTGGAAGAAAACAATGACAAAATTCGTCCCACAAACAATCCGCAAAAAAAAGAAACAAGCCACAAAATTAAAGATGACAGGCATAGTCAAACCGTAAAAAAGCACGTGTTGTGTGTTACTTGTATGGGAAAGTGCCTAGTTCATGTTGCGATTTAGTGGAAAGAAACAAAAACAAGAACGATATTGGCTGTATGATATATGCATTTGTATTTTTGCCGATAATGCTGTATTTTTTTCATATCAGATACGCATCTTGTAAATACAAGGTTTTAATGTCATTTTAAATGTTATATAGAGCAATTGAATGCGAGTTGGGAAGTATTGAGCTTTTTTTTTAAATACGTATCAATATAGAAACAATCATACGGGCTCGTAACCATCACATTTCGGAAAAGGTCCCTAAAAACCATTTTTGTTAGTGTTGTTGTTTTTATTGTTGTACGAGCGAATGTGTGAGCGTGTGTGAGTGCATAGGTAGTGCATACGTAAACAATAGATAAAATAGCTCAAGATAATCAATTTTTTAGATTAGATGAGGTGAGCATCAAATTATATAGTAGTAATGCGCCTATCCCGGATACGGAACAAAGTTTCATAAATTGTTTGTTCCGTGACTCATTGTTTATGGTATGATGATTTATGATAAAATACACACTTTGTATACAGTACTTTAAACTTTGGTATTTATAGTGCCACTCGTTGGTCATTTGGATGCATATTGTTTATCCATCCCCGTTAAAAGAACTTTACCCAACTTTAGCCGAGGCTATAAAAAATTCTTTCATTGGATGGGAAAACCAAGTGGTGTCACAAGGTCTGGCGGAAACACCCATCAACTTGTTTTGCTCCATGCAGAGTAATCAATGCTCGGACCAAGCTTTTTTATTATTATTTTTTGATACAGATGCAAGGATCTTCATTTGGATATGCGGTCCATCGGCAAGACATCAATCTATGCCCCTTTCAAATGTATTATTGCTTTATAAAAAAAAAGGGCATATCTTACCTGATTTGTAACGCCAATTAAAATGTATCTCCAACGATAAGATCGCCCACGATTTCTGTACATCACATACAGAGGAATACAATATTTTAATTTTCATTAAAATCAGCTGAGACTACTACCCGATAAGATATCTTTTTTATGAAATGGAACCCAAGGAGGCTTGATACATGTACTACAGTAAGTTTTATTTCATTAAAAGCTTTTTTTTTTAAAAAAAAAAATCCAGCCATAATTCAGTTGGGTGTAAAAAAGGAACATTACATACATGGCATACTGAACAGTTATACAATCTATTTATTAGCTATACCTTACAAAATATGTGATTTTGAGAGAGCCTAACATTAGATAAAAGTGGGCAGGTACCCAATGATACAGAGGAAAGACCTAAATGATAAATGAAATAGATGGGTTAAAATGAAGAGGTGGGATTTGTTTGTTGCAGTACAAGAGCACGAGCTCTTGAGTAACTTGGGTAAGTATATTATTATTTCCTGTTTGTTATGTACGACACTGTTATGTATGCTTTGCATGAACAGTTTGTATAAGTCCAATTCTTTGAACAGTAGTGATGGTGATGGGTGGTGGGGTCGGGAGGGCAATATTGATTGGGGTCACTTGGTATGGGAACTTAAAAAAAAAAATTTAACAACAATTTGGTTGACTTATCATTATGTCTTATTCCTACACGTGTCACCACGGAATATCCTCCCCCACACACATCATTATATTATATTTTTTATTATCTAAACTGCATTTCAGTCTCTTCAAATAATTGTCTTTCCATTGTTTCATGTCTTAGGTTGTAGGCTTCAGCAATGATCTATTTAAACAACATTTAGGAATAATTAAAAAAAACCTGGCTTTTAAAAAAAATGTTCTTACAGGTCGCATATCCATAAAAGGTAAACGAAGTAGCATCGTTCGGATTTCGGATTGTTCAAGATCCTCCAAATTTTCCCTGGCATTTCGTAGTATCGCTGTATACATATATAAAAAGATGAGTACTTTATAATATATATATAAATAATATTATATAATACTCACCAAGACAAACGAACGGGTGAAACTCCAAAGGATCCGGCATAGCAAAATAAGAATCTAATCATGTAATATGAGTGGTCCATTTACTTTTTAAAAAATGAAATAAATGTTTACCCCATAAGCGAATTAAGTTTTCGAATTTCATTTCTTTTGATAATAAGTATTGTAACCAAGATGTTGTAAATTCATTTAAATCGACTTCTTCCTCTTCAAAGTAATTCCGCCTATTATATAAAAAACGTAAGTAATACAAGACAGGATCACGCGATTTTCTCTAAATTTACAAGTCAGGTAAAACATAACGAAAGAGTGTCATAAAATTCGCTACTTGTTCCTTCATATTTGTGGTATCATATTCATCTACTACTCAAAAAGGTGTTAATATGAATAAGAAAGAGATAGACGGGAACATACCAATGGCTTGCATGAGTCTTTCAAAGCAAAAGTAGGCATCACACTCTTTTTCTAGGGAATAAATAAATGGGGCACATAATGTTGTGAGAGAAGGATGATATTCAATATCTCTGTTTGCATTCATATAGGCAATAAGAATGTTTTCAAATCTCTCCGTATAATGTTTTCCTGCCAACTCTGGTGTTCGATTTTGATATCTGGAGACATCGCCTCTTATTTTCTTTGATATTTCTGGGTTGATTTTATCCATTTGTTCATATTCTTCACTTCTTGCTTTAGAGCTTGACAGTTCTTTAGCTTGAAATAAATTTTAAAATCATTGATTATAAATTATTTTTGTAATTTAATTTACATCGATCTGCTTGTTCAACACCAAGAAGAAACTTCCAGACCTCCTTTTAGATATATATATATATATATTGTTAGAACACCCTAATAATCCAACTAATTATACACACTTACCCCGCGAAGTTTATTAGGAATACCATGTCGGGCTAATATCCGCAGCCTTTCAAGATCAACATAGACTTCGGACTGAAGAATCTCGTTAAAGTCATTCAAAATAGACAAGGCTTCATTCTGTTGCATATTTTGGTATATTTGTTGTCTTTGGGTACGGACAACATTAGGCTGGAGTTGAAGCATAATAAAAAAAGAGAAAATAAGTGTGAGAGAGTGATGTAGGGGGATAGAAAAAGAAGAAAAAGAAAAAAAAAAGACAAGGTGGTTTGATTTAAATGAAAAAAAATAAAAAAAAGGTCCACTTTTGAAAGCCAGGCGAGTTTTTTTTTCTTGCACGACATGAACCTTAATTTATAAACAGTAACAGGCTTTTGATGAAAAAAAAAAACACTATTTTAAAATTCACTTGATTTCATCTGCTGATTATAATAAAAGTATCAACTGGGGAAATATTAGAGTTAGAATGTCAAATACTGTAAATAATAGTAATAATAAATCCTTCTAAATACGAATATATTCATAAACATCCTGTTTGAACATGTCGTCATAATCACCAACTCGGAATATTTGCAATTACAACTAAACCGTCTATTTAGCAGCATACCATGAACCCCCCTGACGACATCGTTCATAAAGGCTAAATTGATTTTACAGAATAGATATAGTTTATTTTTTTATTTCTTTATTTAACCTGATACACAACCAATGCCCATAAGTAACAAATTCATTTTACACTGATATAGTATCTTCAAATAAAGAATATCAATAATAAAAAGGGGTTGGTCATCTATGTTAAAGGGGGGTTTACAGCCTCTAATTGATTATCATCCCACCATGTAAGACACCGAAAACGTACATGGGCTTGCGTCATATCCGACTGTCAGCCATATCTTTAGTACAGGGCTTTACCCTTACCTTAGAGGATAGAATTGCTTTTCTGGTTGATTAAAAAATTGATTTTTAGAAGTAAGAGTTGTCAGTAACGGCAAAAGCATTGATCCAATCAAAAACGAGATGACGTTTCAGTCGGAGTCTCTTTGACTTTTTTTTTCTTAAGTAAAATACGTAACGCGTCACTTCTTAAAAATGTGTTCGTAACTCTTTCTTTAACATATAAAAACAACAAATTACAATGGAAAGACTTCAACGTTTATTTGGATCTGCTGCTGCCGGATTAGGACAGGTATGACGGTGTATAAGTATCAAGGACGACAAGAATAGCTGATGTATCTTTTTATAGGGCATGCAACCTGGTATGGATACACCCACTGTTGATAACGCAGAAATGGTCTACATTTCTTCCCTTGCTCTCTTGAAGGTAAACAACCTATAACCTCCTAATTAACAGACTGCATTAACTAACATTCTAAACCACAGATGTTGAAACATGGTAACTTTTTTTTTTTAAAAAAAAACTGGGAATTTAGATGGATGAGATAGATGAGAGAAAGTGTATTGACACGTAATCATTGATAGGTCGTGCTGGTGTTCCTATGGAAGTCATGGGTTTGATGTTGGGTGAATTTGTTGATGATTATACCGTCCGAGTTATTGATGTTTTTGCTATGCCTCAAAGTGGTACTGGTGTATCCGTTGAAGCTGTTGATCCAGTCTTCCAAACAAAGATGTTGGACATGTTGAAACAAACTGGAAGGTACAAGCAAATTCACTTCTTTTTTTTTTTTTTTAAAAAAAAAATATAGAATTTTAACATTTCTCCTTACAAGACCTGAAATGGTTGTAGGTTGGTACCATTCCCATCCCGGTTTCGGTTGTTGGTTATCCAGTGTAGATATCAATACTCAACAGGTAAGGAAGATAAAAGAGTTGTAGGAGAATGGGAAAAGGCTAAATTTACAGCGTGTAGAGTTTCGAACAATTAAATCCTCGTGCTGTTGCAGTTGTTGTTGATCCCATTCAATCCGTCAAGGGTAAGGTTGTGATTGATGCGTTCCGTCTCATCAACCCTCAAACCGTGATGCTTGGTCAAGAACCTCGTCAAACCACTTCAAATATCGGTCATTTAAATAAGCCTTCTATTCAGGCTTTAATTCACGGTTTAAACAGACACTACTATTCCATTGCTATCAACTACCGTAAGAATGAATTGGAAGAAAAGATGTTACTTAACTTGCATAAGAAGGATTGGACCGATGGTTTGACATTAGAGAATTTCACTGAACATACCGAAGTCAACGAAAAGAGCGTCTCCAACATGTTGACATTAGCAGAAGCATACAATAAATCAGTACAAGAAGAATTGACCATGACACCTGAACAACTCAAGACAAGACATGTTGGTAAACAAGATCCTAAGCGTCATTTAGAAGATAAGGTCGAGTCCGTTATGGGTAACAATATCGTTATGGCATTAGGCACAATGATTGATAGTGTTAGTTTCTAAATTTTGCAAAAAATGTATAAAGCACAAGAATAAAAAAAAAAAAAATAGTGATACTGCCAATTGGGAAAGGATATATTATTATTATATTTTTTTGGGGGTAAAGAAAACTCTTATTTAAACTAAATAATTCTAAAAGAAAATACATGATGGAGGGGGATGAAGTACAATACATATTATTTTATCTGAATCGAAGATAAAAGTTGACCTAAATAAAAATGTTAGCGTGTTAAGTTTAATAAGACTTATGTTTCTGCTTACAATAAGTGCCACAACCAATAAAAGACAAAGTACAGCCGGGCCCCATATGTCATCATAACGTCCGTCAATGCGACGATTAATCATCCTATATTTTATCATCAAAAAATTTTAGTGAAGCTATACAACAAAAATTATACATATCACTTACCAAGCACGTTTTTCGAATCGATACAAGGCATAAATGGCTATACCGGCAGATAGACCAATAAAGATACCACCCACCGTACGTGAGATGGTATCACCAAAATTCAATAGATTCAAGGCTACCGTTAAAAGCAAGGCACAGAATTGTAACCATGCGATAAATGTACGTTCATTAGCAAAGAATACTTTGGGCTCAACACGGACTTTGACCTTTTGTTTTTTGTTTGCGTTTTCACCCGGATCTGCTGCAGATGCACCTAATTCAAGATCTTGTGATTTATCACTCTTTTTTGAAAATAAATTTTGAATCTGTGGAGGGAAACTAGAAAGGATGCCTCGCGTCTTGTTATTTTCAGACGTTCCTGGTGCTGCTGCTGCTGGCTTTTTTCTTGGAGGTAAAGGCGGCAAATCTGTATTAGAGTATTCTTTCACGTTTAATTCATTGATAGAACTGGAAGATCCATTGTTTACAGCAGTGCCTGTAGAGCTTGATTTTCGGGATGATTTCTCTCCATGTTGAACCACAGCTTGTTGATTGGCACGTTCTTTTTCTTCAATCATGGCTCTTCTGTACTTACCATCAATCAGCGGCTTAAAACTCTTGGAACGAGTAAGACCAATGTTTTCAGCGCGAGGTTTACGGATATCGACATTCAATTCTGCCAACCACCAAGGAAGTAATGGAAGTCTTTCGCGATAGAAATGACATGCACCATGCAGGTACTTTGAGAATCTTGGAACTTCGTGCACCAGATGGCTTTCGAGCAAAGAGGTTAACCAAGCTGGAGGTTCTTGACCTAAATGTGTTTGAAGTTTTGTTTCTAATACGGCGTAAGGAAAGCGAAGGATATCATCGTCTTTGAGGTGAGGGAAGGGGTAATCGATACCAACATCATTTCTACGCCAATTATAAGTGGGCTGTCTACGGGTGATACCGTCCAAATGATCCTCTCGGATGAAGGTAAGATCTGTATCAAGTGAAATTCGAACACGTTGATTATCAGGTAGTTGAAATGCAGTACGATTATAAAAGGCTCTTAACATGGGTTCTATGCGCTTTTCTTTAAATGACTTTTGAACTCCTTTTGCAATGAAACGAACGTTCTCGACAGTAGATTCTTCGGTTCCTGATTTTCGTTGAGCATCAGCTATTTGATCAGCTGTGTAAATTCCCGACATAAATGGATTGACCTGATTTTCTTTAATTCTAAATCTGTCCTTCACCGAGGCACCGTCTAACCATGAAGCGTGATGTGTTTTTCGCTCGATAAATACACTTGTTGAATTCATGGGCCCATACCTATTATAAGAAGAAAAAGGGAGGGGAGAGGTTAGTAATAATTATATATCAGCCGTACATGCTCCCTTAAATTCATTATTACCATCTAAATCTGATGGCTTCTGCTTCTTCGTCTCTTTGTAATCTACCTGTATATAAATCAAAATTGGAGTTATCGAAATAGGTACTGGATACAGCTGAGTCCGAAGGTTCCCATTTCTTGTCCTTATTAAAGATCAAGACGGGTAAATGCAGCATGATGATTGCCTTCACTTCGGTGATGTTATCGGGATGAATCCAATATTTAGCTGTTGCTCTTTCAAAGGCATTTTGGTCACCACCCGATGCGCTATTTCCTGGAGATTGTTTACCTCGATTACGACATATATCATGAAGAGCCGAGATATAAATGATGGCGACATCAAAGCGTTGTTTATCCAAAGGTTTCTCTCTCAATTTAGTGATGAAATCATGCTTCAGATGCAAACCAGTCCATTTGTCGTGTTTTTTTAAAATCTTTTGGATGGCAACGAAATTGACACGGGTGAAACGGGACAAGTCATTTACATCAAATAAAATTTCAGTGAGAGCTTCATCCATAATTCCGTAATTTGCATCAGATGACATGCTAGGATTTTTCTGGAGTGTCTGTATAGTGCGTTCACAGTACAAGATACGGGCATCAATTTCGGATAGTTTAGCATTAACAAAATCATATACTTTGCTGAGTTCATTTTCTAATAAATTGGTGAAATCACTTGCATCTTTTTGCGTCCATCCATGATCCAATTGACGAGTCTTCAACTCTTGTTTAAGTATGTCGTAGGACACATAAGAGAGACGCCAAGGTCCGAATATATTCTGTTGTAACTCTTGTCCATATTTCATTTTTTTCTAGGAAGAACAATAGAAAAAAAAAGAGAAAGAAAGAAAGAGGAAGGAAAGAATTATTAAGGGAACACCTATTTATATAATAACAATTGATGTACCAAAGAGGTCTTACATTAGTTTAGACAAAAGCAAATCATTATATGTGCGTGGTTATTAGTTGCTTATAGGAGAATACATTTAGGGATGAACAACAGTTTCATATTTGCATGTTTCCTTTTCGTCCCCCCTCGCTTTTTCTTATATACAAAAAAGTGATTTTTATATGTCGAATTGCCACAATAAGCTGATTCTCCTACTCTTATTTATTTTTTTTTCCATAAAAAAAGTACCTCCCATTCTCTCTCTCTTGACTGGTGCATATATAAACAGTTATTGCTTATAACTAACTAATCTATTCCGCGTAATACAAGATCAAGCTGGACCGCGCTTAAAGACAATAGAATCCTCTCAAAGCTACTTTTCTTATGCACAATAGCAATGAAAATAGTCTTTCAATAGCTCCTCTTCAATCAACCCCTATTTCTCCTTTTTTTTTAAGAAGAAACACATCAGATTGCTACCCAAACTAATTTATCAGCGATTTTCTTATTTCCTCAAGTAGCATAGTCGCCTTTTGATTATTTCTCACCCCCTTAAAAGTTGGTATACAACAACTGCTATCTGCCATCAATTCTGTGTGTGCAACCACGGTCCTGCGCGAATTTACACATTATACAAAAAGCTCCTGCATGAATTTTATCATAAACAGAGAGAAGCAAAAAAAAAAAATCAATCTGGGTAAAAAAGGTCTTTTACTATGAAGACTATATTCTTTCATGTGATAAAAAATTAACTGCTTTTATTTTTTCTACATGTGGTGGTTAATAAAATAATAATAACTGTACGATTATTATGTTTATATTCGTAACTAGACAGTACTTCTATGTTATCATATGTCTGAAAGGCATTGTCAACGGCTGTAAAAAGGTATGACCCGAAAAACCTTTTGGGTATGTATATGTCATTCAAAGGTAAGAGTATGCGGGTCATTGGCTAAAGATCTGACTTTTAGCAAAATATGTGCGTATAAATCACGAATGCATAGAAAGCCCCCCTTCTTTCAGCAAAAATACATAAAAACAGTCATTCAGACCATTGTTTTTTAGACATAACTGGTAAATGAATTATACAAGGGTTGACATGGCAGCCTTCATGTAAAGATTTGCATACACAAAATACGTTCTGGTTATTTGATCACATCCAGGTTAAGAATACTTATCAAATCGTATCCTACAATTAAAATTGAGGTAACACACACGTACCAAATAGGCCGAAACTTGACAAATGATGGATCAACCGTGATCAATGAGACCTGCTGCAGTTTCTATATGCATTATCAGTTGTACGCAACAAGTAAAATGACACGGGATTTCGTAACAATACAAATCCAACAGATTTTCAATAATAAAAGGTCTCAAATTTACGGACGAAATTGTGAATTGCTAACGCTCAGAATCATGTCAAAGATATTAGTGGTTTATTTGTCATAGAATATAAATAGTTCACCAAATACATGGCATAGTGTCGAGATTATAAATCATAATCATCATCAGAGTCATCATATTGCTTGCGATTGTACTATGTCATAAAAAAAAAAAGTCCCGTTAGCTTTTTTTAGCATAAATTATTACTGAATACTTTACCACAATGCGTGTTTGGTTTGTGTTGGAATCTTGTTGGTTCATTTGACCCAAAAGATCGATCAATTGCTTTTCAGTGACTTTGCTTCTCAATTGGTTTGTTTGTGCCATTCTGATTAAAAGATCTTCAACTGCACGAGCTTTATCAGCTTTCACCATCTGAATACGACCCACTACATCATTCAATTAGTACCTTGTCTTTATTGCATAGTTCCGTTAATCTTACAACGTTCACGGGCAGTGTTATCCAAAATTTGATATAACTGAAAAAACTGTTAGTATATACAAAGTATTGTTAACACGGAAGGTTGTTTACCATAGTACGACGCATCTCTTCCATTTGACTAAGCAATTCATTGTAAGTACAATGCCCAAATGTTAAAAAAAAAAAATTAAACGAGTATTACCCTTTCTTCTCGGCATCTTCCTTGGAAGCACCACCAGCACCACCCATACCACCGGCGCCGGGAAATCCAGCACTCTTTTTTTTTTTTTTTTTTGAAACGGATGATTTAGTACTCATGGAAAGCTGTCTGAGGTGGAATTTCTTTTCTTTACCTGTTGTGGTTGAGAGCTACCTCCTTGTAATTCTGCTAAACGTCTAGCTCTGATTTGGGCAAGTTCGTCGTCTTCCATGTTGTTAAGAAAGGTATAAAACTATTTTTTTGTCATTTTTTACGTGTGGGGGGTACTTTTTTACGCGCACCCAGATTTTTTTACGACTCCGAACTTCCTAGTGCAATGACATACGATTTTTGATATTCTTGTGGCAACTATATCGCCTGATATCGCATAGTCAATACTTTGAGACTTATTCCGCAGCTTCAGCTCGCAGATTTATTTGGCATTGGGCGCCGAAATATTCACTAGTCATTCGTTGTATGAAAGAAAAGAGGAATCGATCAGTCTATCCAAAACAAACTATCAGGAAAGATAGGTTTTGTATTAAGATGTCATTCCACGAATGATTTGCGCTAGGCTTTACTTTTTTCTGGGTTGAGATAGACGGTCAGCTTTATACCGCAAATACGATTAAGAATAAGCATGCTTAGTGATGTCTTTCTGTGTTGCTGAAAAACTACAGCTAGCTCAACACTAAAAGACTCCTAGTCATTTTTAACTGGCGAAATAAACTTCAATTTTCGGCTTAAATGTATGTCCTGAACACGACGGGCGTTTCTTTTGTTAAGGCCAAGTTCTCAGAAATAAACTGCGTATATCCTTAAGCATTAAGAATCTTTTGTATAAGGTTTTACAAAAAAGTGATTTGAGCACTGTAAGATACCAAACAAGAGACACCTTCGATTGTAATTTTCTCAATGTTATTATGCAAGCAATTGGAACAAGTTTTTAGAGGTCATATACGGTGACAGAGCCACTTAAGGTGAGCCCTTCTCGACCAGCCTTTTTCAGAACGTCATGCAGAACCCGGGATTGTTTTAAAGAGCAAATGAGTGAGTTATAATGGAACCAGCTTCACAGCGACTTATTTTCAAACATGATTCTTGTATAACTAAAAGTGCAAAACACCCAGGTTTGTTGGTACAGCCCATTTAAAAGATAAAGGTGCGTATTTATTTATTAAATGAGATCAATGCTGATGTTCTCAAAATCATATATTTGGTTGTAGACATGAGTTACTCGTTCATTTCTACCAGTTAAGTGTTCTTCCTCAAACAACCCTGCATCACTTCAAAATTTCTTTGAGCCTTGAGCAGTAATATTTTTGGGTAAGCTGCATCTATCTCAATATACTTTCTAGTAAAAGTGCACAACAAAACAAGGATTGACACAGCACATTTTAAAGCAGCAATCCGAGAATAAAAACCGCAGTCCGAAAAATGATGTCACGGGGAAATGGAAACGTCATTCGGCCAACAGTTTGGATAAAGTGAAAAATAAACGGGTGAACATTTTTTATTTGTTTAAAGAATCATAAAATCATGGCAGGAGAGAATTACATTGGTTCAAAAATTTCTGTAAGTTTGGTAGTGGGATCTATGAAATGTAAAATACAGATACTAATAGAGAATGAGTGTATAGCTTATTAGTTTGAGTGACATTCGTTATGTTGGTATTCTTCACAGCATCAATGCGCAAGATTCAACAGTAGGTTTAAAGCAAGGTAAAAAAGAAGGAGAAATAATCATCGACCTGAATTCTTTACTGACCTGAATACTGGCTTGATTATAGTTCGTTCTTTTGGAACAGAAGGTCGTCGAGGAAAACCCGAAGAAGAAATTCCTTCTTCGGATAATGTTTTTGATTACGTTGTTTTTCGTGGATCCGATATCAAGGATCTGCAGGTCTTTGAAGCTCCTCCCAAGCCTACTCCTCCACCTCAGCAAGCCATCCCCCAAGACCCTGCTATTATGGTAAGAGAAACTTATAGTCACAATATCCCACACTTTATTTAAATACAGGTTTATATTTATTTATAGAGCATGAGCGGTTATCCTCCAATGAACCCTTACATGAATAACGGATACATGCAACCCCAACAACAGCAACATCAGTCTCAACCTCAACAGCAACAGCAACAGCAACAACAAGCACCTTCCAGTGGCAATCAAAAGTACTGGCCTGCTTACAATGATCAAGAGTTGGAAAAGGCCAAACTTGAAAAAGACACGATGGACGGATTAAAGGCCGAGCTTGAGGAAACGGATGCATTACAACCTACTATTAATGAAGCTGCTATTGAACAATTAGCTAAGAAAGTCAGTGAATTAAACGCGAGCGATGATAATGTGATTTCCAACAAACCTTTGGATGACCAACATCAACAGCAATCTCGTCGTCGTTATGACAATAACAACAACAACAATTATAATAATAACTATCGTGGCAGAGGTGGTCGTTATAATAATGAACGCTCTTTCAACAACAAGCCCAAGGCAGAATTCACGATTCCTACATCAGAATTCGATTTTGAGGCTTCCAATGCCAAATTTGACAAAAGTGAAATTGTCAAGAAGGAGACTGAAGAAGTCGATTTTGAAGAGGAGGAACTGGAGATTCCTTCTCCTGATGAGTTTTATGACAAGGTAAAAAGAAGGATTTTTTTTTTGTATTACTGCCATTATCTAAACCTTATTTATTAGACCTCTAGTTTCTTTGATAATATTTCTTGTGAATCCAAAGAACGTAACGAGCAACGTCAATTAAAGTAGGTTTTAATCATTAATATGATGAAAAGGAAAGGGAAAACTCAAAGCCTGTTTTTTTTTTACTATCAGTGAGCCACGCCGTAGTCATTTCCACGAAGAACGCAAGTTAAATTTGGAAACTTTTGGACAAGCTACAGTGGACCAATCAAGATACCGTAATAACTATAGAGGTCGAGGCAACTACCGCGGAGGTAACCGTGGTGGTAACAACAATCAAGGCTATTATCGCAACAATAACCGTAATAACAACTATAATAACAATAATGGTTATAGACAAAACAAGGTATATAAAAAAATGTAGTAAATATATAACAAATTACTCATTTATTATTATTTTTAGCCCCAAGATCAACAAGAATCCATCTAACAACACTAACAAAAAATTATCATACTCTGTCACTTATACATGCTCTCCCGTACTACCTTCCCCCTCAATCAGCAATAACAAAAAAAAAAGAAAAAATGAAGAAAACAAATATTACCCTAATAAAACTATTTAAAAAATCCATAATGCTTTGCCTTTGCTGCATAGTTCTGTCATTTGGCATGTTTGAATGCTATTCTCTTAATACGCACCTTTAGTGATATATATATATATATATCGCGTCAGATAAGGTGATACCCGTAAAGACGAACTGCTGGTACATCTCTGACATATTAAGCCTTTTGCACGATGTATCTTTGCCAACTATTATCAAGTTGACTAAATTAGAGTATTGGGCAGGATCGTTCAGACTGGAGTCAGTCTATATTTCTTCTGTAAAGAGATTAAACATGTTGACGTAAATTTTTACTATAGTTAGTTCCATTTATCCTATTGAAGGTATTGATTGTACGTGTTAAGCTCTGCTGTAGGTCCATTTCTTTTTCAATCATGCAACGAAAGCCAGCGGCAACAGAGGAGAAAAGAAATTCAATTAACGCGCCGTGACTCTTTTTCTCCAGCACCAGACGACGTGAAGACGAGTTTTTTTTTCATGAAAATAGATTTCTAAACTCTTAATAAATCCACATTATGGCAGACGAAGAATTGAATAGCAACAAGCGACCTCTGGAAGATAGTCCTGAAATTGAACAAGATGAATCTGGTAAAAACGAACCTTTAAGTTGGGAAGTTAATAAAAACAGCTCGACTAAACCTTTTTTCGTGTTTTATAGACGATGATATCGGACCTGTTCTTCCTCCACCTCCTTCTGAAGAAGCACCTAAAAAGAAAAAGAGAAGTAAAGAGACACCTATTTATCAAATGAAAGCTCATCTACTGACAATTGTAATAAAGCGCTTGCCTATGAAAAACTTTACCTTGAACATTTACCCAACGCCGACATGTACGAAAAGAGTTATATGCATCGCGATGTTCTTAATCAAGTAGCCATCACAAAGTAATGGAAAATAGTATATAAGGCAAGCATATGCTGACATTTATTTTTATTTTATTTTTTTGCTCGAACCAGGAACGATTTCGTTGTTACTACTTCTGTCGATGGTCATTTGAAATTTTGGAAAAAGACAGCGAGCGGCATCGAGTTTGTAAAGCACTATAAATCGCATATGTCTAGTATCGTCGATATCAGTCTTTCTGCAGACAATGAATTATTAGCCACTATATCTGACGACATGTCTTTAAAAGTGTACGATATCACCAATTTTGGCAAGTACAAGTATGGGTGCAATAAAAAGGGGGCAATGCGACTAATACCTTTGTTTAGATATGATCAACATGATTAAGTTAAAATTCAAACCTAAAGCTGTGTGTTGGATTCATCAAAAAGGTCAAGCTCAGGCACTTGTTGCAGTGTAAGTTTTTAAAGCATATACAGAAAGGGAGGATGACTAAAATTAAAACGCAACGCTAGTTCAGAAGCAGCCAACACCAATATTCATATTTACGATGGACGTTCCGACGGCAAACCCCTTCATACATTACCAAGCATGCACAGCAAGCCCGTTCATCTCATTGAATTTAATGCTCGATTTAATACGGTCGTTTCTGTTGATTCGCTTGGTATGATTGAATACTGGTCCCCTGAGGAACCATTTGAATTACCCCAGAACCTCGAGTTTGAAATGAAATCTCAAACGGATTTGTACGAATTCAGAAAGAAGAAGTCTGTACCTACCTGTTTAAATTTCTCCCCCGATGGTCTTAGTTTTGTCACAATGAGTTTTCCTGATCGTCAAGTCAGATTATTTAAATTCTTGACTGGTAAGATGTATCGTGAATATGACGAGAGTTTGCACATCATCAGTGAAATGCAACAAGCTGGCACTTCCTTGTTCAAGTTGGATGATATGGAGTTTGGTAGAAGACTGGCTGTTGAAAAAGAATTAGAAAAGTCGAGTCAAGCAAAATTTGTCAATGCTGGTAAAAAAGAAAAAGTATGGGATGACTAGAAGATCTCGTGTGTATTAACTTTATGGATAGTCTTTGATGAAACAGGTCATTTTATTATTTATGGTGCATTACTAGGTATTAAGGTCATCAATATTCTTACGAACAAGGTTGCTAGAGTCATTGGTAAATCAGAATCCAACCGATTTGTCAATATGGGATTATACCAGGGCGCGCCTAAAAAGAAGGGTATTTATACTTTGGCTATGGCAGCCTCTGATAATGCAGTGCTTCGCGAAAGTCAAGAACTGGATCCTACCTTGTTCTGTACAGCTTTCAACAAGAATCGGTTTTACATGATGACACGTAGAGAACCCTTTGATAACGGACAAAAGGGAGAACGTGATGTTTTCAATGAGAAGCCATCTCGTGAAGAACAAACCGTTGCTGCTACACAAGAGCGTAAACAAGTACTTGGAACCAGTGCTATTCTACGTACAACCTCTGGTGATATTCATATGCGTCTCTTCCCGGATGCCGCACCGAAAGCAGTTGAGAATTTTGTCACGCACGCTAAGAATGGATATTATGACAATCTGATTTTCCATCGTGTGATCAAGGGATTTATGGTCCAAACGGGTTGTCCATTTGGTGATGGTACGGGTGGTGAGTCCATCTGGGGTGATGACTTTGAAGATGAGTTTTCAAGAGAATTTAGACACGATCGTCCTTATACCGTGAGTATGGCAAATGCTGGTCCCGGTACAAACGGAAGTCAGTTCTTTATCACTGTTGCTCCTGCTGTAAGTTATATGCCATGTTTCGTTTAATAAGTCACTAACATATGTATATATATTTGTTTTGTAGCCATGGTTGGACAATAAACATTCTGTATTTGGTAGAGTTACAGCTGGTATGGATGTGGTCCACAATATAGAAAGTGCAAAGGTAGACAAGACCAACAAGCCTTATGATGATATCAAAATTATTAATATCGAAATTCGATAAAATGTATAAAATAAAAAAAAAAGGAAAAAAGGAATATTTATTTAATCATCACTCTCACGAATCACTAAACGTTTACCAATCTTTCGATTGCTGCTTCTGACGGAGCGATCACTGGGTGATGAACCAGCACCACTATCAGATAAGGTATGATCACTAAGAGCAGGTTCGTATCCATTGTCAAAGTAGCTATAGCCGTCAATTTGAGCTTGATATTCTTGTTCTTCCAAAGCAAGCATACGTTGACGCTGAGATACACCGCCAGGGTATTTCTCTTTCAACAACATGGCCTTGACATCAAGCAAGTATTTCTTTAAAGTTTGCAAAAAGCGTTCTGTTTGACGATGTTTGGAAGATGCCACAAACTAAAAAAATTGTGTTACTATTATAATCATATTCATCTAGAAGAAATAACTTACTGAAATGCGGTCTTCTTTGATGATGTAACCAATACCGAAACCATTGGAAACAACCGGGCCGAAACCAAACAAACGAAGTGCAGGGTTACCACAGTTAGACGTACTAATAACGGTGTTATTCAATGTACTCCAACCAGCATCAACAAAAATTTGAGGCTTTTTCTCGTCTTTGTGAAGTCTATCCCAGACACATTCAAGAGCGTATAGATGACGATCTTGGCCTTGACCTTTGGAGCATTCACGAGTAATGTTTGTATGTCCCTTTAAGGCGGCTCTAAGGGAATCCAATTTTTCAGAAGCAGCAGCCTTTGTAGAGAAGAAGCTTTCAACGAATTTCAAAGACTCAGATGTGACAGAACGAATAGCTTCCGTACGACCGTGTAAGAAAGTCTTTGTCATGGCAGGTTCATAGGTCGACTCGCATTTACCATAGAGACCATAATAAGCAGCTTGAATAGCCATTTGAACAAAAGCATCAGGTGACATCTTCATATCTGTAATAAAGTTCTTGCCGTAGTCGTGAAACTCGAGCACCTTAATTTCATTTTGCAAGATCAAATCCGAGAGTCTTGTTTCGGCAAAACGTACACCCAACTCCACCTCTTCAGTCATATTCCATTCGATCTTTCGTGGATTATGATCAAAATAGCCCGTAGAACTTTCAGTGGAAGAAGCACGGTGACGAGTTCCGGATTGACTATCACTTCTTTGACGATAGTTGTGAAAGATGGATTGAGTCTGACTATTGATGGTCTTTGCGAAACGTAAAATGGTATCAGTGTATATATCAGACACGTAACGTAATACAGTGTGGCCATCGACACCTGTGATTGTGTAACAGTTAGCATTTTTCCCCACATTTTTTTTTTTTTACATCATCATACCTGTGTGCTCAAAATTAATACCAGCGCTACCGTTTTGACAAACAATAATCTAATTAAAAAGTTAGATAATCCAGTAACACAAAAATCTGGGGAAACTGAAAAAAAAAAACTGATGTCTTTTTTTGTTTATACTCACTTGAAGCTTATCGTACCATCTATTGGTACACGTTCCCACCTGCATGCCTTGCTCCAAATTATAAGTTCCACACAACATATTGTTACTCAAATCTTCAGAGGAAGTGGGCTTTACATGATCGAGACAGACGATGAATAGAGCGGCATCTACGACTTTAAGTGCCTCACGATTTACAGGGTCACTTTTCAATTGTGTTCTTAATTTAGCCCAGTTACGACGGTTTTCAGTAGTTAAGATGCCAACGGCATTTTTGGCAATTTCGGTCACAGGAGTTTGGGCAGAGTCTCTCAAGATGGCACGTAAATTAGCCGCGATTTCCTTTTCAGAGAGCACAAAATCACCGGATTCATCAAATACTTCAAAGTGATAAAATTGGGAGTGAGACATGACCGCAATATGTCTACCTACAATCTCATTGTTGGGAGCAATATAACAACCGTTTTCGGTAGGCACACGAGCGGTAGCAAATAATCGACTGAACTGAGACATACAAAGTGGAATACCACGGAATACGTCAGGTTCAAGTCGTTTGGTCTTGAGTGCGTGTACGAACGTAAGCGTAGAATAGATCAATGAAGAAGCGCGGATTACTTGATCGTTACGGAGTGGGGTTGGGTCATCTTCCAGCAAGAAGAATGGGTTCAAGTTTAAAACTACGGGATCGGTATAATGGAGATAAGAGTCGTACCAGAATTCTTCAATATAGGAGGACTTGTCAGTAGCATAAGTCTTGAGCTTTTCTTGAAGGACAGGGCCTTCCTTATCCAAAAATTCTTGAACAGACTTCTTTGAGGCTTCATGTTCTTGTGCAGACTACATATTACATATGAATATCGAAGCTAAATGAAATTTAAGCATAATGTTACATACCTGCAAGGGTTTTAATGCAGCAAGATAGCGCTTTGCAGTGTCTTGAAGGTTGGGAATAGGGAGTTTTGGCAATTGGTTTTGGTATTGGAAAGTCTCACCATCGGTGGGCTCATGTTCAAAGCGAATAGTCATGTTTTAGAGAAAAAAAAGGGGGATAAGATGGGTTGAAACAAGAAAAAAAAAATAAAAGGGTTTCCCATTTATAAACAGATATGAAAAAGTGTGGGGAAAAAAAAGCTTAATATTTTTATTGGCTCTGATTGGTGTAACGGTAGACATTGGTTTCTCTTTTGACAAAACCCAGCTTTCCGTACAGTCTATTGGCTGCTTCTCTTTCTGGACGACTGGTCAAGTCTATACTTTTAGCCTTGATCATTTTCGCACGGTCTATGGCCTGCGTTATAAGGCAAGACGCGATACCTTTTCCCCGATAGGTCGCATCTACAACTACGTCTTCTATGTGTACCCGGACTCCAGTCACACAATATAGAAATCCCATTGTCGTGGTCCCAACCAATACATCTCCCTCCATGGCAACCAAAATACACGAGTGATCAGACTTGATGGCATTAGTTACCGATGCCTCTTCAACAGATGTTGAAAGTTGTTTTAGTAAGTTTAAAAGTTGGTCTAATAAGTCTATAGTCAAGTTGTTATCGGTAAGTTCTACTATTCTAATCATATGTAACCCAAATAATCAGAGTAATAAATTAAAAAAAGTGAAGAGATCTTGTGGTTAAAAATTCCCAACATCCGATTTATTTCCAAAAAAAAAAAAAAAAAAAATTAACAAGCACAACCACTTGATTCCGTACTATCAGATGTGTTAAGATCGACTTTTTGCACTAAAACAAACAAATAAAGATTTAATAACGAATATAGATACACATAAACAAACATGACAACATTTACTTTGCTCTTTTCCACCAGTTACTTCTGTATCCATCCCAGGTAATGCTTGAGCAATACGCCTAAATAATGCTTTTACATTATGGCCTGCTTTTGCACTTGTTTCGATAAACATGACGTTGCAGTCGTTTGCCTTTTTTTCACCTTCCTCTAATGTGACTTCCCGCCTATCGTTTAAATCCGTTTTATTTCCTACAAGTACAATAATAACTTCGGTGCCCCGCTCAGCACGTACATCTTCGATCCATTTCGAGGTATTTTGAAATGAGACACGACTTGTAATGTCATACACTACCACTGCGACTGAAGAATCTCGGATATAACTTGGAATCAAACTTCTGAATCGTTCCTAACAGAAGAAAATCTCAGCCAAAAAGGATCTTCAACATCGACATTATTTATTTACTTGTCCTGCGGTATCCCAAAGTTGAAGACGTACAGTTCTATCTTCTAAATACATTGTTTTACTCAAGAAATCGATACCGATAGTGGCCTAAAATTAAAAAAGTCATGTCAGCGCTGTGATATATCAGTTTGATTAAATAATTTTTTTGTTTTTGTTTACTTGATATGTATTGTCAAAAGTGTCATACATAAATCGAGTGATAAGCGAGGTTTTTCCAACTACAAACAATATGGGTTAATCTATACATTGGCGAAATCATGAAAGGATGATGTCAAATAAGACATACCGCTTTGTTCACCAAGGAAGACAAGCTTAAACTTTCTTAAAGGATTACTAAATTCTTGACTCGTCATTGACTAAAAAGTTTATAGTAATCTAGAAGAAAAAAGAATTTATTGAACGGGGATTAACACAAAAAATTATAAATAAAGACATCTGAGGTAGGAGTTCCTAATATTTATGCAGCCAAAAAAGAAAGATTTATTCGTTATGAAAAAAGGGGAAGGGGAGGGGGTAGAGAAGGGGTTTATTTAAGCATCGGATAGCTGAGCTTGAGAAAGTCTTGCTTCTAAGCTACGTAAAGCTTCTTCCTTGTTCATCAATTCAGCTCTTTTCTCTTGGATTTCACGCTGAACTTTTAATTCGATTTCACGAAGCTTTTCTTCTTCTTTTCTCAAGTGCTCTTCTTTCAAACGTACACTTTGTCCTGTCATTTCATCAGCATCCATTGAACCGTCGCTACTACTATACTAGTTAGTAAAATAACATAAAAAAATAAAGTGCATTTATTATTGTTATTAAAAAAAGATATGTTTATTTACTCTTGATCTCCACTATTGACTGTACGACTAAGTTTTTCAGTACGGTAATTCTCATATAAAATATCATGAGTAATCTCCTTGAGGTCTTGCAAATGAGAGCTATTACTGGTGTTCATTAGTATCATATATTATTCTCTTGTAAACATTAAAAATACCTTAAGAGGGCTGATCTTAAGCGAGCAAAATCCGAATGTTGGGGGTTGTCCACTATAATTATTATTTAAGAAAAGAAAAAGAAGTGTACAAAAAGAAGAGTGAGTATACGTAGATCATTATCTAACGAGCTATACCTTCAACAGCACCCCAGGGGTATTGTCTACCACGGACAGACCGTCCATTAACTGTAATCTCTTCATCACTACCGATGATGGAAAATGGTAAAAGAGCTCTCAATTCACTGTTCTCCTCAATTGTATCTTCATCATCTTCCTCGACATCATATGGGAAGTTGTAGATACGAATATTATAATGTTCAATATCTTCCATAATCTAATACAAAGATGTTAATATCTAGTCCATGTTATTCGAATCTAAACCAGTTTGTTTACTCTTCGCTTAAAATCCTTCAGCTCTAAAGGTGTAAGTGAATCAGCACGACCAACCACAGGGATAACGTTGACACGAGGACTTAAACGACGCATCAACTCAATATCAATTTCACGAAGGCTACAAAAGGGGGCTAACGTTAATGATGTTGACAAACAACCTTTCATAACAAACACGTACGCATGACCAGTAGGAGAAATAAAGTACAAGAGAGCATGAACACGGTTATCACGGAAACGAGGATTACGCTTAATTCTTGACTCTTCAGCCAAAATATCATCGTATTGTGTCTCTAAATGACCAACGATTTCTTGAAAACTAGATTTGATATATATCAGTTTCAAATCCGCATAAAACCATCTCCCAGACTAAATTACCATTTCTCGTTATCAATATTGTCACCAAACCCAGGTGTATCAACAATTGTTAAGGAGATTCTATGTTATGATATAAGTATACAGGGGATTCTCCCTTGAAAAAAAAAGATGACCCCTTCCGGCCCAGTTCTCAACACTTTACCTAACACCATCCTCGTCCAATTCTATAAAAGAGGGTCTTTGTTTAGATTTTAGTTATAATAGTAATCGAAAAATAAACTTTACCGACAGAAACAGGCTTAATAAGAATTCCTTCTTCATTGTGTGCCTCTTCGGGGTTATCGCAAATCTTTTTCGATAACACATTGGAGTCACAAAGTGTATTCACAAAAGTAGTACGACCAGTACCAGAGGCACCTGTATCTGGAATTAACATCTTACGCTTTTTCTTACACGAATTGACTACTTGCCTACAACCATCAAGGTGAATTGGAACCCTTTCTTTACGTTCTTTCTACGTCCTCCTAGTCTCTATAGAATAAAGAAGTTGAATGATATGCACATGAGAACTTCTTGTATAACCTTACGTGTGCCATTTTTATTAAAATAAGTTTTGTTTACTTGATGAAAGAGAGAAAAGAAAGAGAAAGAGAAAGAGTGAGCAAAAGATAAACAAGATGCCAGCTAAAGGAGAGAGAAAAAAGGGGCGAGTAAATAAAGGGACTAGGAAAACAAGAAATAAAGGGGACAAGTTGTCTTGAAAATAAGTGCATGGAAAGACAACAGTAGTAAGGAGAAAGAAGCAAACCATTCTTTACATATTTAAGAATTATTATTTATTTATTTGTTTATATCCTCCTTCTTCTAATAACTGGTCTAAAGTCTTTTCTGTGTTCAATTTATGCTTGTTTTTTAAAATATTCCATATCGAAGTTAATCTTGTAATAAAGCCATGCTGTAAACACGTATTTAATACAATAGAAACACTCTCTTCATCAAAATTATCACTTGATTCTGCGGTATCCCAAATCTCCAATACCGAACTTCCGTCGCCTACGATATTATATGCATTCATTAAGTGATTAAACACCTTGATATCAGGATCAAGATACAGATCCATTCGAATCAATTTATGAATCTTTTCTAGAACATATCCATCTTTCTGTTCCGCACACGCCTTCAACATGCTGATGTACATTTCGGAAGTGGGCTGAATTTCTAAATGGCGCATATCATTAAATAATGTCAATGCTGTCAATAGTGATGGCTGTGAGTCTCCTTCGATATCCTGATAAATAGCTGAATCCACATCCTCCACTGAATATTCATATAATGGTTCGACCGTGGGGTCAAATCGAGTCTTGTTAAGCACCATATTCTTATTATCGGTCAAAGAACGGATCATGCTGCCATAGGTCTCGGCATCTAACTGTAAATTTTTGACCGAGCTATTGGGCGAGTCCTCGTGGTCACGTAACTCATAATATATCTCCATGGCCTCTTCGTATTTGCCATCATTAATGTAAGCTAACATGAGTTGACTGTAGGTTGTAATGTTGGCCAAAACGTCGTGGTCTCGAAAAATCTCGTCGTAGACCTTTTGTGCTTGCGCTGATCGTCCATTTGACGCTAATTCCGTTAATAATGAATTGTATGTTTTCGCGTCCTTATTGTTTACTTGCTGTAAAACTGTCAAGATGGATTCGGCATCTTTGGTATCGGGAATAGTACATAATCGTCGGAACATGGGGTATGCAATTGGCATTCTGTTATTTTGAATAATTAATGGTCTATGAACCATACGACCCAGACTTCTTGTTAATCGTGCTATAGACATATTTGGAATTTATTCTTTTTAGGGACGTTGGTAACAAAAAAAAAAAAAAAAAAAAAAAAATGGTTCTAAGAAAGTTTTTGTTTTGATTAGTCTTTGAACCCTGGGCTCACATATTCTTCAAACAGCGATAAGCGGTGGAATTTACGGCCCGGTTGTCCCTGATTCCCGCTACGCATACGTTTTATACTCTAATATAACTTGAAAGCTATAGTTATTGCACGCGTCAAATAATAGTAGAATATTTTTTATTTGTTACTGTTTGAATTAATAATGGAGCTATTTTATACATTTGTGTTTAAACAATGGCATGGGTAGGACGTTAACGCTTTGCGACAGTGACCATCATACCTTCCTTCATCGGCAAGGTCAAGGAGATCTGATAGGTTATGTTCTGATTACTGAGAAGAGAAAATTTATACTTCTTTACTAAATATACCATGGCAACTAAAGCCTCAAGAGTAGCCAGATTTTGGCCTAAACAAACCCGAGGTCCTGCATGGAAAGCTGCATAAAATATAAGCATATTGTATTTTATCTTTTTTTCATTTTAGGTTGTCTTACCTGGCCATTGACCTTGCGACTCCCGACGAAGATCCCCATCTGCTGTTACCCAACGCTCTGGCTTAAACTCTTTAGCATCAGGTCCCCAAACGCTTTCGGATCGGCCTTGGGCCCATGGACACCACATCACATAATCACCCTTCTTAATATGTGTACCATCAGGCCAAATATCATCATTTAAGGCATATTTTTGATTATTGGGTACCGAAGGAAATAGTCTCAGCACCTCATAAAAACTAATAAAATAATTAATCTTGGCTATAATTATTTTTCTATATGTAAAGTACTTACACGGCATGGGCGTATGTCATTGTTTTGATGGCTTCGTATAATTCCGCTGGCTTACTTGTCAAATCGTCTGTGATATTCTTTGTAATTTCCTTTAAAAGCTCGTTTTCAATACGAGGATGCAGCATCAACATATAAAATGTCCAAGATAATGCTTGCGCCGTTGTATCTCTTCCCGCAATAATGAAATTTAGGACGATGTCACGTAATTCTTTATCGTTCAGCAATTCATCATTTTCGTTATGGGCATTCATAAATCTGGACAACAAATCCTGATGATGCGTTTCTCCATTGGCCAATTGTAATCTACGACTTGCAATAACTTCATATGCGAACTCGTCGACTGTTTTTAGGTGTTGAGGTACAGATTTTTTCCATGGATGAAGAAGGGTATAGATAGGTTCGGTCAATTTCCAGACAGGATTGATAAAACGCTTAAATCCGTTTAATTGACATTCATCAAACGATGCGGCGAAAGGTACTTTTTCTTTGCTAGCAACCGCATTTAATTTAACGCCAAAACCAAGTCTAGTTACAAAGAAAGGAAGTTAGTTTTCCGGCATGAATCAGTGTTAAATACACCTTACTCGACAAATGAATCCAAGGTAAATTTAAACATGACATCATGAAAATCAATCACTTCGTGACTCTTAACAGCTACATCCAAAATACCGGTGAACATGCATTCAAGCTCTGTTACAAAAACTCTGTAAAGAATATGAGTGTGACATTTTCTTTTGTGTTTTTTTCTTATTTGGGTAAAATTACTCTGTAAAATGATCTCTGAAATTTTTCACATTAAATATATGACTTGCTGTCTTTCTTTGATACTTCCAACGGTCACCATTGGCATTGAATATACCGTGACCAAATAAATCTCCCATGGCATTATTCAGTTGTGGGCCTTTGACATAATTCTCAAAATTATCTAGATTCAAAAAGAGTTTAATCATTGTTATTATTACCTTAAGAAGCACATGATATATTACTTTTTAAAATGTGTTCGATATTTTGCGGTGAAATGGTTGCGATTGAGCGAGGATTTCCTAAAATGGAAGCCGTTCTATTCTATCAATGAGTAAAAAAGAGGGGAAATGATCAACTCCATTAATAACGTACGTTGTTAATGTATTCAATTTTATAAATCCATTTAACAAGAACTCATGCATTCTTTCAGCGTTATATATGATTGCAGGTAATGCTCCAACAATTGGCCAACCACCATTAGATGCGATATCTTCGCGCTTTTCATCAAATATAGCACGATCAGGGTATTTAAGAGCACATACACCGATAATAGCGGCAGATACGCCGATTGTTCGAACGAGAATGTTATCTGATAAAGTAGTCATGAGAGTTGTAATATTTAAAAAGGGAAGAAAAGAAAGAACAATAAGTTCATTTGTTTGAGCTTTTATGTACATTTGACATGGTTGCACATTTACCATTTTTATGCAATTTATGCTGATAGATAGAATTCATATTATCAAATATTAATACAATATATCTATATTAGCATTGTCGCTTTGTACCTCAACTGAAAACTTCAAAAGTGTATTAAACTAAAAAAAAAAAATCATACATGTAAGCGTTTCAATTGACTTCCGGTTAAAAAAAGATTTGGTAAAATTATAGTGTCTCTTTAAGATCATTTTAGTACTACAAATGTCAAATAAAATATAAAAGGTAATTGAGGTTTCACACAGCTTCTTATGCAATGGTATTTTGATCACCCTTATTATGGTAAGCTGATTCGACAAACGGAACCCCACACGTATCACATGTAACTAAGTCTAATGGTCCTCATGTGTCATAAATCTATACTTGGGAAATTTTTGTCATTGACATGAAATAGCTGGGGGTAATTAATCTGTGGAACAGATATAATAATAATCTTATAAACCCTCTGGTATTGACAGACACACTGGTTTTTATTTGCAATACATCTGTAATATTTGATCTAGCGCTAAAATACAACTATTTTTTGGGGTAGTTGTTATAAATTATTTATAACATTCGCACAAGGTTTATCATTTTTTAAAACATAAAAGCTGAGAAAGGAACCGCTTCTATATCTGTAACAACTCTTTTAATTCCAATTTGAGTCTCTAATAGCTTTCAGAAATATGGTCGTTAATTTAAACAACATCTTACTATTTCCGTATAATTTGGGCCGAGTGGCTGCAAAATTGGGTCTACACTATCAAGGTTAGAGTTTTAGCAATTTCAATATAATTTGAGACATGTCTGAAGATTTTTTATTGGGGTACACCATAAACTGGTAAATTGATGGCCTTGGAAAGATAGAGATTATGCCAACACAGGGTAGATTAGATTAAAGGCTTCTTTGTCACGTTGTCAATCATCATAGACTCGCCAGTCAGACATTGTATTTTGGTGTTTAAAACAAAGTATTTTTCTAAATGCTATAACCGTTTATAAGAAACTTGTTTTCATAGATAAAATGTTTAACAGCTTGATATCACCCCTGGAAGGCTACTGAGTACCTGTGTACACATTATGTAAATTGTTTGACTATAAAAACTGATGAAAAGTGACAAATAGTGTTAGGCTGCTGATAGATCACCTAAGCAGCTTTGATATAAAGAGGAAAATGTCTGACTGAAAGGTATGGATTATTTTTCAACGTTGCTAGCATATTTGGACATATTTAAACATAATGCGAGTATAAGGAGAACTCATGGGTTATGATATCTACAATGTGTCTTAAAAATGACTGATAATACGTACAGTATTAAAATAAATCATTTGTATGTGGTGCGGTAGAGTACTATTTGTTTATTTATTTTCTTTACAATTTTTGTCCTGTCCATGGATTCCTCTTGGATACAACAAAAAAATCAGTACAGGTTGTCCTTAAAAACTTGCCGAGATAACATAACAGATCTAGGAACCTGATTGTAGTGTAGGTACAATACCAATTTAAGGTTTGGTTCAAAGCCCTGTACTACACATTTGTTGCTTTAAAAGAGACTTTGTGCCCATTTATTTATTGAATTACAGATGTGCACAAGGAAATAGTTTGCGATCACCCCTGTTTGTTCTATTCTTCATAGTTTTCTTTGATAAAAAATGGACAACGATACCAGTTTAACCGACTTCTATGATTACTCTGTACATAGACACTGTGTTACCTTCGGTAAGTCTGAGAATAATCATATCGCTGTCTGCTATTGCTTATTTGTAAAATAGGTTTTGACGAAAAGGGGGCTCATGCAGGTATCTTTTTTACCAGTAAATCGAGTGGCGATAGCCCAGACAATGGCCCGTAAGTATTGTAAATTTATCTTGATTGAAATAAAGTACTGACGATGTTCTGTTTTCTTATTTAGGCGAAGAAGATGTTGTATACTCTACAATGTTGCAACTAAAGAAATTTTGGAACGAGACTATGATACAGCTAACGAAATGATATTAAAGAACAAGGATCCAAATGTGTTTTATGTGGATAACATTTTCATGAGGCTATACGGAATCTATCAAAAGAAGGAGAAGGACAATCATGATGAGATTATATTGCATGCGGTGGGTGTGTTTATGCGAAAGTTGGTAGATGAGTATCAGTCGAATTTGAGCTGTGAACGAGAATCCTATATGCCCTTTCATTTTGGATTTCTTGTCCCAACCCATTGGGATCATGCGATAAGAACAGAAATAATCCGTCCCCTCTTTGTTCAAACAAAATTGATTAACAAAGACGATGATGATCGCAGATTGTTATTTCTAACAAGGCTTGAATCGGCGATGACGGATATCCAACACTCAGAAAAAAAAATGGTTGAAAGGAAAAATATCGAAATGGTTCATGGCAAAAAGTACATTCTGTACGATTTAAAGTTTGATGAAGAAGATTTGAATGTCGGTTTGGATTTATTTTCAACTCATCAGCCTCCACCATCATCAGTTTACCCCTACTTTGAAACGAAAATACTGCAAACTTTAATAGTTAAAATACCTCTTAACTCTGACATGGAACATGGCATTGAAGAATGTCTCAAGAAACGAAACTTTGGATTTAAAACTACTCGGTCAATTGAAATTCTAAATGCTTTAGTAAACCATTACAAACATCACAAGGTAAGGAATTGAATGTTTTAACTAGCGAATTTTCTCACACACTTGTCACTTTAGTTTATTTTTTCGGAAAAAGATAAAGATGAATATGTTTATCAAGAAAAACAGCTATACAAATACCAGCCTTTCAAAGCACTTTTCGATAAAGACAACAAACCTGAGGCAACCTTACTAATCAAAAAATGCGATCTCACCCAAGAGGAAATTGAAAGTATCCAATCAATAACGACCAAAGAAATCCACAAAGATTTGTTTACGTCAGCTGAGAAAGCGATTGTATCTAGTGTCGAGCGTTTAAAAAGGTACGAGGATTCAAGATTACGCACAGGTATTTTTTCTGTGCTCGACATGCCATTATTCTCATCATATAACTTGCGATTCAATGATGAGTTCCATGTGTACGCTTCATGGTTATTATTCACCTGGTTAAAGGATTTTTTTAAGGAACACGGTGTGAGCGAACTCAAGTCCCAATTTGTGGAAAACCGCGATTCAAACCTTAGGTATCAAATTAAGCTCGAGGATATGATGAAAGGATTCCAAACTCAGATACAATGGAAAGTAAGGGTTTCTCATATGAATACACCGCCCGCAATTAAAGAGAGACCAGCCATAAAAAATTGGGAGGAAGCTGCACAGTTATCTTTATTTCCAAAGTCGACGATATTAAGATACGCTATTGAAATAGGTAAAGCTTGGAAAACAAATTTCATTGTATCCGATTTAGCAAACACTGATGCATACCACATCAATAGCAATTTCACCCCAAGCCACACAATTTTTATGCTCAACGCTGGATGAAAAAGGTTATGTCGAGGAAACCACTGGATACAAAGACTGGTAAGTATATTAAACAACCAAGGTAAGCTTGTGGCTAAGTATATTAGTTCGATATTTAATTTAAATCGCAAGATACGACCCTTGGAAGATTTTGTAATTTATACAGAAATGTATCAATGTCCACTGCTGCGTATCAGCAAAAGGTAGCATGGAAGTTTCAAAAGAAGAAATTATTATACTCGAGTTAATGCCATATCTATTTTACAATAGAATGCTGAATTATATGGAGAACAATTTCGACGATATTATAGACGATTTTTTATATGGTGATCGGAAGCCAACCAAGGATATGATTACAAGAGCTGGATTAAAGTTCAGGGACTGTTTCAAAAAAGGTGAAATGGATACATTTTTTACAGAAAACTCAAAAGATGTGGATGTGATATCTCTTCGTCAAAGTAAAGAATTTAGCCACCTTTTTATGCTGATGTATCTATGTTATGTCAAAAAAGTGGTATCAGATGAACTAGAAGAATTCTTAAAATTTAAATGGAAGGAAGTAAATGTTGGGTTTGTCATGTGTATACAAAAAACTGTACTGGACAGTATGAATATTTCGAAACACGAACTTTTACACGAATTACCAGCAATTGATAGTATATTCGAAGAAACCACAGAAAAAAGCAAGCTGCGCATAATGATACAAGGAGAAGTTGTATCGCCGGCGATTCAACAAAATTTAAAATTACCGCTCAAAATTAAGTCTTATTTTGTTCTTGCTCAGCTCTATGAGAATTACGTACAACTTACACTGCAACATGTTGTAAAAGATGCTGATTCAAAGAGTGAATATGTTTCCGCCATTGTAGTTGAGGATAAAATTGTCCCTATTGCAAATGTAAACGATAAACTGCATGAAAATATTTGGAGACATCTTATCAAAGTACACTGCAAGACGAATCACACTTATAAGAAGGATGATACAGTCTGTGACCTATTCACTACCGAAAAATACAAAGAGGCTTTAAAGATGTTGAAGCCACTTGTTTCTAAAATTGTAAGTAACATTCATTTATTTTTTCTTTGTTAAGTAAACTATTTATGTAGTTTGGAACAACGTTTTCAAGCTTGGATCTCGACAAAAGTATTACGATAGAAATTTGCAATCACAATTATTATTTGACTCTCCGTAGAGTCATTGAGGTTTGCATGCGTCCTATCTTACAGAACATTGCAAATGTGATATCATCCTCTCTGGATAACATAGATTTGTTCAAAAATTACCCGGTGACAAATGTGTTTATTATGGGAAATGTATTCAATATAATTGAGGAGTCTTCATTGTATCCCGCAGTTACATTGTTATTACAGCAACTATTTGATGAAAATATTCTGTATAAAGAGAGGGATACTTTAGGATTTGTCATGAAAGAATCACTTCTCCAATTACTACATCCGGTTATTGGCAAACGGTTGCATCTACTGGACAGCTTTGTGCTTGGTGATTTACAACAAATTTCAAGAGAATCATACGGAATATATCTCAAACCCATTTACTCACTTAATAATCACACATCAGAGACACTACTATCATGTATAAACCGCAAAGGTGGTGTTACGAGGGTTTTTGGTGAAGATTACGCTACTGTAATTCTTCTGAAGGGGCAATCTATACCTATCACGGGAATCACTGTTAGATTTGAAGCTAGCAATATCGACAAAAAGGTAAATGCGTACATGTTGCTTATAGGTAAAAAAAAGATAGCACTTATTTTTGTGAATAACTACTTAATCTTATTTTTTTATCAGGCATGGTCAAAGTGTCTACGGACACTTTGGACCAAAGAAAAGCTGGTTCATTTGATAAAAGGACTTTTGATATTATTGATGTCCTTCGAACCCCTATCTCAGATAGAGGTACTCTGATACCGCCAGTAACTTTAGAAATAAGATACGTTAATCACGTCTCGTCTCTTCAGTTTTCTATGAGGCTGACAGGTGAAGATAAACCAAAGGATGTTGTCCATATGGTTTCTGTGGAAGAGAAACTGACGGTGACTTATCTTTAATTTGAATGTGAATATCAATTATTTATTTTACTGTTTCTTCTCTCACTTAAATATCGATAAATGATGTATGTATTTAAATCCCAATAAAGCATGAATGTATGAGTGTAAACCGATTATTCGCTCTTTCTAAACTTTCCGGATAACATTGCTTCGATACAAAGTGGTCAGAACCAATTGAACCCCATAACATGCGTCATGGTGGTTTCATAAAAAAAGGGTTATTTATCAAAATGTTGGTCAACTAAGGGTGTGCTCGAATAAACAGCAATTTAAGTCTTGTGTCACTGAATTTCCTCTTAATTTAGTCGATTTGGAAATGTTTGCGTAGTTACGCCTTTGACATATACGATCATATGTTCGATGAAATACATACCGATGCCTGATCATAGTATTATTTATCGGCGATAAAGGGTTAGATCTTACAATATTAAGAATCCAAATCGGCATGTAGCCTAAACGATCTCCGTTTTTTTTAAAAAAAATCTCTTCGTAGTAAACATCTCTACCATAAATTATAAAATCTCTTGTTTGCCGTTTGAAAGAAAAAACAAGCTGATAAGACTGGTAAGCATGATAATAACCTTAAATACAATTAGACACATAATTCATGAATCTGTAGCAGTTGGACGTACATGATGTATCGACCATCGAATAATCAGAGCTAATTATTGCTTGCTATTGGGATTTCTCAATCGGGACATGAAACAGAAACCAAAAGTTTAATTATTATTCATGCAACGCCCCCCCCCCATTTTACAAAACAGTTTTTGGTGGGATTGGCCCTCCCCGCCCTCCCCCCCCCCCGCCATTTAAATCATAGAAATTGATGATCCCCCAATTCCAAAATACGGTTTTTTCTGTCCTCCCCGAAAATATACCATTCTATTTATAGCAAATAAGATAAATATATTCGTCCTTGTAATTATCTTTGACAGTAATCGAACGCATGTATTTATTTCTGTAATGTCATCTAATGATATACAATGCGTTTACTTATGAACGTTTCTAATGAATAAAATGGCATCTTAAGCATTATTGATTGTGTCTTTGCACCTTCCTAATATAGAATTTATATGGTATTTGTCAATCAGGGAACAAAATAGCCACTGTAAAATATTTGGCACGGCTACACACACGAAAATGTTAGTGTGCAGAAATCGGTTGCCGTCCCCCTTTTCCTAGTTTGCGAGCTCCTCTTTCCCCGATATCGAAAACAAAGCGCACTTTTACGATTTGGTAAGGTATTACAAGTTTTGACATTGAGAGGACCCCAGACTTTGCCACACCTGGAGGTGTTTTAGGCTCTTATTGTTAACATCGGTTGCCAAATATCTTGTTTCGATTTAAATGAGCTGGCTGAATCTATATAAAAAACAAACACTTCAGCCCTCTTGAAATTTTGGCATCATAGTTCCGTTAGATGCTAACGACTTGTTATTATTCCTTCAGGATCAATCGATCTCAGTTCACGCTTGAACAAATGATAGTTTTTTTTTAAGTTTTAATAATTTAACACATTTCAAATAAACAATTCGATCCAAATTTATAGTTTACTCATAATTGACTGTCTAATGACGAGATAATAAGATTTTCTTTATTATTAATGTTAATATCTGGCGTATAAATATTCTCACATGCTTCTTTTGCTAATTCCGTGTCTTCCTTGACTTAAATATGACAAGTCCGTATAAATAAAATGGTTGTTACGTGTAACAGATCCCACCATTAAAATGCACATCCGATATTTAGTCCCCCCCCACCCCCCTCAAGAATCTACCCCTAGATGTACAATTGCTACCAGGCAGGAGGGTCGCCTTTGTCATCATCATCACTGTCAAATAAAAAATTAACGCTGATGACAAGAATCGCGTTATTTAAAAAGTAGTTATTATAGGATCACTGTAACAAATAAATGACGCACTATCCGGATATTTCATTTATCGGTGTTAAGCTATGCTAAATATTTTGGGAAATATACTAAACAATCATGAAGATCAAGAAAAAAAGATTGATCTTCAAGGGGTTCAGGGTAGAGTCCGAATTTATATAAATAGGATGGACTTTTCCCCCAAAATTAAAAATTCAAAAATATTACAAATCATCATTCATACCATCCTTGCCATTTTAATTATTAAATCACATCAACCATTATGAGATTAACCATTAAATCATCAAATATTTTTCCTTCTTCATACACTATGAAATCATCTAAAATTAACATTACGACGCCTACAAAGTTGACAGAAACACAGGAACCAGCCAAAACAAAGTCATCAAAGACAAAGATGCTGAGCCGTCTTTTTAAGAAACTTGCTAGATCATCTAAGGAATCACCTATATTAGCAGAACCACAAACAACGCAATATAAACTCACATTTGTTCCAATCACAAACAAAAAGGATGAAGTGGTCAAGGCAGAAACTACTGAAATCGTCTGGTACGACAACAGTAACACCATCTCTACTTCTACTGAATTAGCTCAGCGTATTTGGGACGAAGATAAAACAGTTTATAAGAGCTTGGATACAATTGTTGAATGGATCGGTAACGGCAAAGAAGAATCCAATGCTATCCTCGAATCATACATGTCTCATTTTGACTTCAAAGATGTAAGCCTTGAACAGGCTTTCCGTACCTTATGTTCAAAGCTTTACCTTAAAGGTGAAACACAACAAATTGATCGCGTTTTACTTCAATTCTCTGTTCGATATTTTGAGTGTAATAAGCAATGCATCTTTGGTTCAACTGGTAATTACTTTATAAAAAATGTACTCATTCAGTTTACTAATTTATATTGTTAGATGTTGTACATGCTATTGTCTATTCCCTTTTACTTTTAAATACGGATCTTCATGTTGCTCAAGGTGACTACAAAAAGATGACGCAATCTGCATTTATCGCGAATACAATGAGTGCCATCACAGTTCAGGACAGTGGTATATCATCCCAATCTTGGGCTCCTCTTCAACGTGTTTCTAGCAATGCCACTAGTGCATCTACTGGATCATTTTATACTCGCTCTCTTCCTCGTACGTTTTCTAGCGCATCCAAGTCATGGGAAATTGAGATGAAGAACATGCTCAAACAAATGTATAGCAATATTCGCTGTATGCAAATCGCTGACCCTTCTACTCCCGCTGGTACTACCACTGCTGGTGCTTCATTCAGACGCAACGTTAGTTCCATCATCAAGAAAAAAATGGTTCATGATGCAGAATCTGTCAAGTCTGTCAAATCTGCAGTTTCTTCAACCATGCATTATCAAGCTATTGCTTCTCATCTTCAAAGTATTGATCTCCCTGTCTCTTATACTAGCAATGCTCCTTATTATAAGGAAGGCATGATCTCTTGTAAACATCTTTTAGAGTCCAAGTCTCAAAAGGCCAAGCATCGTGACTGGAAGGAATGCTTTATGGTTATTGAACGTAGCCAACTTCGTATGTACAAGCTTGATAACTCAACTACATTTGATAATTCCTCTCTCGGCGGTGGTAACTGGATGTCTTATGCCCAACTCTTGAGCACCATTGATCTCAAGCACTCCCTTGCATTTGCCCTCCCTTCTGGCTATAGTCGTCAGCGTCAGCACGCCTTCACACTTCAAGAATCCAATGGAGCTGTGCACGTCTTCCAAGTTGGATCTGCTGAACAAGTCAAAGAATGGATCTCTACATGTAATTACTGGGCCGCCCGCGAAAGTAAAGAACCCTTAGTTGGCGGTGTTGGTTCTATGGAATATGGTTGGGGACACTGTTTAGAAAGTGTCACCCCTTGTAATATGGTATATGAATGGCAGTCTCCTTCTGCTAGCACTACTAGCAGTATGCTGGAAGAATCTGCTCAACTCCAAGCTCTTTATGAATATGTAAACGACCTGACCAATCAGTTGGATCAACATCATGCTATCAAGTCAAAGATGGAATCTTACTTTACTTTGTCTAAATTTTATGCCACCGCTATGAATAATTGGGAAAGCAGGTCTTTCTATCTCTTGAGTGAAATCATCAAGTATCAAAATTATTGTAATTCTATCGAAAAGTCTCTTTCTCTGCAAGTCAGTATGATGGCTTAAATGTATATCTTCTTGTATCTATCTCATTGTAAAAAAATAAAATTACTATTATCTTGTATCATATAAATCACTTCGCCTATTTTTTGTATGTGTGGCCAGTTAGCAATTGACTTTATGTGTCCACGAACTAACTGGTGTTCCAAATTAGCATTGTCAGTAGTTTACACACTGCCGTTATTTTTGAAACGATACAGGTGTCTATATTTCATTGGAATACCATCCTCATGAATTTTGTGCAATTTTACAATTATTGGCAGTAAATCAGAGCATACTTTTTACGAGCTTGAGCACACGTTGTTGATACTTTGAATACCATGCTTCTATATCTGACTGTGAATGAGACTCTATCATTACCCGCATAAATACTCCAAATGGGTTTTTATATATTTGATTACGCTGCAAATAATACCAAATGTACAGTAATTATTTCAAAATCTTTGTCTGTCAAACCATAAATATTTAGGTTTCATCTCTGATACTGGTACAAACGAATCAATGTAATCCTTATAATCAGCCATCATTAAACAATAATCGCCTTTTATTTATTATCGAAAGGACTACTTTAAGCATACTTCAATACCACACATTCATATTTCGTATAATACTAATAACAGACAATACCACTATTTTTATTTTTTTATGAATCCCTTAGTTTACGTACCACTTGGAGGTACTCGTTGATATATTCTGACTTCCTTACGATCTCGAATGTTTTCACTGCATTTCTATACCAATCCTTTTCAGAAACCTGACCTTTTCTTCCTGATTTTCTGGGTGTTGCCAAGACTTGATCTCTTAGTGCCAATACCAATACATCGAACGATTCCACACCATCATCTTGAGGTAAAAAAAAGAGATTGGATCCGGTGTGTTTGAATAATGGCAGTACGTTTCCTAAACTGACTAGACCTAAACCAATTCTATGAGTAAAAGAAAAAAGAAGTCTTGTTACGTTTTTTTACCTTGTGTTTTAAGTTGAGATTTCTCAAAAAAGGAGGTCAAGATGAGTTGAAGATCCTTGTACCTTTTAAAGGTAAATTCATCGACGGTGCATTTATTACAGACAAAGACAATATCAGGGTAATACTGCATATCTTGTTGATCACGTACTAAAAGAGGGAAATCGGGTATACAAAATTTTAACATTTCCGCTCTCTGCACAAGTTGTAATAAATCCATGTCTATATCAGGTCCATCATTCACTACCAGTATCACATTGCACACCGAGAACAAGAAGATGATATTATATAAACTCTCCATCTCTAACCAAATATCCGGCTGAAGTCCATTCATCCCGTTTCTCAGTACTTCATCCAATACCGTCCAGCTACAAATAGGTTCTGTGTCCAGCAAAATCGCTCGTTCCGGTGTAATATACATGTCAATTCCCTCTGTTTTATGGCCTTGTAATAAGAAGTCGTCGGTGGATTGTGTTGGAAATGTCTGTACAGCGATAAAAAAAAAAGACTTGACTTAAATACCTAAATTTGTACTTGTTTTTTATACTTATTTTACATACGCGTTCCGGATCGGGGGCAAAATGAGATAAAATAGTGGATTTTCCAATGCCTTGTTTTCCAATGATACCAATGACGAAATGACCTGGATGATCTGTCAAATTCTAAATAAGAGAGCATGAGTTCTCGTTCTCTTTTTGGTTTACGTCAGCATTTATTTTTATAAATTACTTTGAGAATGGCTTCCGAGTTAAACTTGTTGGGCCTACGCATAAATGGTATGCATGTAGAAGTAGAAGGAATGACAGTGGATAGTTCATCTGGCTTCATTGAGGGTTCTTGCGCGATCGTCACTGGATCTGCAGGACGTTCACGACGATCGAGAATAATGGGTGCCTGAAGAAACGATCTTCCTGTTGCATCATTCTAATAAAAGTTACTTTTTCTGTTTTTTTTTTCTTGTCAAAACAAAGGTCAATCGTACCTTTCTACGTTCTCTTCTCTTATTTAAATCTCGAGACATTTTTAAATAAAGGTGCTTTTGAAAATTACAGCAGGAAAAAAAAAAGAGAGTTGACCCGGGGTTCCAATTGTGTTTTAGCAGGCATGAAAATAAACATGTTATTCCACCTTTAGGAACTCATCAGTGTTTTTTCCTGAAGACTTTTAAGCAATGAAACCAAAGTAAAGCTATTTGTTTTAGAATTGAATTTACATTATAACCATCTTTCTTAGCGATATATTTAGTTCAACATTCTCAAAACTTATGAAACTACGACAAACTATCTCTGATTATGGCTAAGCTCTAAAGGTAAATGTGCTTTCTACCGGTTACAATAACTTCTCCAAAAGAGGATGATAATGCATAGCAATTGGGCACTAATATAAAGATATGTTATGCTGGACTCTTGGAAAAAATGGTTCAATCGAATGAACAAAACCAGTAAGGAATCTCCTCCGTAATTTAGTGTATCACAGACCACCATTCCAATTTTTATATAATTATGCAAACCATTACTTTCTTTATGATAATTAAGGTGAACAGCCGCGTATTTACTCTTCTTTCTATACAGAGTATTATTCCAACACCTTTAAGATGATAAATCACACTATATAAAGTCTAAAAAACAAGTACAGTTTTCCTGTTTGACATTTATTCATCCACAGTGTAAGACTAACCCCTGGTGGGAATTAACCCCTCGTTTATTTTATCCAGTGAAATTTTATGATAAATGAGCCAAGAAGAGGGAAAGAGAGGAACAGAGGTTATATGATGATATACATAATAAGAGCAAGTTTGCGTCATGTTCATTAGGAAAATATCATTTGCCTAGCAGCCTCCATTTACAAACCCGCGAGATTGTGACTTGTGGGTATTGTAATACGATTATTTTAAAAAAACGGTTAAATTTTGTGTGTCAATCTTAAAAAAAAAACTTTAAGACTTTTTATCTTTTTTATTGTTGAAATGAAGATTGTTCATATTGGTAAGCTTTTCTCTTCACCCTCTCCTCTTTAACAACTGACGTGTGTATGCTTTACCAATTATAGTTATTGTTAAATTCAAGCCCGAGGTTACTGAAGAAGCCAAAGAACAAACCATCAAGGACGTGTTGGCTTTGAAAGACAGTATTCCCGAGATTATCATTGCCAGTGCCGGTAAGAACTTTACCGACAGAGGCAAAGGATATGAATATGGTTGGGTTGTTGAAGTGGAAAGCAAGGAGGTAATAAAATGATCAAAAGTTGCATAACAATACATATTAAAAAAACAAATGAATGATTGCTAGAAACTTGGCGTGTATGCTCAACATCCCGCTCATTTGGATTTCCTCGCTCAATACAAGTCTACTTTTGAAGACGTGCTTGCCATTGATTATGAATGTTAAATTTATTTATACATTATTAAAGACGTTGATGATTATTATTTTTTTGTTGTTTTTATATATAAGTGTGTGTAAAGGAGATTTTTTTTTTTATCTGTAAAAAAAATAGTAGAAGGGGGGGAGAGGGAAAGAGGGGATATAAGAAGCAATATATATATATATAATAGATTAAAATTATGGTGGTGGTGGAGGAGTGGGTGATGTGATGGTAGGTGCAGGAGAAGAATTAAACATCTTTCTATCATTAAAGATGGTACCAAAGGAAGATGGGGTGGAAGGTGTAATTGTATTTTTACCGTCAAAGGCGGCAGGGGAATCAAGAGGGGTTTTCAGAGTCATCTTCTTATTGAAACGTTGACCGGTTCTTTCCGTCTCCCAATCCTCCCATTTCTTCATAACAAGACGTGTAGGATCAAATTTACCTTCTGCATCTCCATGTCCAGTATCCTTTTTCTCTCCTTCAACAACACGGGTTGCTCCCCATGAAAAGTCATCGAAATGCCAGAAGGAATACAATGGCAACACAAAATTCCAGATGGGCAAAGCAAATAAATACACTAAAATATGTGATAAACTTAGTACACACACAACTCAGATAAAATGTTTTTTTTTTCTGTCTTACCAATCATCCATAAACAATAAACAAGCTTAAATGTCGTGATTGCAATCAAAACCGCAGGAAGACCAAGGATAGCAATAAGCAATGCAAGTGACTGCCATTGAGGGCTATCTGAGATAGCAGTGTTCACAATCAAATAAATAGTCATGACAATAGCAGCAGGAAGCACCAATGTACCAATCAAATCAATAAAGACGGAGAATTGCATGGATAAACAAGCAATACCACAGAGATCCGAAACGAGTACCAATTCCATCAGATTGTGTACAGTTGAATTAATCCAACGACGACGTTGTGACAATAACACTTTAAATTCATCCGGTACCACCGTCTTACAACGCGCTTGCGGGACAAACATCATTTGACGTCGAGGGAAAGTACGAAGCATCAAGGTAGACAAGAATCGATCTTCACCAAGCAACAACAAGTTCTTTTCGTGAAGCGTAGTGACCACGTTTTGATTGTATTCAAGAATAATGTCTGGATTGGCTAAAATAGGAACCCAAGCCCCGTTCTTGGGGGATTTGATACGGTACATACTGAAACAACCGGGCAAACATGTAACAATACCAAAGAGAGATTCAAACGATTTGGCATAATGATGAGAAATATAGTATTCGAACACTTGAATAGCAGTAACCCCTGTTGTTTTTTAAGAAAGGAATATTATTGTTAGTACAAATCGTATCGAGATGGGGGTAACAATTTCATTTACATGAAGCTTTCTTATTGGCAATTCTTGTTTCACCACACAATCCCATAATAGTAATATCGTTTGCCATTGCAGCAACCATATAGGTTAAAGCGTCCGGTAAGACCTTGGTATCGGCGTCAACCTAAAAATAAATCCATATTTTGTCAACGTTTACGTTTTTTTGATTTCTATTTTTACTGTGCCAGACAGCTTACCATTAATACTAATTCGAATTTATCAGGTGTAACACCCTTCATCAACCAAGTCATTTTCCAAAAGATCTCATAATCAAGTTCCGACAAACGATCGTTGAACAAGACACGTTGGAAGTAACTCATCAAAATCAACTAGAACAAAATAGGGAAGGGGATATAACTATTTAGCACTCTTCCACTTTTCTACATTTTTTCATCTTAGTTACCTGAGAATCACGTTTACCACGATTACCCGCCTTAGCTCCATTGGCTTCTTCTTCTGTACCTGATTTGACAATAGTGATACATGGAACACCTTTATAATGACCAGCGTACTATATTAAGAAAAAAATAAAAATAAAAAATAAAAACTTAGCCACATATACACCTTAAAATGTAACGCTTTTTTTTTTTTGATGTTTACCACTTTGGCCATATTCAATTGTTTTTCACCATCAGCAATGGCAAGGTAAGACGAAGGTTTGGGGTTAACCATAGTAGGATCAAGGTCCATCATACTGACAACAATATCGGGGGTTGATTTAGATTCACCAGCGCCGGTAATCATACCATCCGCAATAACAAAGAAAATCTAATTTTATAACATCATTTTTTTTTTTTTTTTTAGCAAAACAACAAAATAGATACGAAACAAGAAATATTTAGGGTTACCTTGTGTTTTTTAGAATAAGTGGTTTCAGCCAAACTGTCCATAGTAATTCTGAGCCCCTCTTCACCTTCGGAATAACAAGTGACTAAAAGTACAGTGTACAACTCTGTTGTAACAATATCGGAGCGTGCACCACCCAATCCCACAGCGGAACTTTCGCTAAAAGCGGGAGTCCCACGAGAAGATGAACCGGAACCCAAAGACGTGGTCGAGCCAGTATTGTTATTCATCGGTCCATAGTTGTTGTAAGGGCCCGGAATATGATTGGCAGGATCTTCGTTACCACCCTTGATAGAACGCCAGGCTAACCAGTTGGATCGACCACCGGGTTTGGTAAGACGACGAGAGATAAACCATTGGAACAATAAGGCCATAGAGTAACGAATGACAATCATCACAATAATCACGACAAGCATCAAGGTCATAATCATTGAATCGGCAATACATCCGCCCGTCTCCGTTTCCATAATACCAATCTTGTAACGAGATACAAGACACTTACGGGCTTCTTTACCCGCTTCCGTGAACAATAAAGCGTATGATAAATCACTAGCCAAGTTATTACGGATCGCATGATCCACTTGCACGCCAAAAGGTGGAGTAGCCAAGTTGAGATATTTTGTTAAATTCAAGACTATAAATAAAAAAATAAAAAAAGCTTAGCAATTTATCACACAATCTCATTTTGTTTTTCTCTTCTCTTCTTTACCTGAATCGCCTACTAAAGCTAGACCATGACCCGTAATTGAATTTTTATCCAAATCAGCCCAATCGTAGCCCAGGACACCGGAAGATTTGGCAAATCTTTGGAGTTCAGCCAGTGATAAACAAGTATTGTTGGGAGCTTGCATGCCACCGCCATATGGGTTGACAAGAGCACAAGCTAAAGGAGCTTGTTGAAACTTTGTACAATCGCCATTGACGTCACCATTGAAGATGGAGGCTAAATCGGTGTTTTCGTAATCATTGGTCAAGTTCATTCCTTTGGTTGCAAAGAAAGATTTGATGGTATCACTAGGATAGATTTGACCAAAGACTCGCATGTTGTTGTAATAAACGGGTATACGCACACCCTTGTTCACACTAGAGTAGGCCGAATTCATATTCGCTGCAGGACATAATGTTTGATTTAAACCGTATGTGATAAATGCAAGTGCACCACAAAGAAGTAAAATGATATAACACAAAGAAAGCTATTTCACAAATCATTTTTGAGTCACATTAGTATAACCAAATACAATAATAAAATTGGGCTTATAACAAAAAAAAAATTTTTTTTTAATAAAACAAGTTCTTACCTTTTCTCGCCAGGCTTGTTGAACCATGGCATTTCTCTTTTTCAAACAAGCACGTAAGAACCAATTGGGAATACAACAAGTCATTAAAAAGGCAAGCCAAGCCCACCAACTGGTCAGCACCTTGACTTTTTCTTCTGGTATTTCTTGTTTCTTTGGATGATTATTGGCTGATGCAGGTTGATCTAATAACGCTTCTTGCTGTTGATATAATTTTTGTTGTTGTAATTGATGTTGTAAACGGTTGGGCATGGGTTGATTATTGGGTCGTGCTCTCATATTAGGAGGAGGCCCGTTGGGTCCATATCGTTGTTGTTGTTGTTGCTGTTGTTGGTTGATTCGCTGTTGCTGAGAAGGAGATCGAATCATACCCGTTCTGGGTCGCTGACGTTCGGGACGAGAAAGTGACCGAGATCGATTCATACTCACACGACGATAAGGTCCCTGTCCACCACCATGAGGACTGCCCATAGCAGGATTGGCGTTGGCATAGTTACTAGGAGGTCGCATAGGACGACCGCCTTGCTGTCTTGACGACTGGTACTGTTGTTGCTCACGAGAGGCTCTCTGCTGCTGTTGTTGTTGTTGCTGGGGATATTGTGGTTGGGGAGACATACCTTGAGGTGTACGAGATGATCGTTGTTGTTGACCACCTTGGGGACGATTATGAGGTGGAGGACGAGGTCGATTTAATTGATCCATACCATACGATTGAATACGTTGTCCCTGTTGACCTTGCTGAGGTCTAGGTTGACCTTGTTGTAAATGTTGAGACACAGGTCTTTGACCATAGCCTTGTGGTTGTTGGGATAGTCGTGGATCGGATGGATTACCTCGATAACCAGGTCGGTTATTAGGGTTTGACATATTGATGTATTATATGATTTTTTTTACTTCTTTTTTTTTTTAAAAAAAATGGAAAGATATATATGTCCTATCTTTTTTTTTTTTAAGAATTCTATTTACAAACAAAAAAAAAGAAAAAAAAAGAGAAAGAAAGAGAGAGAGAGAGTAAAAAAAAAAAAGAAGAGAGAGGGAAAAAAAAGGGGAGTTTTATTATGAAATGGAACAAAAAATGGAATTTATAGCGAAAAAAAAAAAAAAAAAATACATGTTACTATTTTCATCTTTTAAAAAGGCTTTTATTGGTTGGCCCCTGGAAATAGATTTTTTTTTTTTTTTTTTTTTGCCACCAGTATAGTGTAACAATTTATTTTTATATTCTTTACATATTAGGACACAATCAAACAAGGTGTGCTAAAGAGACCAGCCGTTAGTAAGTGTACGTGCGTGCGTGTGTTTAAATATTTGGGTAAAAAATAAGAAAAATGTTACCTTGTACAGGACTGATGAGAGCAGCGGTGTCTTCCACCGTCACTTGATGAAGTCTATGTCTAAATCTATATTGCACACGAAGCTTCTTCTTCTCTCCCAAGCAAGGATCGTAAAAACCGAGAATATTGGTCTATTTCATGTATACAAAAAAATAAAGGAATCTAAATAACTATTTCTTTTTTTCTGTCTCCATTTATAATAATAAACAAACCTTTGAATGTCCGCCTGGAATTGTCAGTCTCGACTCATGAACGAGAGTTTGAATGACGATGGTAACGTCGATCACTCCTTCATCAACACCATTATCCAAATTTTCTAAATGTCCATACCAAGCTTTCACAATCACCAAACCTATTTTATTTAAACCGAAAAAAGAAAATTTAATATCCCCCTCCCCTTCTTATTTAATCATCTCCCCCCCCCCTTTTTTTTTTTTTTGTATGAACACACACACAATACACATACCATCAGGCTTGTTCTCTTCTTGCTTTCGTTTTCTATCAGCAATATCCGACATAAGTGTTTGTGCATCTAAAGCCTCTTGTTGACGATTAGACAAGTATTCAGCATGTTCTTGTCTCAACTCGTCGATTTTTCTATCAAAAAAAGTGATCAATAACAAGTTAATCTAGTTATTTTTTTTTTCTGTCTTACTCTTTGATTAATCGCTTGCGACGGGGTTTTAACACTAATTGATCAAGGGCGACGGCAACGGAAGCTGGAACGACTGCACCGAAGAACGCTAATTTAAGGTCAAACTCGGATGCAAGGACGATGGGAACTACCGCTTTTTGTCCCAGACGTGACACCCTATTAAATAATGATCAATTCTCTCTGCTTTTTTCTTATCCCTTTTTTTTCAAAACCCCCTTACTTAAATTTAACAATAACACCTAAAGGCAAACCACATTCCATCGACATACCAATTCTTGTGTGCTCTGCTACTTTATGATCACTTCCGATACTGGCATTGATTCCACCTTCTGAAGACAATGAACAAGTCAAACTGAGTCGTACTTGGTTGGCTAATTTATAAGAATATTCTCCAGCAATGTGCGACGACATGATACCCGTCTATTTTTTATCTTTTGTTAGTGTAATCATACAGAAAAATTTAATATAAAAAAAAAAAAAAAACTTACTTGTAATTCTCCACTGTAATTACCATGCTTATGCATGCCAGCCATACCAAGCGAGACAGATGATTTATCCATTTTATGCGAGGTATCACCACCCCAACCCAATAGAGACCATTCACCTGTACGATAAGTCATATAACCTGTAGTTGCAGCAAAAATACGACGACCTGCTGTAATGGCTAATACGGGTGGATCATAGATCGAGTTCAATTGTGCTGTTGTATTTACAAAACTATGTGTACATATAATTTTTATTTAGCTTTCTTCATCTCACCCCCTTTTTATATTTATATAGATACATTCTTCTTACCTGTCTGCCGATAATGAATAGTAAGACTTTAATGTAAGCATTCTTGGCTTTAATAAAGTTGCGGTCACCTAGGAAACATTTTTTTGTTTTTCATTAAGTGAGATTTGGAGCCCTCCCCTCCCCTTTTTTTTCTGTAGTGAAATGTCTCTTACCTCGCCCCATAATTTAGGAGAGACAGTATGGCGGATTGTGCCCAAGACATTTCCACCGCCCATACCAGATCGAGAAACCATGGTTCCGCCAATCACTGCATGTGTCTGAGGTCCAATTTGCGTCTTTTTTTTTAAAAAAAAAAAAAGAGTGAGTGGGGATTATAAGGTGCATGAAAAATAAAAATTACCTCGAATGAAGATCGCATAAATAATTGCTGTACTTGTGCTTTGGATACTGCATGAAGAGGACCCTTCTTTTTAGGTTGGGTAGGTTGACCAAAACCAACAAAAACAGGTGCTTCATAAGGATCAAACACTTGGGTGGCATCCAAGGTCAATTGAAATTCGGCTTTGGATCGAACTAAATTCTCTAAATCTTGTTCTCGTTTTTGACGTGCCATTTTCTCGTACTCGTTTCTTAACTACATTTTCATTCCTTGCTTAATCTTTTTTTGTTCACTCTCCTTGTGTACTCTGTGTTTTTTTTTACCTCTTCGGGTGTCTTGTAACGAGGTCCAATATCCCAAGAAGCGTTCAAGCCTTCTTCTCCATAGGTGTCATAAATCACTCTCTTGGCAGGATCGCATAATACTATCCATTAACTCTTTTTTAATTTTGACTTTTTTCTAATCTTTTTTTTTTTTTCATCGAATCTAACCTTCATACGCTTGTTGAATAACTTGGAAACGAGATTCGGCCATCTTTTTCTTGGATTCATCGGTGTGCTTTAAATTTCAATGTGAGGTGAGTTTTGCTGAATTCTTCATGCCCATGATTTGTTTTTGCCTACCTTGTCGGGATGAAAGAATCGACACAACTTTTTATAAGCTTCTTTAATTTCGTCTTCGGTAGCCTTTTTTTTTTTTTATAAAAAAATAAGAGAGTACATGTTAGAAGAATGAAGAATGTAGGCTTCCCATGATTTTACTTTTCTAGAAATATTAAGCACGCCATAATAATCCGCAGCACTAGGAGCTAAATCCTCTTCCAACTTTTTCAAATCGTCTTTATCGTCTTCATGACGGTCGTTATTAATGGTTTGTGTATACTCGTAAGGATCCATGATTTATTTGACAAAGGGAACAAACAAGAAAAAAAAACACACACACACAATTTATTTTTTTAACCGCAGGACACCCTTGAATGCGGGGCCCGCTTTAATAATGTAGACACAGACACACAAAGTCACATATGATAATTTTAATTTCCCAAATCAATATAATTTATTCGATTGCCTTGCTTAATGAAAAGTCGTGACAAGGTAAATGTGTTAATTAACATGGCATCGACAGAGTTCTTGGGAATATTTAATGCTTCTATAGTTGATTCTTGGAGAGACCATGCAATACTTGTATGAAATCTAGGTGGATCATAAAATACGGGTTGATGATATCCCTTCATTACTTTATCCACACTTTTCATGCATTTTGACAGCTGGTTTTTATAAGTAAAATATCACAAAAAATAAAACAAATGTTCAAAATCCTTTACCTCGTTATAACCAGCACCGACTTCTAGAGTGACAAATGATCTTGTCTTTTCATCATTGGTAAGTTGTGACAGTTGGGCAAAGGACATGGTGAACGGCTTGATACCTTCCAGTGAATCACGCACAGCTTTTACAAACGGATCCAATTGATGTTCCTTTAGGTAAACTGTCTTGCTGATACTTAGATGCTGTTGTTCAATTGGTGTTAATCCATTACAATACCCTAAAAGCATATCCTTATCCCCTTCTGCCAAATCCACTTGAAAGTATACATAAGTGGCCCAACTATTTACTGTATGTGGCACCGCTCGTTTTCTTCCATCCTTCCCTTTGTCTGTCACCCGTGCTTGCGTATGGAAAAACGACCCCAACGGTGGCATGTTACTATTTAACAGTTTTTTTTTTTTTTTTTCTTAGTTAACTCTTCATGGCGTCTTTACCTCCCCCTTCATTGTGTTATTACCTTTGGCGCGTTTTTTTCAATGGTCTCTGTTCTTCTTCGTCTGATGAGGAATCGTAAACTGTTAGCTTGTTCATTGTTAATTAGTCTGTGGATCAGGAATGTAGACTGACAAGTGTTATTTTCCAAAAATAAGACACACACACAAAAAAAAACAAATTAGGCTGCCGCTCCGCACTGAGTTTAGTCCTGTTTAGTGGGTATTCATTTCTTTTTACACTTGAAATGAAACATCAAGCAGAACAAGTACATGAATTGCAAGAAGATGGCAAGTGACACTTTAGAATAAAATATTATTGTCAAAGTCTAATGCCAGACATGAGTAGATGTTACCTCTATGAATGACATGACAGAGGATATTGTAGAAGATTTTGCACGACAATTAGAAGAAGGTAAAGAAAAAAAAAAAAAAAATAATTTGTGTGCATAGTATCTGTGAGTATAATTTATAAAATGACTCAATAAGAATAGTTGTGCGTATACAGGATGAAAATGAAGAAGATGAGGAAGAAGAGTTTGGATATCAACAATTACCACAGGACGAGGATGAAGAGATGTATCAACAATTACAGTCTGATGAAGAAGAAGAAGATGATGATATAAAAGACCCATTGCAAATCCCGTTAAGTGAATCAGCACGATTAAATCCAGGTAAACACAAAATATAAGGAGTCTAGAGTTCAAAACTAATAAACAAACAAATATCAAGAAACGTCTGACTTGATTAAATCCATCATGGCCAATATTCAATTATCTAATGTACCAGAATGGGCCAATAACATTCCAGAATCTGCTTGGCTTCCACATGTAAAAGACAAGACACAATAAAAAAGGGAAAAGCAACACACACACACACACTTTTTTTTTTTTTTTTTTTTTTTTTTTTTTTTTTTTTTGCTCGGGTTTAGAGAAAGGGGGTAAAAATAGAGGGAACGAATACAATGTGGGCAAATCTCCAATATGGAAAAAAAATAGCGGGTGACTGGTATAAAACGGTCAAGTGTGCAACAACAAAAAAAATAATTTTTTTTTTTCATAGGTATTTCCCCCCTCCCACTCACACCTTATATTCATTTTCTTTTTTTTTTTTCTCTCTCTCTTAAAAAATAAAATAAAAAGGCAAGTTTAATTTTTTTCTAAGGAGTAAAGATATAAACGCGAAATCTAATACTCTTCTCTCCTTTTAATATAGATGGCTAAAGAAACTACCAAAGTCACTAAGCGTGCTGCTGCTCCTAAAGTAGAAGAGGATAAGAAGAAACGTAAGGCCAAGAAGGATCCCTCTGCTCCCAAGCGTGGTTTATCTGCATACATGTTCTTCTCTCAAGATCAACGATCTACCGTTAAAGAAGAAAGTCCTGATGCTACATTTGGTAAGACATAAACATTTATTTTTTATTTCTTTGTATTCATCCGTTATCTAGGTCAAATCGGTAAGATCCTTGGTGAAAAGTGGAAGAGCATGACAGACGAACAAAAGAAGGTAAAATTACATTTTGGGACAGTTATATATTCCCTCATTAACAAATACTTTATAGCCTTATGTCGACAAGGCTGAAGCTGATAAGAAGCGTTATGAAAGTGAAAAGGCTGCTGTAAGTAGACAAATAGGATGGCAAAATAATGGTTTTTTTAAAACTCATCTTTTTATATCATTATCTAGCTCGCATAAATCATACAATCCTCCAAATTTTATACTCTCTGCTATTAAGACAAAAAAAAAAAGAAAGTTTTATATATCTCTTTATTAATAAAACAAGAAAAAAAAAAGAAAAGAAAACCCCATTTTGTTAGAAGAGTTTGAACGCGTTTTTATTTTGATCACACCATTTATTATTATTTAGAAAGCATCACATCAAAAAGAAGATCTGGTTGTTGAAAATCATTATGGACCACATTTACAAGCCAGTACTTTTGTCCAATCGTATTTAATAACTTTTGACTCTTGCTGTTAGGTGGGTATTGTTCCTCCCATTCTCTCCATAAACCAAAAGCATCATCCTATCCTATTTTAATATCTCTCTTTATCTGTCACACATTTTACTTTTCTTTACCTTCCATGCTTCAAAACTAGCCTTTTCAATAATGGTGGGCTGAATAATCTCCTTACCAGGGAAAACACCCCACGTTACAGCATTTTGTGCTTCATCCGCATCCGACACGTTTGTAGAGAAATCACCCTATATAAAGTAAAATTAATTTTTCCTTTTGTTTGTGTTAGTGCCCTAATATTATTATTATGTATTACCTTTTGATTCGTAGCGTAATAAGTGATCGACTCATCTTTACGCAAACGCTTCAATAAATCTTCAATACCATCCTCTGCCACAAAGAACTCGATAAATGCCTTTTGATAGACATAACCACCTTTAGGTCCCCAACCGTACACTTCATCCAGACTAGACGCACCATTTACTGCGGGTTGTGAACTCACAGTCCAATAACCGCGCTGATTGATTTGGCATAAACGTTGACAAATAGCATCACTCTCTGTCTGAAGTCTTTCCTCGCACCAAGGTAAAGATTCTAATTCGCCCTTGATATACTTTACAAATAATTGTCCAATGTCTTCTTCGGTCTCTGGTAGTCCCCATTTAATAATCGCTTGCGAAGTCTATATGCATGTATATATTAATTATTATTATTTTTTTAATCTAGTCTATAAAGGAGTGGGCACAGGGAGAAAAAAAAAAAACTTTCTCTCTCTATGATGTGAATTCAGTGTAGAAAAAATACTTTACAGGTAAAATTTGTCCAGAGCTATGGGTAGTTTGACCATAAGCGGGTGAGCGTGAATCACCATATCTTCCGTTAGGAAATTCATCCCATAATTCAGCACGTGCAGGATCGTGAATAGGAGCCCAAGGAGAGACTTTGCTAGGTTGAATAGACTTTATCTGATTTAGTTACAGCTATAGTGACCCTTTTTTTTTCCCCTTTCCTTTAATTACCTCGCTTGCCTTGTGTAAATGCAAGGCCTCTAAAATGAGTCGTGTAGATCTTTCTAAATTAAGTGTGGAAATATGGAAATTGCAGATACCGGCTTGTTGATGTAAATATTGAATCATCTCCACCGCAAGGTGGACACCATATTCTTTTACCTTTTGATCATCTGCCTAAATCATAAATATGTTTTAAAAATTTAAACATATTTAATCAGTTTACTATTCCATATATACTAACCTTAATTTCATCTAAATCGTGCATGACTTTGGCAGGCACTTTGACATTACACAAATTGATCATGCGACGGAAACTTTGATAGGTAGGAATAGGCATAATACCGGGAACGATAGGAGCATAAATACCATGTTGACGACACTTTTGAATCCAAGCAACACATACATCGGCGTCATAAAACAATTGAGTCATGATGAAATCCGCACCAGCATCGACTTTTTCCTTCAAATGTAACATATCTTGTTCCTTGTCAGGACAGTCAATATGACCTTCTGGGTAACCAGCGACACCAATACAGAAATAATCCTTGTATTCTTGTCGAATGTATTTCACAAGATCAATGGCGTGTGAGAATTGAGAGTCAACGGGTGTCCAGTATTCATGACCACGAGGAGGGTCACCACGCAAAGCCAAAATGTTACGAATGCCAGCTTCTTTGGCTTGCTTTAAGGCGATATCAATCTTGTCCTTACCCATATTGGTACAAGTTAAATGCATTAATGTGTCAAGACCATAAAGACTTTGGGCTGTAGAACAAAGTTCCAAGGTGCGGTCATGGGTGGATCCACCTGCTCCCCATGTACACGAAATAAATTCCGGTTCTAATTGTGACATGCGCCCGAGACGATCGATAAGATTAGCAAAACCCTATTCTTCCCCCGACCTTCGTCAGTCTTATTTTCATGCATTTCCTTCTTTTTTAGGGTCTTACCACTTCGGTCTTGGGAGGGAAATATTCAAAAGAATAAGCAATTTGCTTATCCTTTTGTGCTTGTTGAATCTTGTCAATGATTTTCATTTGGATAATAGAAGAAAGAAGGAAAAGAAAAAAAGAAAAAAAAAAGTAAGCTTTTTAAAGTTGATGGGCTTAATTATTATTAGTAGATGTGACTTTTGATGGGGTAGATCAAAAAAAAAACGGACTGTAAATCATCCTTACTCATGGGATTTGCTTACACAACTTGATAACATCGGCATAATATATCTTCCCCTTCCTTTCAGCTCACACACAAAATGCAACATTCTGTCATTCTATATACACTTTTTTCTTGCCATGTTTTAAACCTTGATTTCTCATGCAAAATAACGTGTACGCGCACAATAATAAGGTCTTTTTTCATATTTTATTTTTATTTCCTTCCTCTCTTTCTCTCTCTTTCTACGATTGTATAATTTGTTGTTTAAACGGTATTTCTGAGGACTAGAATAAATAAATAAAAAATGTTAGTCTATGTATGAAAGAGTGACATGCCTAAAAGTCACTTTACCGAGAACAACAGTATCACCACGAAGAAACATTTTGCTAACAAAACGATCCTTGTTCACAGGCTTAGCCTTGGAACCCTTTCCACTACGAGGAGTCTCTGTCCACATCTGAAATAAGTAGGTGTCAGTAATCATTGCCTTTTTTTTTTTAATGAAGCAATAACTTTTTTTTTTACCTCCTTGACATTTTCAAGAACCATGTTACAATGACGATCAAATGCCTTGACACGAGCCAAAAGCTTATGGTTATTACGACAACTGATCAAAATCTGATTGTTATTTTTAACAGATTGTTGTAAAACGGAAAGTGGTCCAGTGTTGAATTCAACTTCTTCTTGTTGACGAAGTTCCTCCTCTGTCATTTCGGATCTAGGCTTACTGGCAATAGCACTAATATTATTATTATTATTTTTTACGTGTTCAATGGAGAAGAGATAGTTAGTTTTCTCATTCTTTTCAATTGACATTTCTCTACATCCGTGATGCTTTTCCATCCGTGCACTATACCTCATGTTTATTAAAATGTGGTTAAAATGATTTTATGACAATAAAAAAACAAAATTTTCCATTTTAGCCCTCCTCCCTCTCACAAAACCACGTACACTGCGTCGCGAGTTGAAAAATGACGTAGACCCAACACTTTTTTTTTTTTTTTTTTTTTTTTTGACTACAACTCGGCTACATATCAGATGTGGTTTACATTGAATTAAACATACAAGATGTATGTCAGTAAGCTTTAAAAGTATTTGAATATGACTTACAAAATCAGTATCGAATTGAAATCCATTTTAAAGTCACGAAAGTAAACAAATGGTATGAAATTGTATTAGTTGCTGAAGGCTTACCTAAGCTTGCATATATTATTCACGCATGTTGTTTATTATATGATTACATATAAATTATTTAAATTTTACACATCTCGGTTTATTTTCCCTCGCCAAGTATAAAATACTCTTCAATAGATATCAAGTTTTTATAGTGAATGCGGGAGTGTGAGAGGAGAGGGGGTTGTGTTCATGTTCGAACGTTATCAATTCATTAAATTCATTCTTGTAATTGGCAAAGATCGCTAGTTAGTAGTAGCAACATTGTTACATATCATACCTGACATATTTAACCCGATCGACCCATATTGCTATTTGTCTGAAAGATATTCATAATGCGCGTGAAAATAAAACAGATGGGAGAAGAGTTTAATATAAACAAACATGTAATACAGTTTATTTCCAATTTCGTCCTGATGGTGAACACACCCAAAAAGATGGCTGATCACTTAAAGTAAAATAGAGCGGATACTTTTGTTAGACGTTTAGTATTTACTCAAACTGAGTGTTCAGACATTCAATAGGTCATGATTTTAATCTATGGCTTCCATACGACGAGGCTTGATTTATTGTTACTGTCGGTGTAAATACTGCGAATTCAATGATAAACAATTATTCACGTGTCGGTAGGATTACATAAAGCAATCAATATATGCGCCGCTATTCATTTATCAGTAAACAATGATCTCATCTTGACATAAGCCTGTTCTTGTTTCTCATTCTTATAAAAATCCGCACCTACTCCTTTTTCTCTCTCTCTCTCTCTCTCTCTTTCTTTTTAACCATTATTCTATACCCTTAATAAAACGTATATCAGGTTTACAACAAAAGGTTAGTTTATAACGGAATATTTCTCTCGCAAGTAATCACACGAACATAGATAAAAACAGATTTCTTTATATAGCTACGAAGAGTTGTTTCCTGGCTGTTACGGGGCATGGCGTGATATCATGGCTACGTCTAGTCACTACTATAAGGTGTGTACTTTAAGACCTACTCGCGTCATTAGGACATGTTCGCGACTTTATTGTAGGGCTAACGTAAGTTACATATCATTTGTTCTAAAGCGTGTTCACTTGTACTAAAATGAGTCTGACCGCATTATAAATGAATAGTTAAGCCATGATAAAAAAAAGAAACTTGATCATCACTTCTTCAAAACTTGAAGAAGCGTTCAAGTTTCAATACTTGAATACAAGGAGTTCTTTTGGTATGCTGCGCAATTATTCAAAAAGTGTGTATGCTAATTGGAAACATTTATTTTTTATTAACAATTTTACTGACGCTCTATAAATAGTTCTGTGACAGATACCAACGAACTACCAGCATCTCAAATGAAGAAAAAGATACAATCATACACGATTTAGCTCCGTCGCCTGTTCGAGAGGAGTATGAATCGAATGTGGAGGAGCTACTTTTTCTTCGAAAAAGTACTCTGATGATTCCCCCCGAGTTCTTTGTCCTAAATGAAGCCTTTCTTCAGTTTTTTTCACTTGACTGTGATTACAAGACCTTGCTCAAATCGGATGTTTGCAGTTTAGTACTGGAAACCAAAACTATTGCCTAAAGAATATACGAGACGAAAAACTTGTTTAAATGCATGGATTCGTACTCTGTGATGATAACCGATGGATTTTTATGCACCATTTAGAAGCATACTATCATGACAAGTCTATCGACACTGTGGCTCAAGCCATTAAACATGATCCATACTCAGGGTCGGTTTCGGTGCTAATTCAAAATTTCAAGGAAGGAAGTGGTTTGCGGAACGACTTGCGAATCAGGCACCAAAAAAAAAAACAGAAATCATTGCCACAGGCGTTTTTGCTAGCACCTCCAATGAACAAGTTCAGTCATTTCTCTGGGTAAGGCTACCCTGTAATGTTTGCTCTGATGTAACAAAATTGATTCTTTTATCCCTGGAATGTATCGTACTGTCCAAGCCTTATATTCGAATGCTACAAAACTACTGCAAAAGAGGAAGCATGAAGGCATGGTGTTACAAGTCTGCATATTTTTCGTCAATCGGTTTCTGCAAACCAAACCAATTGGAGCTATATCAAGACGAACCTGTTGTATTTGATTTGGCTTGTTCAAAACTTATCATTGTAACAATCATCAGAACTCCTGAAGATAGAATTACTCTTGGATCCCTCCGAGTACTGGAAGAGCCTTAGGTTTGTCAAATTCACAGGAAAAGACAATACAATACAAGCCATTTTTTTCTGATAAGATGAAAGCGAAGCAAAAACAGATCAAATACCAAGAAATTGCTAGTCCAAAATACCTTAAATAGGCAGACAGCAATTTCGAACAATGAATTGATGACGCTTTATGGCGGTAAATATAAAGTTAGAAAATTGTTTTTTTCTTTTTTTTAAAAATGAGCTTGTGAATTTACTTGTAATTATCTTTGAAGGCTCTCTTATGTACAGTTACATTCACTAGAAAGTTTGCAGATACCTTTGCCGTATTCAGAGATATATGTGCTAAATCACACATATAGATTGTACATATAATAAATTCATATCTCATCATCACTGATAAATGATAGCTAAATCATGATCAGGCATAAAAAAGGAATTCGTTAAAGCCGGTCACTATTTTAAAGTGTCACGGTATCGTAACACCAATGTCCAAACTTAAGACATGTTATTGTTATTATTTCTCTATTGACTATGCGTAGCACTAATTGTCCAATATAGATATTGTTATTGATAGCATACTCATATTGTTAAGAGTAGTATCCTCAGCCTCGTCCATTCCAATTATTATAAATACTCTTTATTTTTCCTCTTCTTAAATCTTTAGTTAACTTTAACATCAATAAACTCTGACAAGAATTCTAATTGATCCTATTGTTTTTTTCTACCTTTTTTTCTGCAAAACTATCCTCTTTAAGCCTACTTTTGCTACAATATAGAGACCGATTGACGAAAAATATGCAGACTTGTAACACCATGCCTTCATGCTTCCTCTTTTGCAGTAGTTTCGTAACATTCGAATACAAGGCTTGGACAGTACGATACATTCCAGGGATAAAAGAATCAATTTTGTTACATCAGAGCAAACATTACAGGGTAGACGTACCCAGAGAAATGACTGAACTTGTTCATTGGAGGTTCCAGCAAAAACGCCTGTGGCAATGATTTCTGTTTTTTTCGTGCCTGATTCGCAAGTCGCTCCGCAAACCACTTCCTTACTCGCAATTTTGAATAAGCACCGAAACCGACCTTGAGTATGGATCATGTTTAATGGCTTGAGACACATCATCGATAGACTTGTCATGGTAGTATGCTTCTAACTGGTGCATAAAAATCCATCGGTTATCATTACAGAGTACGAAACCGTGCATTTAAACAAGTTTTTCGTCTTGTATATTCTTCAGGCAATGGTTTTGGTTGCCAGTAAACTGCAAACATCCGATTAGAGTAAGGTCTTGTAATAACGGTCAAGTGACGAAAACTGAAGAAAGACAAAGACCTCGAGGGAATCGTAAGAGTATTTTGTAAAAGTTTTCTTGAAAGCAACTCCTCGAGAAGTTTCTCGTGCTCTTCACGAACGAGTGATGGAACACGAATATGTTTTAAATTAGCTTTATCCTGGTCTAAATATAGTGCCATATTCCCAAATTTGGTGCCAAAATAGGACCTAGAATACCATCAGGCTTGTATATGCTATCAAGACTGTAAATACCATCAAGCCTGTCGCCAACATAGAGTAGATATACGCAAGGTTGGTGCTTTAGACATATAGACATAATAATAGACAAGAACCACTATGGTACATTATTTGCGCATGTTATTATATGATACATCACTATATACAACCTTTTGGATTCATATCATCTTGTCCAAAGCTCATTACCATTGCTACAAGTAACGATATATCAGGGTCTAAAATGGAAGTAAATAAAAAAGATTTTATTTTTATTTTTTATTTTTAAAAAATAGTGGATGAAATAATAAAGATATCTTGTAGTCAAACGTAGGATGAAGATAGAAAGGGGAATAATAAACACTGATTTAAATTGCCAATATTCTTCATGCAGTTACATGAAGTCTTCCTTTTATCAATGTTTTTCATATTATTGAATTAAATATCGATAATAGCTTTGTTTTATACCCTTTGATTTTTTTGAAGATACTTCTTCAACAATGCTAAATATCTGATCTACATAAATGGCCATCGTGCAGCATGTTTCCTATCTAGGGCTTTTGTATGATCTCACAATAGAATTATACCGCATATACAAAGAGAGAGTCACTTTGTACAATAATTCTATTGCTAAAGCTTGACCCACTAATGAAATTTCTGGTAAACTTCCTTCCGACCTTGTCTAAAAAGGTCAACAGATAAAGATGACGCTGATTAGACTCATCAGTCAGAAATTACTGATCCTGCAGTTTCTAAATTATTAGCATTATATTAAGAATGCTATTAATATCATTATCAGTAGTATTATACCGCATTCATACCGAATGGTGTCAGCAGCCTTAATTCCTTTGTGCACCTCGTTTTGTACCTGAATTATACTTGATTCCCAACACTTTTCTATGAACGATAATTTTAAATAGAAATAATAAAAGGGCCCCTATGTATCTTATTGCTAGAAAAGAGCCATGCCAAAGATGTCACTTCTGATACGTTCAAACAATAAAAAGCTTGCCAAGACTAAGGGTAAAAGAAGGTCGGAAAAAGTTATTCCTGTCCTGTGGATTCAAAGAGGGACGTGCACTCCTTCTCGAATATTCAGAAACGCGGGATGAGGGCCAGATTAGTTTTGAAATTGACGTGTTAATGTTTCAATTTTTTTTTTTTTTTTTTTTTTTTTTTTTTTGCTTTGAAATGCTAATAGCACTATACGACTTTATGCTGAACAAATAAGCATTTTTATATATTTATTTAAAATAGTTATTTTAAAAAAGTTAAATGAAATCTACAATTACCATTTAAGGACCAATCGACAAAAGGGTTTTCATTTGTCGATAAAATAATAATTTGGGTAACCGACCCTTAACACAAGCCTGACTGTATCATGTTGCTAGATCGGACGGATTTGCCAGATTTGGTTTATCTTTTTTTTTTTATCGGTGGCATATTTATAAAGAGATCGCATTGTGTGTTTCTGTGCCATTTTCAAGTCTTTTCAATGTCTCCTATTGCTATCCAACTCCCAGCAAAAAACCCAATGTTTTTAAACAAGCGCGTCATATTAGTAGATTCACTTTCAAATGAACAAGAGGTGTTGAATTGTTTTCAATGGTTCCTGAAAGACTATCCAGAATGGGACCGACATGTTCTACTTGGTTTTCTATCCAATCATTCTAAACAGGGCAGGAATGTTTACTATTTTGAAAAGAAAAGCTTTGATGCACTTGTTCCTATTGCTGCTGTCCAAATTATTAAATCTAATCAATATCTTGAATTGATCGATGGTAACCATAACAAAATCAAGCTAGAAAATATCACGAATTACCATGACAATGCCATATTACTTAATAGTGCTTTAGTAAGTATTTTATTTTAAAAGCCCCTTGGAAAAAAAAAAGCGAAAACGCACTTTTTTTCCTTTTTCTTCGTTTATCTAATCTAACTTTATGATTTCACAGTTCACTCAACCTTTAAACACAAGTGTACTACTCAACGCTTACAAATCTACACAAAAGCGTTTATTTTTGTTCGACTACGATGTAAGTACTTCATGCAATTGACTGTTTACGTCTTCGGAAATTGACTTGTCTATATCCAAAAGGGAACTTTGACGCCCATCGTAAGTAACCCAGCAGATGCGCAACCCACCGTAAACTTATTACACTCTCTTGATGCTTTATGCAAAGATCCCTGCAACACCGTTTGGATCATCTCTGGCCGTGATCAAATGTTTTTAGACACTCATCTTGGAAAAATTCCACGCTTGGGTTTAAGTGCGGAACACGGTTCGTTTATGAAAAAGGCAGGTTATAACGATTGGATCGACATGTTGGCTGATGCAGACATGTCTTGGAAAGAGGTCGCTTTGAATATTTTTGAAAAGTATACACGCTTAAACCCAGGCACCGTGATTGAACAAAAGAAATCCTCCATCACTTGGCATTACCGTAATGCCGTTAATACAGACGAGGCGTAAGTTTCTATTGAATAACTGTACCTGTCTTATCTTTTTAATTTTGTTGTTTGGGTACTAGTGAAAAGCAGTCTGAATTATGTCATGCCGAATTGATCCAAATTCCTGGTGTAGATATACTTGTTGGAAAAATGAATTTAGAAGTTAGATCATTGTTAGTGAATAAGGGTGAGGTGGTTAAGCGCATCAAGCAGAAGCAAGCTTCCGATTTCATCATGTGTGCCGGCGATGATCAAACAGATGAAGACATGTTTCGTGTCCTTACAGATGATAAGAATGCTTTTTGTGTCTCCGTCGGTCCCTTATCGAAAAAGACATTGGCCAAGTATTGTGTTGAACATAGTGAAGATGTCGTCCATATCATTGGTCAATTAGTTAATAACAGTACTTTATAGAATTCATCATTTAGACATAATAAAATTTAATGCTCTCCAATTTATTATTATTGAGATAAAACTACATATTTGAGGGGGGAGGGAAAGATGTCCTTATCCAGTTTATGAACAATCGCCATCTTTTGCCCAAACGGTTACATGAATATCAGGTGATTGATTCTATATATACTTATAAGTAACCTTATCTAACATCCTTACAATAATCTTCTTTTTATATATACACTTACATTGTTCACCTTGGATGCAACAAAAACTTCTCTCTTATGCATTACTTTGCTGCCAACCTTGTAAGTCTTTCTCTTGCTCCATCGGGTATGATTGCATTTTTCTGCTACGGATCTGGCAGCAATGGATGGACAGCTCTTGACCTTGGTCCATGCACCGGATGTTCCTCCGGGCTTATCGTTCAATGACCACCAAGCTGCCTTCCAAAGTTCTGAGTTATAAATCACCATCTTGCCAGAAGTATATGCGGCTGTGCTGGACCATGAATCCACACCAGTGCAGCTATCAGCGGGTAAAGGAGTTGAGGAAGAAGTAGCAACAGCCGAGGTGCTTGTTGTTGTGGCAGATGCGCTGGTAGTAGGGACTTCAGATGTGCTAGCAATGGTGGTAGAAGCAGAAACACTTGTTGTAGAAGTTGTAGATGGGCTGGTGGTAGAAGTTGTAGAACTAGTCGTAGCAGAAGCAGACACGGTCTTAGTTGTGACAGATGTAGATCCATCACCAAGGGTTCCGCCAGCACATGCACTAACTATTATATGACCTTAATATTCCTGATAGCTATCCATATAATCTATATTCACTTACTTGGAGACCAATCACTAGTCACACTTCCATTAGGAACAGTTGCTGTCCACCATTTAGTCTATATCATAAATAAAAGATAAGTATGTCATACATTCAATGTAATAAAGATTTTCTTACAGTCCACATATAACCCCTTCAAGAAAAAGATAAAAAAATTAATAAAATTGAATCTGAAATCGAAAAAAGACAACTTACTTGTAAGAAACAGTGGCACCATTGGTATAAGTATTACCAGCAACAAAGGCGGGGGCAGTACATGTTGGGTATACAAAACTGTTGTCACATTTCTTACCAGATTTCATACCATTTTTCATGGCAGCATCGATTTGGTTATTCTTGTGTGCCTGGGAAGCATCCCAGAACATGACACCACCAAAAGAGGGGAAAGCAGCACGTGTGGCCAAAGCAATCTTTAAAAGGGTATCTGCAGGAACATAACCGCCACCAGCAGCGGAGGCACTTGCAGGAGCGCCGATGTAAATCTTGACATCCGGATTAGGGGAGATGGTACGTGCCCAAATATCCCAAGTACCGAAATTCCATTGAGAGGGTGAGTTATAGTTTTGAAGACCACAGGGATTGTTGTAGAATTGGACATAAACGGCGTCAAAAGGATAGCCATTCAAGGCAGTTTGAAGGTTAGCGTCAGGATAAACACATTGAGGGGCAGCTGTTACATAATACTTCTTGCTGGACGATTTGAAGTATGTATTTAATTTGTTAAGAAAAGTTACATAATCTGCAGAAAAAAAAAAGAAGGACGAAACGATTAAATTGTGTTTATGACGCGTGTTATCATCACTTACAATTAGGTCCACCGCCTTCAATATCGAGATCAATACTATAAGTTTCAAATTAGTTTCAATAAGCTTGCTTATGTGTCATTATACTGTCTTTTTTTTTATATATACCCATCTAACACAGCATCGCCAAAAGGACGCGTCTTCGAACTACCGCCTAAAAAGAGGTTCCAAATGGTGTCGGCAAAGGCAGTAGCCTGAGCGTCAGATTGAAATCCAGCACCACCTGTGGCACCACCCAATGATAAGGTAATCAATTTACCCTTTTTTTGACAGTATTCAATTTCAGGGGCGATATTCTGACAATTTGCGAGGCCGGTTCCTGGGAAAGTAGCATTATCCACACTGTTACAGTACTAAAATAAAAAATTGTTACATTGCTTGCTGATTTATAATTACTGTCAAAATAACATACGTTTGCGAGATTGATTTGGGGTTCGCCACCAACACCAAAAAAGGTGGTTAAGAAAGAAATTGGCAGGACATCAACGGAATCATCATCACAATAGAATTTCAAAGGTTGTTGCCAACCAGATGGATCATTGCCGTTAGCAGCACCATAAGAATTTTGACCCCAATCTACAAAAGAATGTCAATAGATGGTTTTTTTAAAAGAAAATGACAGAATTAGTAACTTACAGTCAACAATGTTATCATTGCATTGATTCTAAAATTGCGAAATTGAATATAAGCTAAGATTTTTTGCGTCATTAAAAAATTTAAAAAAAAAAATCTTACGTTGTAATCGGCTCTTGCGAATCCAATTATTGCAGAAACAGCTAAGATCAAGATATTTCTCATTCTGTTGTTATTGAGAAGAAAAAATAAATAGTTAGGAAAGAATAAAGTGCATTGTATTTATATGAAAAGGAAAATATTTAAATTCCTACTGTTTGTCGTGTAACTTTATGTGATCATGATGGGAGGATCGAGCATTGATGGTCGTTTAATTCCAATATTGTCTAGGACTTTTTGTTCATACATTTTTCATAGTAACACGCATTTTATATAATGGAAGTTTTTTTTTCTATTGAAATTGATTCTATTGTATTTTATTTTTCTATTTACTACCCAAAACTTCACGAGCGATTTTACAGCTCCATTGGACCTTCTCCAAGTCTTCTTCACCAAGACCAGAATGTTTACCTCGCACAACGGATTCCAGCATGAAAAAGATACAACCCTGAGAAAGAGTACGTAATTCAATAATCTTACCAAATACATTAGCGATAGCTTGTGCACCTCCAGAGTGTAATTGTAATAAAAGATTAGCAAAGAAGATTTCTAAGAAAATACGAGCGTTACGCTGCACAGACATGAAATTGACACTTTTTAAGATGGCTAATGTAAGCGCACCCTCTGCAACCAAAGACGCATAAAATTTGGCCATGTTCATTAATTTGCTGAGTCGCATGTTTTTGCTCTCTTCGGTATGGTTCTCACTGGCGCTTCTTTCTAATCCACCAACTTCAGTCTCACCACATTCTCGGAGAAAATCCCAAAGACAATATTGGAAAGTCACCTTGAATGAATGATCCACTTCACACAATCGTTTACTCACAAGCATGTAATAAGGGTTAAATGATTTTTCCTATTTTTTTGTGGCGGTTAGAAATTAAGGGGAATTATTTTGTGTTCGATTTGTCACACTTTACATTTCCAGTACATTGTAACATAACACGACATATTTCACGTTGTTGTACTTCACTCAAACCAAGTTTCATGAGTTTTTCAAATGCGTCCAAATAATCCTAAATAGCATATACACCTTTAGTTTTTTTTTATTGTTTATGTAAACAATAAGACCTACCTCGGAACTCATAATAGTGACAAAGATTGTTCTACGGATATCAGTATTCATGCCTTGCTTTCTTGCCAATTTCAACAAAGCTTCTTGTAAGGATTGATCTTTTTTCAAATCCTCAGGCATAGACGTGTATTTACTTTCTGTGCCCACAAGGTTATCTTTCCAAGAGGAACCAACCAACCACCATTTACCCTTTGTTTCAACATTGCGGATATCATCCAAACTGACACGTAATGCTTCTGTACTACGTACAGATCGTTTCTTTGATAATCCATTCAAGAACTTCTTCATCTTTGAAACCATTTCTTTGTCACCTTGACCACCAGCTGTTTGTCCGTTTTTGATCTTGTTGTTCTTTACATTAGCAATCGTTTCAAGCATGAATTTATGACGAGTGCTACAGTAACAATATAAAATAAGTAATTAATCAATAAAAAATAATATGTCTAATCTTATTTTGTTGCTTACGATATAGTAGAAGGGTCACGCTTAGCAGTTTCCTTTTGGATTTCATCAATAATATGCTTTAAAGAGGCAGGGTCATCGTTACGCATTTCAGGACCAGCAGCTAAACAATTTGATATTAATAAACAAATGGATTATCTAATATATTTGTTTGTACTTACTTCTGATAATTCGAAGTAACAGATCCACTGAGTGTTCATCTAAACTGCTGATAAGTTCACGAACGATATCGTAAATAATCACACATGACAAGACTTGGAAGTTGTATAATTCTAAAATCAAGGTCAACAAATTCTTAGTTTCTCTAGCTCCTTCGTATCCTTCATCGCCATTGTCATCGCCTCTTTGAATAGATTCCAAACATTTTTTATGATCCTTTTCAAACATTTCAACCAAAGTTTGGACGAAATGGGCAGCTAAAAGTTATCATGTGTTAGTGGTTACTCCTAAAATAATATAAAATGACTAATAAAATGCTTACCAAATTCAATACCAATTAAACGATAGAGACTAGCAACAATGGTGGCGTATGTAATAACAAATGAATCCAACAAATTGTTCTTTTGTGCGATAGATGTTAAAATTAAATCGGAAATTGTTGAGGTAACGTCTACAAAAAATTTCGATCAATGTGTGATCTAATATTATAACGTAAGTGAGCTTGTCTTACCATGACGAGGGTAGATACCGTAACACTTTTCAATTTCAAGCAAGATACTCTCCATATTACTCTCACTCAATCTGTTAAGTTGACCCTGAAGTTGTTTGTGGAGCTTCATTTGTTGTTCACTCTTGGTAACTGCAGTCTTTCTCAAATGAGGAGGGACGTATTTTGTCAAGACACTGGCCTTAGGTTGCTCTTGTACTTCCTCTTCCTTTTCCTCCTCCTCTTCGCTTTCCTCATTTAAGGCTTCCTCGTCACTATCAACGTCATCTTCGTCAATGATTTCTTCGTCATCATCCTCACTTTGATCTTCGTTCATGGACTCTTCATCGCTTTCCTCTGCGTCTAATAAACCTTCCATATCTTCATCATCCTCATCCTCATCTTCTTCTTCCTCGCTATCTAAACCAGCAAATATATCATCAACAGCCTCTTCTGCCTTGCCTTCCATATCATTCAAACGCTTCTTTTCGGCAAGTCTTTGTCTCTTCTTACGAAGGTATTCTTGATCATCATCACCTTCCTCGCCTTCAATGCCGCCGAGAATATCTAATAAACCATCTTCCTCGAATTCCTTGCCCAAGGTCTTGACCTTTTTCTTGTTCATGCCTAATTTCTTTTCCCAATAAGCAATATCACGATCATCGTCGGCAAATTCGTCATTGGTATCATCATCGGCAGCACCTTCAATCAAGTTATCTGCTTTTAATAATTTGTAAAGTCCAGGATTAGATTTGGATAAACGCTGCATGGCTTCGGCAGATGATTTTCCCTTAGGTGCTTCCTTCTTTTTAGGTGGCTCCACTTTCTTTACTGGCTTGGCAACAGGCTCTTGCACCTTTTGACGTTTGTTGGGAGGGGCATGTTGTTCAGGTGCAGATCTCTTTTGGTGGTGTTGAGCATTGCGCTTGCCTTTTTCTAATTTCTTTTGCTTTCTTAAATCCTTACGGGTAGAAGCAGTAATTTTAAACTTTCTTCCAAACTTGCGATCATCCTTGTCTGTTATTGATAACCGTGAATATAATTAAGAACAAGCAAAATGCATAAGTCTATTATTTCTGTTTGTTACCTTGACCGTCTAATTCTTCCTGCATCGATTTAGGAAGTGTTGATCCGGGAGTTGGTACATGTTTACCATGATCGTTTTTCTTGAACGATCCTCCCTTGTTATAAGCTCCTCCCTTCTTGAACGATGGTTGTTGTGGTCTCATGGTCTTATTCTTCACAATTTAGAAAAAAAAGCTTTCAACTTTTTTTTTTCTTCTTAAAAAGGGCATTTGTGACGGGTATAATTGACGGAACAGTGTACCTGTTTTGCATAACTGCTTTGGGCGGCAGCATAAAAAATCAGATTATCTAGCACGACAGACTACAATGCCAATAGTATGCTTAATTTGAAATGGATACTCTAAAATGTAAGGCTAATATTGGTTTACGCAAGTATAGATATACTGTCTACGGAATTTTGTCGAGATTCAACTCTCGGAAGCAATTTAATACAATTTTCAAACGAATTAATCAATCATCTGAGCATGTCAAATGTAATGGCCCCGACTTTTGACAGTTCTACATTTAAAATCCTATAATTTTTCTTATGTACATATAGTATTTGATATATCTTTAGATTATATTAAATGAAAGTGGACAAATCTAAAAAAAAATATCTTTTATTTAGGAGGAAGGCCACGCGCACGTCGAGTTGTTCTTAAGCTGCGAGGGCGACCACGAGGTTGGCCAGGACCGCGTGTAGAACGAGGTCGGCCAGGACCACGCTTAACAGGAGGAGTGCAAGAAATTACAGTTTCTGAAATGTTGGCAGTAGGAGGAGTGTTGCTGATAGGTGACGGAATATCCGTAATGCTAGGAGGAGTATTGTCAACACAAGGGGCATTGTCAATAATAGAATCATTGTCAATAATGGGACTTTTGTTAATAGTAGAACTTTTGTCAATAATGGGACCTTTGTCAATAATAGGATCATTGTGATTAAGAGTAAACATCATGCTAGTAGGATAAAGAGCCTTGCATACACGTTTAGCTACCTCAGTTTTACGGCGACCTGCCTTGGTAATACGGGGAGCTGTCTTAGTAATACGAGGAGGAGGAGTATTGGCAATAGGAAGAGAAGCAGGAAGTGGTTTGCGATATCTAACAGTTTTCGAAGCAGGCTTAGTGGGACGTGGAGTATTGATAATAGGAGGAGGACGGCTGATAACAGAAGGGTCTGTAGAACCATCAAGTGAAGCCTTGGCCGTTTTCCCAGAGCGAGGAGGAGGAGCGGCTAAAGGAAATGCATCAACAATGCCCTTGTAATCATTATCATCACTACTTTCAGAAGGAAAAAGAAACTTCATATGTTCAGGCTGAAAAGGGAAATTATGTGGTGGTTCGCCACGGAGAGCACGGGCCTTATCAACACTTTCTACATGAAGTTCATGTTCTAATCGACATGTTTCTATAATTTTTTCACGGGCAGCTTTAACCTTTAATGCCCGGGCCGTTGCTTTCTCGTCCATATATTTTTGTAATTCGGGGGAATTGCCATTAGCACCGCAGGTCATGAATGTCATGTTGCGACGATCACTGGGCTGGCTAGGATAATTGATGGACTCCTGTCCGAAACAAAGCTCCAATCCATGTATCATATCATTTTTATGTTTTTGATGCCAAATGTATTCCATTATTTTGAGAGGTAATTCTTCAGAGTTAAAATGGGTTGAAGCAATGTGTCTCTTCATTTTGGCCCATCCGCTACTGATGATACTGGTATTCATTTTTTTGTCTGTGCTTGCATTATTTTTCACATTTCGCTTTTTACCGCCTTTAAAATAGTCTGCAATGTCTTGCGAAGAAATATGTTTAATTCCAGAACAAATTTCCATATCACGACGACAATATTTGGCGATAATTGGCAAAATTGTGTGGTGAGTTCTGTTTGGAATGGTGCAATAAAAAATCTCGCCACCCGAGAACGAGCCTTCCGTCTCAGTTTTTAAAGCTTCAACAATACCCAGAACCCAAAATCCGGGTGCTCGTTCCTCATCAAGTCTCTCAAATTTGTTTCGATGTTTTTCGAATTTCCTTACACCTATTTGAAGGTGATCACACTCAGGGCTATCACCAAGGAGGACTGTTGGAAGTTTTTTGTCGTCTTCTTTAAAGAAGTTTCTTCTAATATAACCTTCTCTAAGAATTGTACAGGATCGCAGTAGTTCATTAATCTCATCGTGAGTTGCATAGCGCGACGCTGTTATACTGCTATGGGAATAAGCCCTAAAGAGGTCACGAAAGATACCCAATCGCACACCCAGTGGAATAACTTTGTCGTCAAAAATTGATCCTTCAGTGGGCGGTCTTTTATAGTGTGAGTGCACCTCTGGGTTTTCGCAAGAGAACATGAGTTGGTTTTCATCGTCGATAAATGGTTCCATATGCTCTTCACAATCGGGATAATAATCGCACACTTTTTGAGAATTAAATGCACCAATTCTGTCTAAATATCTATTTTAATTGCTATATTGGTTAAAATGGTGTATCCGCGACTATTATAGGATGTTGAATATTCACTAACTGCATCGATTTTTCTTCACTGACTTCTTCTTGCAACTGCATTATTCCATCACCTCCCGCTAGGAATCTCGACCCATATGGCCTACGGTAACCAAATTCGGAAGAGTTGCCAGTCCCGTTTTTGCAACTTGCTTTCTTGGCTCTTTTGGCGCTTACCATTTTTTGATAGCTAAGAAATAAAAATTGAAAACAGTGAAAACAGTGAGATTTTAAACAAATGGGAGGTAGTAGAGTTGGAACGTTAAATATTATAACGATATATATATTGGGAGATCACAATAAAAAACAGCAAAACATTTAGCAATGTCATTTTAGTATTCAACATTTAACTTACATGAAAGGGAGTGAAAATTTTGACATTGTTGTTCAGGTGCCACTTTGTGACGACCAGCTGGCAATCAAATTTTACAACAACAATATCCAGACGTTCATTTTGCGATTTATAGTCTGTTGTGTTTTGCTAACTAGAGAATTCTTATCTGCTTAATATTTTATGAAGGCGAAGAAGATTATCAAGATTAGAATGATACCACTTGCAGATTTGATACCATATCAATTTTTTAAGGAAAGCTCGATATCTAAAAAAACATAAACGAATATCTGTTCCATCATAAAGAGTTTATCTAGGTATACTTTGGTTAAAATCCGTGAAGAGACTCACAAAATAAATTTAAAGTGGTATTTAAGAATAGGTTAATGCTGGTATTAAAACTGATGATAGAAAAAAATAAAATCATTTATTAGTTTGAAAGGATTGGGCCTTTTAAAATAATAATTTAAAGGTGATATGAAATCCATAAGGTACTTGATTAAAATGTTAAGATCTTGGTGGATAACAAGGATAATTGCTTGAGTCCATAGTATATGTCGAAGCTCTAGAAGATCCACATCCCATTGTAGCTAGTAAATATTTAAGAATTAAAAAAAATTGAGGTAAAAAGGTGAACAATAACACTTAAGCCTTATTTATATGCATTTTGTGTGGTCAGTGTTAAAAAGATGCCAGCATACCATTGAGTGGTAATAAAGATGAGTGGGTTGATTGGATACTACTTAGAAAGACCTTCACTCCTACCATTGTTTCTTCCTGGATTAGCTGTGAGAAATATAAAGATGACATCCAAATCGATCAGTTTTATTGTTAAAAAAAACGGCTTACTTACGAGTATCCTTGCCTGGTCCTGGGATGATCACCATACCATGGAAACTTCCTGAAGAAAGACTGCTATTACTAGATGAAGTTTCACTTGAACAACAGCCCATAATATACGAATAGATATTAAAAAATGTTATTTAAAATTTCTTAGTTCTCATTAATCATAAGCAACACTATTTATATCTCACTTGGATTATTTGCATAAAGAGCCCTAACACTGACAACTGACCACATGGGTATACAATACCCTCATCTTTGAAACTCGGGAATTCTTTAGCTGACCTTAAAGTTAGTGTCTATGGTCTAACAAAATATAAGTAAAGGGGTTTTGTCCCAATAACACAGGTATGTATATGTTATCAGATATATGCGGTCAGCATGAGGTAGGGTCAAATTCACGGAGACAAGCAGAGACGATACATGAAGAAATCGGATCAGTTAATCATGAAGCCAAACGGTTTTGAAAGAAATTCGAGGCATTGATCGTAAAAATATTTTACCAGACTACATATTCGACACCAAGGAAAATGATAAATTGTGCTTTTTTTAGGCATTGAATGCAAGATTAAATGTTGACGGTTACACCATGATTTGGCAGACATCTTAAAGCTCCGTGTTGTATTAAAAGTTTTATAACTTTTACTTTTGGGGCCTTTTTTTAATATTGTTTTGTTCTTTTTTAAATGACATATTCATTTAACTTTTAACCAAAACAATATTTTGAAATAGACAGATGGAGGATGAAACCTACCATGTAAGACCATTTATGGCAGCTTCAAGCGATTATGCTATTGAAATGGAACCTGAATCACCTCGTCATTCAACTGATATACCACAAAGGAAAAATTCGACACAAGTCGACGTCTGTTATCCTTATGAACCTCAGCTCCTTGATCAGCATTCGACGATCGAAACAGACGTTTTAAATGCCTATCTTGAAAAAGACGATGAGATTGTAGATCCCGAGTTCAAAACAGAACGTCAAATGTCGGCTAAATTAGACGACTTGTTGGAAAATAATAACGAAAGGGCTTCCATGTCTAGAAGATATAGTCTTTATGGAGAAATTATCAAAGTAAGCCATTAGTCTCTTATTTTTAAAACTCTTCATTTTTCTTACACTCTATGTCCCTCCATAATAGGACCCATCCGAAGTAAATAAGAACATTGATCGGTACACTTTTTATTCCGCCGAGCTTGGATCATTGAAGACTCGTTCGTTTAAAGAATTGCTTGAAACCAGTTCTCCAGATCAAGAGTTTAAAACCGTAGCTGATTTATTAGTAGAGACGACAAGTTGGTGGATAGATGTACTAGCCCCTACAAATGATGAGATGCGTGCCATCAGTAAGGTAAAATAGTAACGGATGCATCCTGCGTATGTAAATGATAAAACTGAAAATTTATAAATAGATTTTTCGAATTCATCCTCTCACAACTGAAGATATTCAAGCCCAAGAATCAAGAGAGAAATGTGAAATCTTTCAAAACTACATGTTTATTAGTTTCCGTAGTTTCAATCATGATTATAATAGCCAAGACTACTTGGATGCGGTCAGTTTTTATATCGTCATTTTTAAAGACGGTGTCCTCACAGTAAGTTTAGAGTCTTCGTAAATATATATATATATAAAGCTTTCCCTCCCCGCCTGACACAAAGCATTCTAGTTCCGTTTCCAAGATTTACCACATCCTCATAATGTGCGTCGCCGTATCCATCAACTGAAAGATTTCATCAAAGTTACACCCGAATGGATTAATTACGCTCTTATCGATAACATCACGGATAGCTTTGCCCCTTTGATTCAACACACTGAATTAGAAGTAGATTCTATCGATGATCTTGTCCTTGTATTGAACGGATCTGAGCAAAATGATATGTTGCGCAGAATTGGTAGTTGTAGAAAAACCGTTATGCAATTACTGCGATTGTTAAGTCCCAAAGCAGATGTTGTGAGGAGTTTAATTAAGCGTTACGAAGACAAAGCAAAAGAGAATATGTATAACACAAGGTTAAGAGAATCACAATCAACAAATACTGATGTATATCCAGAGCAAGATGAAAACAAAGTTCATCATGAAGTTACCCTATATCTTGGTGATATCCAAGGTAAATAGTAAATTTCTGGAAATCTATTATATCTGTTAACATTTCCCCGCTTTCTTTTTTTTTTTTAAAAAAAAAAAAAAAAAGATCATATTCTTACTATGTTGCAAAATGTAAACCATTACGATCTTATCCTTGGTCGTGCCCATAGAAACTATTTAGGCCAGATTTCCATTGAATTATCTCAAGCGGGTAACACCACTAATGGGGTTATTAACCGATTGACTTTCTTTGCTACTATTGTTGTACCTCTGGTAAGTTTGCGTTTATAGTCGCTAATTTATAATAGCTTATTTTTTATTTTACTAACGTAACATAATATATAGAATCTAGTGGGTAGTTTATTTGGTATGAACGTTAGTGTGCCAGGCCAAAGTGAAAATGATTTAGTCTGGTTTTTTTGGATCGTCCTTGGTATGGTTTTATATGTTGTTTTTATGGTTGCAGTTGGAAAAAGAACAGGATTTTTGTAATATATTGTGTATTTAATATCATATTTTGTACAATTAAAGTAGTATTTTTTTTTTTAATTTATATACACTGCGTTTGTACGACCCACGTTCAATGATAAAAAAGAAAGTCTAACTAAACAGGTTATGACACAAAAAAAGTAATAGATAAAATATATGCAGATCCCTTACTTTTGTATTATTTGTTTGTAAATGGAAACAAACTGATTAGAATTTCCAAGATGATGTAACTGGCATGAAACGCTTATATCTTCCTAAATGTTGTGTTTTAAAAAAATAAAAATGAGATGCGACCGAAAAGACGTCGTGTAACACGTAAACTTTATTTGTTTGGCCCACACCCAACGTACAGGCATGATGACTTTTCTTTTTCTCTTTCCCCACGTTTTGTACCCAATTGTTTGTTTCGCTTTCTTTCACAAATTACACTTTTTTTTCCCTTTTTTATCAATTCACCTATTTTATACCAAAGTTTAAGCATGGGCACTTCCAGTAAGTTTAAGAAGCTACTTGACTTTAAGTGCCTTAAGAAACTTGACTAAAATTTTGTTACAGAAGACGTAGATAATTCATTGTTCTCTGATGTAGAACAAAACCAACTACGCATGTTTTTGGATGGTTTAGAAAAAGATACAAAAAGTGAGTTTATTATTAATAGAAATGCATAGAAATTCCAATGACAAATAAACCTCACAACTAATTGAAATCCCTTTAGTTTCCTCCTCCACGAAACCCACGCCTATCCTTTTATCATCTCCTTACCAAATACCTACTGAGACTCCCGTGAAATCCTTTCAAAACAATATTCATATCAATTCACTTTTATCTAACAGTAATAATATGAAAGCTCCAACGAAAAAATACCCACAAAAACGTATGTCGCCTTACTCACCTGCATCTTCTTCTTCGGATGAATACCGCACCAAGAAAGTAACAAAGACTTCTAAAAAGACATCTCATGAACTGCTGAGTGATGATCAGAAGAAAGCAAATCATATCGCATCTGAACAAAAGCGCAGAGCCAATATCCGAATAGGTTTTGAAAAACTTATTGATATTGTACCCACTTTGAGTAGCGGGCATCGAAGTGAGGCATTAATTTTACAAAAATGTAAAGGAAAATGACTTTTTTTTTTTGGAGCGTAATCTAACACACTTTATTGTTCAGCCGTGGAGCACTTGAGACAGTTGGTTGAATCAAAAACACAGTTAAAAGAAAGAGCACGTGAGCTACAGTTGATGCTGGGTGACATGTAAGTATGTTTCACGCTCATAAATGTATCTTTGCTAACGCTCTAATTTTAGACCAGATGAGGATGTAAGTGCCAATCATTATTCTAATTTTTTTTTTACTAATATTTCGTTAAACAGAGTTCTGAAGGGGAGATCGATTATGATTTTTAATCTTAATATCAACTCTGTAAATATATATTCCCATAAATGCTTTCCATAACTTAATAAACCTTATTCCATCTCGTCTTAAACAATTTATTATAATTACAATTTTTTTTTTTTCGTAGTCTTTCAGTCTCACTTATTTTCTAGTTATTAATAGAAGACAGCAATTTTTGCATGCGGTCTCGAATCAGCGCGATTGGTTCGTGCTGCATGCACTTGGTTACACCTTGAACAAATGATGTCTTTGCATCTCCTTTAACTGTCAGGAAAAGAATTATAAGCAAAAAAAATTACTCGGAAACAAAATTAATATTTTACCTGTACCACTGAGTGATAATTGTTCCAGGACATCGACAGCAGCAGAGCGAATAGCAGAGTATTTCAAATCTTCCAACGAATCAAAACTTGCCTTCAAAAGTTGACTCATCACCTTTTCGTCACTTAAACTTTGGAAAGTGCTATGTTCTACGAAGGTTTTTAAACTCTGTAAAATGGCTAATTGAACGTTCCAAACATTGCCACGAAGACAACTGGTAATCATTTCTGCCAAAGCTTCAGCCGAAGATTCTATCATATTTAAAACAAGTTAATTGTCTGTTTTGCTTATATAGTTGATATATTCTTTTTCTGTATATACCTTGGTGATTAAATGATTTAGGTCTGTAAGCAGAGACAATGGCCTTGAAAGCGTTTGCTTTGATCATTAATAACAGTGGTTTAGCGTTATCGTTATCTTCGTCTTCCATTGCTTCCGCTTCATCCATCTTGCACAATTCAGTTAAGAATTCTGTTACATCACCAAGAATATCAATTTGTTCGGCAAATTGATCTGTAAAACTCGTCAAAGAGACCAATGCATGACGTTGGTAGGTACGGTTCTTCCTCTTGGCTTCGCGCACCATAATTTTAGCAACTTCAGCTAATGAAGGCTCTCTCTCCGATTTGCCAAATGTATCCTTGACAGAGATACAGAGTTGAACAAAGGCTTCCAAAACATTTTCTTTACCGGCCCAAGATCTTGTGGCCAAGGTAGACACCAAAATAGGTAAAAGCTTATGGGCATGTACTTGAACACCCTTACCAGAAGACTTACACATATCTGCGATCGTCAATGCGGCAGTTTGCTTTACCTTCCAAGATGAAGAAGTTAAAAGGGGTTGTACGAACTCTAATATTTCATCAGCATAGAGTGTCACCATACTACGCGTACCAGAAGTCAAATTCTCCCATGCTTGTTTCCAAAGCTTGCTTAAATTAGTCTCAGGATCATGCTCACCAAAAAAGATAAGAGGAACAATTGCTGTGGCAATAGAATTGGCACGATCAGTTGCAAATCGTGTGATTTCGACTACTGTGACCACGCTACCAGCCTTTGCATCTTCGTCTTCTTCATCAATATAAAGCTTTTTTAAATGTTTGGTCACAGCTATGAGTCGGTCATAAGTAGCTAGCTGGCAGACGTAACCAATAGCAGTAGCATAAGATTTACGAATAACGGGATTCTTGGACTTGATGGTACCACTAAGCGCCTTTAAGTAAACATCTGCAAAAGGTGTAAATGCACTTCGGCGGTTCATAACCAAAGTCACAATAAAACGAGCACATCCAGCCTTGGTAGGGAGACCTGTACCCTTTCTTACGATTTGAAGGATACGAGGTGTTAACTCTTCCATCACTTTTTCGTCGATTTGGTTCACACAGTGTTCAATACCTTCCATCATGGGAGAGTTTTTGGCGCCACTAAGACGAGCATTGTCCAGCTGCTCCTGAGAAATATTGTATTTATCTACATGAAAACTCAAGTAATTCATGGATTGGGGTTCAAGAGCTAATATACATAAGAAAAGAAATGTTAACTTTGTGAATCAAATAAATCCTTGGTATAACTTACACGAAAGAGACTGGAGTAATGTATCAATAAGTTCAGGGATAAACTTCTTCAACAAAGTAGCACCTGTTTTACATACGCGAAGAACCGCATCTAAACTAAATTTGCGAACATCTTCTGCATCGGAAACGAGACCTTTTTGAAGCAAGAAAGGCATGACGATATCCATGACTTTTTCACCATCCGCAATTGCTACCATGGTAGGATCACAGTAGTGTACGGTTAATTTGGTCAAGGATCTACAGGTTTGAGTCGCAGCCTGACGTACGGAATCCTTAATATCATCTAGAGCACGGAAACACATTTGCCATAACTGTTCAAGATAAGGCTCGATTTGAGCTAATTGACGTCCCATGACTAAGTCTGTGATAGCAGCACAAGAAGCTTCACGAATTCTCCATTGACTGTTGCCAAGACCTGTCAATAAATCATCCATAATTTCGTTGAAGTAAGTATCCACAGTCTTTTGATTATCCTTGACAAGGGATCTCCAAATTGATTTCATAGTTTGGTTGACACGGGGATTGGGATCAAATTGATATCTGTATAATTTGGGGATCAAACGAGGAAGGTAAGATTCCATTTCCTTTTCGGCCAAAGCCATCAAGTTTTGGAACCCAAAGGCTGCTCCTCTGCGTGACGTCCACATGGCGTTGTGGTTGGCCAAATTCATAAACTTGTAAATAAGATCAGGTTGGTTTAATTCAGATGCAAGCGAGCATAACTCCTTGTAAGTCGTGATTGAGTTGCCATCGGGTGTTTCACCAAGCGCACCTTCTTCAAACAAAACCGTGTTATCCGTGACAGATTGAGCTTGAATAGATCGTCCCTCTGTGAATGTACCGACAAGCGAGAAAAGCATCTCTTCCTTGATCTTAGAATCACCATACTCATAAACAAGACCCAAACCCTTGGAAGCACACTCTTGCGTGAAGTCATCCTTATCAGAAAGAAGACGTGAGAAAGAAGCGTGAATGTTGTTTAAGTTCTTTTTGACGAGTGCATGATCTTTGCCGAATTTAAGAAGTGAGAGTAACCAAATACAAGCTGCCTTTCTATACCATGACTTGTTACTAGTAACATAAACGCGAATCATTTTCTCGATAATGTCTTGCTGGAAAGTCGAATCACTGGCGGCAGGAGGCTTTAAATTAGCCAAGACAGGCATTTCATTGATATCCTTGTATTTTTGCAAAGCTTGTGATTCCCAGCCAAAAGCAAGTGCTGACCATGCTTCACCACTGGCAAAGTTCAACTCCACCTGCTTTGTATCAGCAGTATCATAAAGTGCATCCACCACAAGTTTAGTTAAGGCAGAGGTAGACGGTGTGGATACAAGTGGAATCGAGATATGGCCCAAAGCCAAAGTCGCCTTTTCCTGAACCTTGGCTTCTTTACATGTCTTTGCCAAACTAGCTAATTTTTCAATTACATCCTGAATAGAAATACCAATATCCATACTTTGGTCCTTCTCAGCAGCGATAGGGAAAGGCAATAATTTGGATCGGCCTATTTCAGCAAGTGATTGGCAGGCAGCGTTAGCCAAAAGGTAAAAGGGTGATGTAGGTGCACCTTCCAAAAGTTTGACAAGATTGGTTGCACATCGAGAAAGAATATCGTCTGAGAGCTTACGGAGACGGTAATGACAACGGCCTACAAGATAACCGATGGATAATGCAGCACCATGACGTTGGTCGAGGGCTTTTTGGTGCACTTTACTACCTTCAGGAGTCTCCAAAATCTTGCAGAATTCATCAAGAATAGATTCAATATCTGATTCAGGAACGCTTTCATGACTTGCAATAATACCAAAGATGTGAGATACTAGGGTACGTGCTTCCAATTTATCAGACAATGAAAGGGACTTAAAGAAGCTAAGACGGTCTTTAAAAGTGGTAGCAATCGAAGATGGACCCAATGATATGACCTCTAGTAAACATTTGGCTGAAGTAGCAAGCAAAATTGAATCTGCAATATCAAACCATAAAAATGTTAATATTCTATCTTCTATTTTTTTCTTTTTTTTTTGATTTTTTTACCTTTCAGTTCTGGGTTTAAACCGTTTTCAACAAATTCAAGCCAGTATTGAATGACTTGTTTTTCATTAGCATCTCCTCGAAGCCATAACTCGGTCACGCTCAACTTGAAATTATTCATGGTAATTGGATCCTCTGCCATACTACTTTCTACTTTATCAGAGACATACTCATCAATCAGGATGTTTGTAGGGTTGACCTCAAGAATCCAAATCATTCGTAAAAAGTGCAAGATTTCGGAATATACTTCAACAGGATAACCCTTGATGGTGGGTGTCTTTGAGGAAAGTGTCAAATCCTCATCGGGTCGGTGATCATGTATGTAGTTGACAAGCTCTGAAAATTTAGGCAATTCGGTAGGAGGAATCACGTCTACATTTTCGACTAGACCGTATCTGTTACGCACAAAAGGCTTTAATCCTCGCTTGGCCTCTTCCTTGACATCCAATTTGGTGACCGACCCTGAGCTTCCCAAAAGACAGACATAACGAGCAAAAACGCATGAGAAAGGATATACTGCATTTGCATATCTCAAAGCCATATAACGAGAATAAGAATCATTCTAAAAATGAATTAATGTATTAGTCCTTAATATAATGCGTGCTTTTTTTTTTTCTGATTTTTTATACCTTCTGAACAGCCTTCAAAAGGATTTTTTGGAGATCTTCATATATAGGGGAAGTTTCAGGAATATTAACATATATTTCAATCATAGACGAGAGAGCATCTTGAACATAGGTACGGATATTTTTTTGCTCTTTCTCAAGGTTTTCAAAGAACAGGCCTAACATATGCGTATCTTCCAAACCAACCTTAGGAACTAGCATTTCTTTTAGATTAGTCTATATACTCGACGACAATTTTTTTTTCACTTTAATTCACCTTTCTTTGCCACAAGACCACAAGCAACATAGGCATACCCCTTGATACTTTCAGCATCATAACCTTGAGTTTCATCATTTTCATTGATAAATTTCAATAAACCAGAAATGATAACAGGTGCCACGGGACCGATACTTGATTCCTTACTCTAATAAAAAAAGACCATCAGAATACGATACATTCGGATTGGAACGGGTAGTACAAAAATATATTACCATTCGAGCACACCATTGTAAAAATGACATGGCAGCTCTTTGAAGTTTCACAGTTGTCAAATCACCATAGATACCGTCGAAAATCACTTGGATCATGGGTGCGACCATATTTGTTGCGGCAATGGATTTACCAAGGTATTGCATAACACGGAGTTTAACAGAATTCGGTGCTTGAGATCTACCATCTCTACCACCTTAGTTCGATTTATCAGTTTCCGAAAGTATCAATTAAAAAATTGTAAATACCTAATTTAGTACTTGGTTTAGATCCCAAATACAGTTTGTAAAGTGATTGAATGGTGGGTATATCTTCATAATCGACATTGCCGGTCCACCTACGCATTCCGTCTTCACAGGCAGAGGTAACCTGATGATTGGGATCACAAATACCTGCTACTAACAAAGGTAGACGCTCACTATCGGTGAAAATGGGTGTCAGAATGAAATTCATGATACCAAGCTTGGCATCCTTGAGTTTTGATGTGGTCCATTCAATCTTTCCCTTATTGGTCACTTCGTCTACAGCAATCGGGCTCAATCCTGGATACTTTGGTTGGTTCTCGCTATCTTCTTCTCTATCTTCAATTTCTCTCGCTGTCAAAGGTTGGTACAACATCACATCCAAGAAGAAGCTGGTGATAACAGTAACGTCTTTTGGATTCTTGTTAAATTGGAACACATTCTCTCTGGCAGTCAACTGTTCTCCGTGATCCATTTTCCATTTTGAAAGTACCTTTTTTTTTTAAGGAAAAAATTTAGATAAAACTAATCCAACAATTAATGCATAAAAAAAAAATTACAGGCAAGATAATGTGAAGCAACGCGATTCTTTGTTGAGGAGGTCGAAGACTGATACCTTTCAAGAACTCTGGTAAATGCTTGGCGGTTTCTTCTGGAGTCAAGCGGAGAGCGCTCATTTCTAGGTAAATCAAGGTGAAGTTCTTAACAAACGTCGAGACTTGATCGTTGGTAAATTGATTTAAAAGTGCTTCGAATGGAAGTTTGATACTGGCATTGGCTTTGACTCGCTTATTGATGTGAGAAAGAATCTCCATCACCTTCTTTTTGGCATCAGCATTGGTACTGGCAAGTTTAAGCAAAACTGGTGGAAGAAAAACTTGAATGGTCTTTTCCAACTGCGCATCTGTATTGCACATGGCAAGTTTCAGCTCGACATTTTCTTTTATTTTTTAAACGTGTTAATTCCTTTATTGCTACTAAAATGTATGGCTTTATACCTAGTAGCTGTATTTCATTACTCATCTGCTGTTTTTTTATTGAGTTTTTAGATATAATAAAAAAAGCGAAAGAAAAGATTTGTAAGGCACAGGTTCAAATGTGTCTAAATTAATGCTGGACGCGTAAGCAGTACCGCGTGTCTAATATTTTAAAATAGGGTTTATTTAGACAACAAAACGACGATCCAGGCACGAAAACAGTATCACCTTCCTTTTTATTTAGACAATACGATTTAGAATGATCTCCAAATTAAGAGTTTTTTTTTATTTTGACCAGAAATGTGTAAAGTTTAATTTTCTGTTTAATTATCTATGGGGCTATTTAATGCTGAAGATGAAGCTGCACCGGGTGCTTGATTCATCACTTCGTCCAAACTAACATGGCGGGATAATTCATTAAATACCTATATAATATATGTTAATGTTCAATTGAAACAATGATACTCATAACAAAAAAAGAAGCCTACAGTTTCATCAACGGGTATAATAGACTTTCTTCTAAATTGTTGGAATTGTTGTGCGCCAGATTCAAATTGTTGCTATAATAAAGTTATTTGGCTGTTTAATTTTTTTTTCCTATCAAATATATTTTGTTTACCATATCAGGATGAATCACATCATGATGCTCTTCATGATTCTGCTCTAATTCAGCGTCAGTTTCTTCATCCGTCATTATGTCAAAGTCTTCCTCTCCGTCGTCATCCTCTTCGTCATCCTCCTCGCCATAATTCGAATTGGATGGGAAAGAAAAGTTATAAAAATCGTTATCTGCTGTTGTTGTTATTGTCACGGCGCTGGTACCGGATACTTTACGTTGTAAAATCTTCCAATTTTCCTCTCTTTCTCTTTGTCTCTTTCTTTCCCTATAAAAAATTACCACAAAGGGAAGAATTAAGTGATTCTGCAAATCATTGTATAAAGAAAAGAAAAAAAGAACACCTACACTTGTCTCTGCTGCTTGTATTGATTGGCACATTCGTCAAATAACTCGGGACTAATATCCATACACAATTTTAATGCATTGTAAACTAGACCGAGGATTGTTCTAGATTGGGCCATGATGAGTACATCATGAACTTTTTTGATAGAAACACTTACTTATTCCAATGAGTCTTTGATGTTTTGTACAGGGTAGGGAATATAATGGGCATGATAGCATTCATATTTTCTGCCATCAAACTAACAATATAATCGTTATTCCAAAAGTAAAGAGCTCTCTCGGCTACTTGGAAATGAGTGCTTGAGACGCACTGACCCAGTTTTACAAACAATGGCACCATAATACGTTGAAATTCGTTTCCGTCAATGACATCCAGTACTTCCTCTAACTCGTTTAAGAACATGACTTCTTTTGGACTGTTTACCTTTGGCCAATAGCGCAATAAACCACCAATCACTTCTTGAGCAAGTGCTTGGTTCTTTTCAAGAAACTGGACGACACAATAAGCCAACTGTGGATGATATAAGACCAATGATTTGACTTTATGAAGTGGGATCAAGACACGTCGCAAGAATGATTTATGCTCCTCTTTTAAAGGAAGTGCAAATCCATTGATAATGCTTCCCAGGATTTCCAATAATTCAGCTATACCATTGTGTCTCTCGGTTTCGTAGATGAATTGGAAAAAGATGTTGTTTATGGATCTACGAATAAAAGCACGTAAATTCAAAAACTTTCCGTAGATACGATGCAATGTTGTCTTTAAAAAATCTCGTTCTCTTGGATCTTCACTGTCAAATAAATCCAGTAACTATATAATTGATTATTAAATGATAGATGCCCATGACAAAGTTGTTACTACCTGAAGAATAAACTTTTGATCAATATATCTCTTTGCAAAGTTAATGTTGAAATCAGGCGACTCCAAAAATCTTAAAAAGAACTCATATACAATTTGTAAGTGAGGCCAGGCTAATTCCAGCACAGGCTCATCTTCTTCGGGATCATAGGCATCGCCAGTGGGGTTTACTTGAGGGGGTATGGTACGGAATAGATTAATGGCAAACTAATTTCTTGTTAATAAATGATAAAATACGTATTATGTCACTTACCATTTTGACAATTTCGGGATAAGGCGCTTCAGCGGTAAGGACACCTCGTGTCATGCCTACATATTCGAGTAACTCCTGTAAAGTTTGTCGCTTAATTTCCTTTTCAGATAATTCAGATGAAGGATCAGAGAAATCGCAGATCACCATGCATTGACGTAGTTTTTGAATGTACAAGTCAGGTCTTAAGTGGGGTGGAATTTCTAATTTGACATTATTGACATTACCGATCATTATTATTAATAATAACGCCCATTATTACCATTAAACCCGGGAGTTCTTTCTAACTGGATCTTTTCTTTTGTGTAAAAACGAGAGGATTTTTGACGTCTGGGTGTTTTACTGACGGGTATTTGATCTCTTGGGGCGTTCTTTAAACGACTGATAGGGCCGGATTTTGGCATATCCCGCTCGTTACCGGGTTTGTGTAGAGTAGGTGAACGAAGCTAGAGAAAAAGAAAAGACAGCATTGTTGTTTAGTATATCGGAGTAGGCATGGCTTATATTATGTTTATTATTATTCTTTTACTTGAGATTCTTGATGAGGTGGTTGTTGTTGAGCGGGAACAAATATAATCGGGTGTGGAATTGCATGCTGAACAGGTGAATTATTACCACTCGGTGATGTAGCAGTGGTTGGTGACCGGCTACCTAAAGGCGAACTCTAATCAAAAAAGACATTAACTTCTTTCGAAAGGTTTTTTTTTTTTTTACAAGTGTATATTTTTTTTTCTTTACATTTCCACTCCATCCTTTCATGATAAAATGGTTTTACGGAAAAAGTGAGGATACACACTTCCACCCTCAAATGGAACATTTTTCAAACTCCGTAGGACATTTTTCAACATTTAACCAATTGCATTTTGGGTAGCAGTAAAAAAATATTCAGACAAGTGCAAAGGATAATATACATAATTCAATCATTTTGGCACTAAATGTTCATCCATTTACAACATATAAAGTTGCAGACAAGGTTTTCAAATTGATGCTAATATTCAGTCAAGGTGGTTTTTTGAATAAAGAATCTTACAAAGAATTTAACGAGGAAGGCTGATTTACCTCTACCAGCACTTCACAAATTGTATTGGGTAGAGAAAAGTAATTGGAGACATAAATATAAGCATATACTTTTTCATAGAACATTAACTATGACTGGCATAACAAGCCTTATTCCTGGTTTGATGATCACAAATGCCAGTCTTATCTTCAAGAATAATTATGTAATTATACACTTGGTAATTAACTAATAACAAGAGTGAACGAAAATTATTATAGTAAGCATCAGCCACAGTCCGTTATTACAACACAAGCTTGACATATTACAGGATCAATTACAGATTAGAGCCATATGGAATAGCCATCAAAGAGTCTTAATACAGGAGCGTACCACCACATTGCCGATTCCTGGTCATAAACTAAAAATAAAAACCTGCTGCGGTCAAAGTTTAAAAAAATCCTTTAGTTTGCCAAATTTTTCTTATGAACCTATAAAGCTGACGACTTTTCCATTCAGCAAATAACCAGAACTGTATGCCGGGTACATAAAAAATATTTATTCTTAATATAAATTTTGCTTTTTGTTTTTTTTTATGCAAAAAAAAAAAAAAAACGAAAACAAAAGGCAAAAGAGAAATATGCCAAAACAAATAAAAAAAAACAGGAAAGAAACGGGAAAGAAACAGGAAAAAGAGAAAGGAACAAGAAAGCAATCTTTTCAACGACGTCGAGTAGAAGACTTAGCCTTATGACCATCCCCCGTTGGTCTCGGGAAAGGCTGCTCTTTTCCTTTTGAGGCGCCGGAAGAATAAAACAATTTTGGGCGGTAATTGAGCTCTTGTTCCATCACTTCAGAGTTCTGGAACTTTTTGATTAGAGCCTTCTTTCCTTGGATTGCTGCGTATGATAATTGAAAACGCTTATCCGAATTGAATTTGCTCCTATAAAAAAATAGTGAGAAGAAGCGTATCTTTTTTTGTCTCTTTTATAGTTTGTTATTACCATCTCTTGCCCCCACGTTCCTGATGCAAGCTGATTGCACTCCTACGGATGATTAAAAAAATTATGTGAATAGGATGTATGAATATATGCTTCTGTACGAGATACTTACTTTGCATCAAGGAAGTTAATAAATGCATATCCCATATTACATTTGTTTTTAAAGTCCATTCGGAGATAAAAGAAATCATATGAGTTTTTGTGGGTTTCATTAATCAAATTCATGATCATTTCCTATACAAGAAAAAATTATTGGTATGCGGCTTTCGTACGTATTTTATATCCAAATTAATTCTTACCTGGGTGTATTTATTGGGAATGTTGCGGATCATAAATGTTGTTCGGGTGTCTTGCTTTGTGATCACCTTACTAATATCAAGTTCAAATGAAGCTTTACCAGGAGCTGATGGAGCTGATGGAGCTGAAGAAGCTGAAGGAACTAAAGGCAGTGAAGGCTTTACCTTTGTTTTTACCCCTGCACTTACAACAGACGAATAAGATTTGTTCTTGTTGCAACCTGTTGATCCAGATGGCCCTTTCTTGTCCTTGGTAGTGACATCATTTGGTGATACCAATACAGTGTTTGTTGTGGCACTGATCTTTAAGGATGATGCGCTATCGACGTTCATTGTAGTTTCTGGAGACTTTGCATCTGTTTTAGATGACATAACGTCAGAAACCGCAGTCAAACAAGATGAAGGTGGGTTTGAAGAGTTAGGTTCTTCTTTACAGGGACCGGTAGTCTTATCAGAGACCTCTGGGAATGAGGGGTAGTCTGAGCTAGAGACATAAGGCTTGGAACCGGGATTTTTACGGTTGCAGTTGGAGCTTGAAGAAGAGGAATGGCCTGAAACTAGAGGGTCTTCAACAGATAAAGGAAGCCCACTGAATAGATCTTTAGAGAAATATGTATGGTTCTCCGAAAGATTAAGAGCAGACATAATACTCCAGTTCACTGGCTTCTTATTGCAAGTGGGAGGCTCTTTTAATTTTGAGAATACATCCTCACTGCAAGTACAATCAAACAGATTGTTACTCGCTGGAAGAACTTTGATAGTTGTGCCCTAATTATATGACCGGTAAGAACAATTTATCCATTCCTCTTTTAGAAGACTATAAAAAACTAACCTCAATTGACACACCATTAAGACGCGCAAATAATTTTTCTGTTTTACGCTCGTCGTCGTATTCAAGATTCACCAGTTGTACGTTGCTCGACGCACAAGCTTCCGAGAAAGAGTGAATTGCGCCAATTTGAGACGCGAGCTCCTATTCGTCGTTTGTCAAAAAAGCGTGTTTTTTTTTTTTTTTTTTTTTTTACGCGTACCTCAACATTTAGAAACCTTGCATATGTAAACGCCCTCTGTGAATCGATCACCAGAAAAACCTTATTATTTAATGGCTTGCTTACCAAACAAGGTTTTGCAAAGCAAGCCTTATATGAATGGCTGAAGCCGTCTTTGATGATAGACAAGGCTTTGATGGCATCGCTATACTTGTAATAAGAAATTATTGTAACCCCTTCTGTAAAAAAAGGGTGAAGAGTTCTGATCTCCCCGCAAGACTTGAGAAAAGAATTTTTAATCAAGAGTCAAAATGATAGAAAAAGCAAAAATATATTTACCTGCAGTAGTTCGAATAACTCTTCGTGGCTTATGGTCAAGAGGTTAATAGAGAACAAGGCAATGTGTCTTGTTGGATAATCAGATTTGAAGGCTTTTGAATTCATTAAGGTATCTAATGAAAGGATTTTTAAAAAAACAAATATATGTATATATGTATAAAGATGAATATAACAAACCTTGCTTCTTGGTAGAGATACTTATGCAGTCATAGTTCAAAGAGAAGTTATCTGGCAGCTCCCATGGTTGGCAAAACGGAGGCTCGCTTCGTGAAGAGGGCTTGCTTCCAACACACAAATGTGAAAAATAACTCATATTGTCACCAGCAGTTGTTTTTAAGAAGTAAAAGAGGGGGAAAAAAACAAAGTGGTGGGAATATATATGCAAAAACAGTAATAATCTGACAGTTAATTTATTTTTCAATGTCGTGTTGTATTTCTCTCACAGGGAAGCTATGTTTTGTTTGTTTGTTTCTATAGAAATCATATATTATGTCAGAAATATATAGCAGCTGATTATAAAAGATTAATTTATTAATAAACGCCTTTTTTCATTATCAGTTTTTTTTTTTTTTTTTTTTTTTTTTTTTGACATCCCTTATGGGTAGTTCATCCACTATAGGTCCTTTTGTTACCAGCATGGATGATTTTAAAATTTAAGAGCTTTAAAAGACCCTTTTTTTATCAATAGCTTTTTTATGAACTGGATGGGAATATGGGTACATTATAAAACCTTTGTTGACAAGAAAAAAAAGCTCTCGTAATCTTCATCACTGCTTCCCGTGTAACTATTCTAAACCAAAATCGGCAATCCCAATACTTATGACAGCCCTACAAATACTCCTGCCCCACCCTAAAAACTGTGGGATCTCATGTTGATTTTGCATATTTTAAATAGGAAAGATAGTTTAGGGACGAGTATACAGATCCTTCGGCTATGAAATAGCTTTCAACATATAACTACGACAACGTGATTATGGAAAAGTATAAACCAATTTAATTTTTTACGTTGTGAATTTGGACGCTGTAACTTTCCATAACTTAGCACCAAAGGGGGAGGTTAGCAAATCTGTCTTCTCTTCTAACAAAGTTAGCATCCAATTATCTGCTCAGAAAATCAAATTTGGGGATAAAGCGATTTGCATAAATTATTGTCGACACTAATGGTATTGAGCGTTTTTAGTAAAAGACGTCTGTAAGTTGCAAAGTTTCTGATGGAGAGGCAGCTAATTTAATGTCTTTTGCTACTTTGTAGCTCATGTTCATAAATCGAGAGAGAACAATGCATGTCCCAATATCGAAGATCATCCACAATCAAAGCGCTTTATATATACATAGTTTTTATCTAAAATAATACTCCAAAAACCAAAACATTCCGCCAATTTTTATTTTTTTTATTTTTTGAGTACTGGCATTATTTTTATCAATAATGTTTTTTTAAAGTAAACGAAAAAAAAAAACAGGAGAAACGGGGAAAGGATTAAGATCAAGAGAGCAATATTTTTAAGGCTGTCGAGAGTTATATTAACCTTATGTTCATATAACGGCTCCTTTCCTTTTAAAGGACCAAATGAGTATGGTGTATCACAAGAATGTCTAACCATAGTAACAACTACTCTAATTTAAATAGACGGAACATATAAGAATCATCAATACAATAAGTACGAATCACCGACTTAACAAACATGAACACATAATATATATATAAAAGAGAAAATTAAGCACTTAATAAAGGATTATCTTATATTTGATTGAAATGATTGTCTCTTAGACATCGGATATTACAGAGTAAAATAATTTTGGTTTGTAGTCGGGCTGTTTATTCAAGGCTTTCTTTTCCTTGAATTGTGGCGTAGGACAATTGGAAACGCTTATCCGAATTAAACTTACTCGTATAAAAAAATAGTGAGAAGAAGCGTATCTTTTTTTGTCTCTTTTATAGTTTGTTATTACCATCTCTTGCCCCCACGTTCCTGATGCAAGCTGATTGCACTCCTACGGATGATTAAAAAAATTATGTGAAAAGGATGTATGAATATATGCTTCTGTACGAGATACTTACTTTGCTTCAATGAAATTAATAAAAGCATATCCCATATTACATTTGTTTTTGAAATCCATTCGGAGATAAAAAAAGTCATATGTGTTTTTATGAGTTTCATTAATCAAATTCATGACCATTTCCTATACAAGAAAAAATTATTGGCATGCGGCTTTCGTACGTATTTCATATCCAAATTAATTTTTACCTGCGTGTATTTGTTAGGAATATCACGAAACATAAACGTCGTTCGGTAATCTTGCTTCGTGATGACCCTGCTGGCATCCGCTTTATTGGAAAGCTTTCCAGATACTGCAGACACTGAGGGCTTCGCTTTTGGATGCACCCCTGTCCTTGCTGTAATGAATCACATAATATATAGCTATAAAAACTACATATAATAGATTCAATCAATAATACACACATGCGAGTGCATTTGAAAGAGCATTTACACCCATAAAATACATCTTATCATTTCAAATAAGGATATGACGGTAAAATTTTTTTTGTCACTACATAGCCATTAGTCACAGACAGGAACAAAATTCTGTAATAATAAGAAAACAGAAAAAAGTGGAAGACTTTCGGGCATAGCCTATAATTTCATATTCATTATGAATTGAATTGCACAACTTGTGCTTCGGTTTCTACAGGCAAACGTTATTTTCATTGTATTTAAGGTTATTATTTTCAACTCACGTCGTTCGTTTCTTTCTCTTTTTTTACTTTATCCTTGGTCTAAACTGGAATCAATAGATTCCAGGTATTCAAGATACGTGATAGGATCGCCACGAATTCTTTGTTTAGATACAAGATGTTGCCTTTTAACGACATTCTAGCAGATTTCGACATCTTCAAACTCTTCATTTTTTTTTCATATCTAGTTTGTTATATTTCATTTGTATGATCGACATATAAAACATGCAGATTGCTTGATTTTTTGTTACATTCATCACTATTTTGTAAACATAGTAAGGAAAGTGATATTTAACAGATGGTTACCAGATGAATACCAGGTAACCACTATCACATATAAATTATTGGCTGAATTTTAATAGAATTTCTTCCTCTTTTACCAAGATAGACAACCACATATTTGTGTAATATACGCAGAATATAGTTCTCTCGGGCATAAGATAATGATAAGCACAGCAACAGCTTATCGTAATCATAAATAATTGCCATCTAACAATTTATATGAATATGATGATAATTTTCCTTTGTTTGTTTGTTTTTTTTTTATACCTTTTAACCTGGAATAAAACCTATGTAGGACCTTTAACTTATTGCTTTATTTTATTTTATTTTTTTATGTAAACATCTACAGTTTACCACACTTACCACAGATGCGTAAAATTTGGCTTTTTTTGCAACTGATTTGGCCAGATGTCTCCTTGTCCTTGGTTGCAGCATCATTTGTTAAAGCAGATACGGTGTCTGCTGTAGAATAGGTTTCAGACCGTGAAGTGTTCCAGGCTTTGATTAGGGCTAAAAGATCCTTTGCATCAGCTCGGTATGATGTGACGTCAGGAATATCAATTAAACAAGACGAAAATTCTTGTTTCAGGTGATTGATAGTTCCCTGAGGGGCCTCGGAAGACAAGGTCTATAGTCGGTGCTATTAGACCTGGAAGAGGAGGATTCATCCGAGTTCAAAAGGCTACCAACTGATGGCAGAACTATACTGAATAGATCGATAGAGAAATTTTGGGTAGTACTCCGGGAAAGATTAATTGCAGACATAATACTCCAATTCACCAAGTCTTGTTGCAAGCAGTTGGCTCTTCTAATCTCAAGTACGCATCTTCATGACTGATTGTCAAGAGACCTAGTCTGGTGGATATGAACGTCGCTGAAGAATTGATTAAAAGGTCTTTTAGTGAAAAAAAAAAGCATACAATTATATAAATAAATAACTATAAACTACCTCGCCTTTTTTTCTTGGGCAACTGATTCCCACCTCGATTGAGCTTCGACTAAACCACGATCGAAGCTCGCTCGAGAGTTCCGATTTTCATTCCAAACACTAGTTGTGTCATGGTTGAATTCAATGTAAAGGATTGTTGTGATAAATTAAAGTTGGCGCGTGGCTGTTCTTTTTCCTAACTTATAATGCTCGTATTATTCTCCATGTCTATGTTGATGATTTAACAATTATTAGATGGACCTCTGACGTATCATACCGAATGTGTTGCTGGAGTACCGAAATGTTTGATTGGCACAACAGAAATTCGCTTTGTTTCGGATTCCAAGGGTGCCATAAAAATAAAAGGCTCATCCCGATAATATTGTTACTTCTGTATCAAGAAGAAAAAGAAAGAGAAAAAGAAAAAAGTGCGGGAAAATATATGCGAAAAAAAGTCAACAGTGATTATCTAACAGTTAATTTATTTTTGGACTCTTCTGTTCCACTTGAATGTCGTGTTTTATCTTTCAGGGAAGCTATTTTTTGTTTGTTTGTTGTTTCGTTAGAAATCATAAATGATAAACGCCTTCTTTCATCATCAGTTTAAAACCTGTTTTTTTTATCATCACTTGTTGGTGATGCTTCTACTATCGGCTCTTTTGTTACAAGCATGAGCCATGTATTTATATAAGAGCTTGATGACACTTTTATGTTATGAATGACGTTTTTTATGAGCTGGATGGATCTACAGATATATCATAAAACCTTTGTTGACAAAAAAAAAGCTCTCGTATATTCATCATGTGCTTTTCGTGTAACTATTCTAAACCATAATAGGCATTCCCACTATTAATGATAATCCCTCAAAAATTGGTGTTTCCATTATAATTTTGTATATTTTAAATAGGAAACATAGTATGGAGATGAACTTTCGGCTCTTACGGCTATGAAAAAGCTTTGAACGGATAACTACGACAAATGTGATCATGAAAAAAATTAAAATAAGCTGTAAAGTTGGACGCTGTCTAGCCTTCCATGGAAAGGGGAGGGGAGGGGGTGGAGAGTTAAGCTCAGAAAAACAAATCTGGGGATAACGTGAATTTCATAAGCGGTTTTATTATAAGGCGTGTAAACTTCAAAAAGTCTGGCCGGGGAGCAGCTAATATGGCGTTAATATTTATAAAGCGATAGAACGATGCATGTCTCAATATCAAGAGTCTTCCACAGTCAACAGACTTTACATTAAATTTTTTATCTAAAGCAACACTCCAAAAAACAAATCAAAGCACCCTGTTTTTTTATTCTTCTTCTATCCTTTTAGTCATAAGTGCCAGCATACCATTATATTTTAAAGGATACTGCTCTCAGTTTTGTGGTTTCTGTTTTTTGTTTTCAACAAGTTGTAATTGAGTTGACTAAGAAAATAAAATAAAAACAACTTGTTATCCTTCTTATTCAAAGAAACGTGTAGATTTAATCTCAAGATGGTATTAATATGGATCCATTAGTTTTCTTTATGGTGAGTTTAAGTGGTGGTAAAATATGCTTATTTATGCTCTCAAACAGCAAATGGCTTTAAAATTAGTTTAAGCGGTTGAAAGTCTGGTCTAAAAATTCCCTCTCCATAAGTATAAGTAAATAAATGAGCAAATCTAACTTAAAATGTATTGAATTGACGGTCTTTAATGATGCTAACTAGATATACACTCAATACAATAAAAAACCTCAACAACCAAGGAGCTTGCTGGGAATACTATGGATACTTTGTGAGAAATCAAAGAAAAAATATGATTTAACTTTCACCTCCCAAGCTTGCGGAAAAAATGAAGGGTGGGATTGACGCAATACAAAACAAGCGTCAACTATGTAGATAGAAACTACAGCTCAAAGTGGATAGATGAGTTAAGAGGTGTTATAATATGACCATGGTTTTTCTATACCAATTATTTGTTTATCTAGTAGAATTAACCTGTTTTCCCCTCCTAGCTACCAAACTCTTGTGTTTATGTATCTTTTTCACTACGTCTATTTCAGTCATGATATCCAGAATATATCGTGTTACCCTTTTTTATAATTATCCGTAGTGAAATTCGAATATGGGCGTGTGTTACTTGAAACCGATACCACAATAAGCAAAAGAAATAGGCCTTCATCAGTAATAACAAAGAAAGAAAATACATTGTATAGCGTTTTAGACATTGATTGCTGGCATTTAAATAGGGGGGGGGGGGTATTTAACTTAAGCTGTGATTAGGATGTGATCTAACTATGGATCTAAAAGGTATGCCAATAATCAATTTTTCTCTTTCATTTGACAGATATGATCCCCAGTTTATGTTATTACCACTTTTTTTTCTATGTTTAAAAGAAAACTATTGATCAGTTTTCTATTTGGGATGTTTAGCTTCTAAAATTCAGGACGCTTATAAAACTGTCGTTACTGAGGGCTGTCTTGGCTAAATTGCACTTTCTTAGGCTTACTAGTACAGATGTCTTGGCAAGTAAACTTACATATACTTGTGTGCTTTGTCTGAGCTTGTCTGGATTGTGTAACCTTTACTGCTGTCGAAAAATAGTATTTATTTGTCTGACGTTATTTAAACATCCGACATAAAAAGCAAATGGGGGTATATAAGGAAAAAATTGTGTATTACTTTGAATAGATTTTTTTGGTGTAAATTAATTATTATGTAAGAGTATTATCTGTATCGTAGGAGCCACTGGCGTGACGCTGTAAATTAGGTAAAGAGAGCCTTCTGTCCTCCCTCGTGTCATAACCCGCTTGGTCTTGGATCTGACGTTCTGTTGAACTTAAACCGGATTTCCACCGTTCTAGCTGTATTAAACTTAGGTCAAAGTTATTGTCGCGCACAGCACGGTTATTATTATTATTATTATGCAGGTTTTCGGCGCCTAATTCCAACTCAATATCCGAATGACTGGTTGAGCTGGAACGCTTCGTATTGGAGGGTATAGAAATAGATGGTATTTGGCCTATATCAACTGTGCTAGCCATCACAGATAAGCTGCTCCAATACTTTTGTCTTAGTCTACGTATCGATTTCGTAACATCTGAATCGTATCCTACAAGAATAACAAAGGCAATGTTGATAATAGGCCATAAAAGCATAATGATTTCAACTCGGTCTCTCTATGGAATAGTCAGCATTAGTTGTCTGATATAAATCTTGATATTCAATCGTAATTATGTACCATGACGATAAGTGTAGTCGAGATTAAATTAACGATGGTCAAACACAGTGTTCGTATCACATTATGATAGATAACTGAGACATAAAGGTTATTGTTAACCTGCATTCTGTCAGATACAAGTGATCGTATATGGGACAATAAAATGTACGAAATCACCACTGTTACATAGACATCAATCAATGTGTCATATAAAGTGTATATTGGACCCCACTGATAAGATGACAATTAGTAATCAATTAATAAATAAATTTTTAAAACTCACATATTCTTGGTCAGTGTATTTACATGTACCGTTGGGATAGTTGTCAATTTTGACTAGGCCGACATCGATAAGCCCAAAGATGCATCTCACAACAATTAGCGTCGAATGAAAAATATGACTTTTTCGTCTCCAGTCGACTGGTACAATCGATTGTACTCTTGTCAGTAAAACATGAGTACCAGCTGTCATTGCAAAATGAAAAAACAAGTCTGCTAATCTGCCTGTAACATAACAGGAATTTCCTTGGCTATTTTATTAATTCATACAAAATAAAGTGTCAGTGCTTATTTAGCATTAATAAATAAAAAAAAAAAACAATGATTTTTACCTTGAATGGAATGATAAGAATAAAATTGATTTGATAGCCATAAAAAAGCCGAGAAAAAATTTGCCAATTCTGACTTGAGCAACCTTATCATTCACTTGGAATACGGAGCGTAAGGCCAGCTCAAATGACACTCCTACAGCTGCTCCCTGTAGTGCGATAGTTGCAACAACTATTGCAGATGACATGAATTTTGGGAGTATAAAATGATTTTTTTATATGTTTAGATTATAAATTTAGGGGAAGAAGGGTTCAACGCAGAAAAAAAAAAAAAAAAAAAAAAAAAAAAGATGAATGAAAAAAAAGATTAAAGATGGGGTGAAGAGGGATTTGAAATGACCGGGGACGACCTTTCTTGCCCCGAAAATTTAAACTTGTCCAATGATAACCAGCTTCATCAGTCAATAAGCATTTAAATTTATTTATAGATTGCAACAATAATGTTGTACTCATATAATATACATTTACAATAGATAAAAGGGAAATCATGCAATGTTAAATTCACCAGTGTTACATTTAATAACATTGATTGTACTCCATGGACCCATTTTTCGTTTATCTTTTGAACAAGTCATAAAAAAAAAGATCTTGTCAATGAAACATATCTACTGGCTGTTGCCGGATCTAAGAAATGTGACATTTCACCTGTATCATTAGGAGTGGTTAAACTAAATTTAGATACGCACCAATATCTCGGTTAGTGTGCAGCCATGTATTATATAAAAATATGCCAAGGCATAGCTACTAAAGGCCCAAAGCTTGTTAATCACGGACAAGCCCCATCATCATAGTTGCATAATATTTTATTCTACCCAAAAACATAGGATATGAGCCTTGGTTTCTTACATCAGATATAGCCAAGAAAAAATTCTTTGTCAGATTAGTGTCGATTACGCCAATATTACTTTTCTATTATAATAGTATGGGTGGGTGATCAACCAACCTAACGTTGATACTGTTTTAGAAGCTCGAAAACGTAACCCATTGTCATAAGATCCATCCACTAGGACCATAAATAGATTGCATCATAATATGGCTCAGTCGACTAATTGAGATATAAGCGTTTTGTTTTATTTACTATTAATTAGAATTTTTAAAATATTATTTTTTGCCGAATAAACCACTCTTAGAAGAAAGAGAAACAGAATCGCTATCGACAAGAGAGATCTTGACATGGATTTCACCAGTTCCAGGAGGAGATAAGGGTAACCAGCCATCGAAAGGTTGGCCGGGCTTAACATAGTTTGAAATTTCAAACTGATGCTCTCCGATATCCACATCTGTAAGTGTGTTATGATCCTTTACCTTGAAATCCATGATACCTTTCGCCTTGGTAGTGAAAGATTCATTCCAATCTGGGGTAAGTGTCTTCTTGATGTGACGGGTCTTGAATACAACCTTGTTACCGACTCGGACACGACAATAAGGATCACTGGTGTTACCACGGTCCATAGCCTTAAGTCCACGAGCTTCCATCAAAACAACTTGGTACGTAGATTCATCTTCGCCCATCGATCTTTGCTTTGTAGAGTTGCTAGGAGAAGTGCTTAACATAGAGCTAGTATCGTTTACATTATTATTGGTGCTTTGAGAAGGTACAGGGACAACATCAGAAGAATTGGATACTTCACGATCAAGAGGGATCTTATCTTCACTGGAAGACTTCTTACCGATCTTACCAATACCACGAATACCACTACCTAAAGCAGAAACACCGGAACCAAATGCTTTACCACCAGCACCGATGACCTTACCACCAGCACCAAAACCAGCACCAACGACATCCTTACCAGTACCAAGGGCGTTACCAGGTGCAGAGGTAAAGACACGTGTAGTAGCAGAGAACAATGAAGTGTTAGACCTCTTACGGGCAACCAGTTCAGGTCTCCAGGTAAGGCGAACTGTGATGGATCCACCTTGATCAAGCTGGATTTCCTTGGTAGTAGTAACAAAGGTTTCAACATCAGCAGCAGTGAAAGTAATTGCACAAGTACCCAATAAAGTATCTTTTCCGATTTGATCCCAATCAAAGACCTTGGCAATAACAGGGGTAGTAATACGGTTGAAGATAGGAACAGTGAAAGTTTCGTCCTTACTAAAGATAGGATTCAAAGTCTTCTTGTAAGTTTCGGTCTTGAAAACACGTTGCTCATCAACATAGAAACGAATGAAAGGATCACTCTGTCCACTACGATCAGCAGCAGTCAAGTTGTTAGCCTTAACAGCAGTGACAGTCAAGCTACCTTGGTTCTCGAGACTTTCAGCAGGGTCTAATTTGAATTGAACGACAGGAACAAAAGCAAAACTGAGGCGAATCTTTCCTCCGTTTGAATCCAAAAGGGGGAGCTCTTCAATCACTTCATCGGCTTCTTCTTGAGCGGCCTTAACGAGACGTTCCACAATCTTGCGGACTTCAATACTGACACGACCAACGGACTTTTCATCCTTCTCATCATCACGGACATCTCTGACACGAACAACTAACTTGGAGAAATCCATTTCCTTTACAAAAGCACTGCCAGTTTCATTAATTTCAAGACGGGCACCCTTTTGTTCGGTAGATTTGAATTGAGCATCGTTGGAATCTAACATGAGTTCAACAACTGCCTTGTGTGATTCGTTGAGAGTAACAGAGTGCATGGTAACAGCCAAGACACCAGATTCGTAGGCGGACAAGTCAACTTGCTTTTTATCTTCAGAGATGGTTTTGTATTTGATTACTTCGCCGTGAAGATCCTTTTCGGGGAATTCCTTGGGCTTTTCAATCATTTCAGGTTCTTCAGAAACTTGACTTGTGTTGGATCCTTCGTCTTGACCTTGTTCTTCCTTCTTCTTTTCATCCTCCTTAGCTAAAGCTAAAGTTGGGAAGAAAGAAGCAACATACTTAATGGTACCGCGACCCTTCTTACGATCAAGACTGGTTAAGGGTGCATCACGAGTGACGACTTCGAGAGATTCATAGTAAACTTGACCTTCTTCGTTCTTGACCTCCTTCATAATATCCTTCAATAACAAGTCAGTGATACCCAAACTCTTATCCTTTGAAGATTCATTGTAATCCATAACTTCGAGAATTAAATCATCACGCTTAGAATGAACAGGCACGTAGACAACTTGGTCCCAGACAGGATCAAGGTTATCATCTACACGTTCAGTTTGACCACGTACTTGAGCACCAGACATAACACGAACATAAGGATCTGATTTACCACCAGTTAAAGCTTCGACATTCTTAAGATCGTTGGCGCTCTTGAAATCGACACGAACAACACCGATAGGAGGGCGATAAGCACCAGAAAGACCTTCAGCAAAGCCAGTCATAGTGATAGGCTTCCACATCATACTTAAATGAATCTTACCAGCACCATCCTTCAAGGTCCACCAATCTTGACCATTGATAAACACATCATCTTCAAAATCTTCCAATTTGGACTCCCAACGACCAAGCATCTTGTCATCAAAAGCATTATCAAATACACTGACGTTTAATTTAAGTTGAGTCTTATCTGTAACAAAAACCTCAACTTGTTTATCCCAACGAGGGTTGATGGAACGCTTAAAGGTTTGTGTACGAAGCTTTTCAGCTCCATTCATCTTGACAACAGCGTAGGAGTTGATATCACCCTTACCACCAATGACAGGGATACTAATACCGCCACTCTTTTGAACACCACCCAATTCCTTACATTCATGCACAGTAAAACGCAACACACCACTGTCTAAAGATGTACGTGTATTTTTAGCATCGACCTGTATATAAAAGAAAGAAAAAAAGAAACTTACTTGATTCAGTAGGGGGAATGACAGTACCATCTTCACTCTTATCGGCGGCATTGACAGGGAAATAAATTAAATCACACTTGACCTCACCAGAAACCTTTCCTTTCTTCAAAACGGGAAGAGCCCTAATTTTTTTTTTTTTTTTTTGTGATGTTAGTGAGAAGTAAAATAAAAATGCAACAATAACAAGGGACTTACAATCCTTCACAAAGGTTATCAGATTCGGCAAGAGATTTCAAATCAAACACACATTCACCAATAGAAGAATCACCTCTACCAGTGTTACGATCCATAATTTCCAAAATCAAAGGATCGTTAAGATGGTTAAGCAAGACAAAGAGAGTTTCATCGAATTTAGGGTTGCGGTTATCTTCAATATGCTTTGTTCTGCCGAGTTCAGCATTTGAACTGTTATTGAGATGGATCTTGATATAAGGATCAAGAGTACCGAAAAGATCATTGTCTTTAAGACCAGAGGCAGAGTGGATTTTGACAATCAAGACACCGTTGGCGGAATCTACAATGTTTTTTTTTTAATTACACTGCCGGTTTGTTTGTTGATTTCATTACTTACTTAAATCAATACCACCAGCCATCATGCCAGCAACATCTAAGGTAAATACATTGGGGTTATACATCATGGGACCGAGTGTAGCATGAACTTGCTCTTGGACAAAGGATTCAAGACCAGGAATCTATTTATATAAGCAAACATTTGTCAGTTATTACTTTTCTTCCTCCTTCTCCCCCCTAAATACGTGTTTCTTTTCTTTACATTATTAATATCAAAACCGAAAGTCTCACCACCAACAGGTTTCAATGAATAGTCAAATTGAGGTTTCTCCAAGAAAGAAGCTTCAACAGTCTTGATATGAGGAAATTCGTTAAACATTCTGAACTTGAGACGAAGGTGACCAGAGAAAGCAAGATCTTCTAATAAGACGGGCATACCAGCACCAATCATACCTTTACCAACACGGATAGTTAAGACAATTTTAGGATTTACCTTGGATTGAAGATCACGTTCTGAGAGATCGAGGGTATCATTGGGAATAAAGGAGAATTTCCAGTCCATGCACTAATAATAGTAAAAAATAATAAGCAGATGTGATTTGTTAGATTATGATAAAAAACGTTGTTTTCTATGTACATATATGTATTCTTACCACAACATTAGGTTCGGTCTTTGTAAGAGTTTTAATGCTTTCGATGCGAGGAGCTTTTGTACCCAGAGTAAAAGAAGTCAAACGAATGGAATCCAAAAAGGCAGGAGTACTATCGACCAAAATAGAATCAGCAATACCAATAATTTGAGCAGATAAGACGGGCTCATAAATTAGCCAAAATCTTGACATAAAGTGATTGATCCAATCAGCAGATTCAACCTCAGTTTCCAAACGATTGATAGATAATTCGCGTTGAATATCATCTCGAACATTTCTTCTGAGACGACGAATGGAAGTTTGGTAATAGGTAGCCAAAAAAGCACCCACCACTAAACAAGACATCAAACCACCACCAAATCGCGTTAATAACCAAGTAAACACAACTGTAAATAACATGACTGCAGTGTTGTGATACCACTCCCCGTAATAAGCTTCATTTAAAAATTGAGAGACCATATCCTGACGGTCCTCTGCAGCAGCGTCTGTTGTACGAGAACCCTTGTACATATTTATCAAAGAGTCCAAACCTAACTTTGACTGAAGTTCGGACATTACATCCTCCTCACCGGGATTAGGAAGACTAGAAAATGCGTTCCAACCAGCCTTGGCATCGGATGTAGTGAACGAGCCTGGAGACTTCTTTAAAGGTGCGGTTTTGGTAGGCTTGGCATCAGCAGCTTTAATAGCGTTAGAGAGTGTGTTTGAATCATTTGTGCCTTGATCATTTGCCATAGCATTGTCAGCCTTCATGTTTGGAACACTACCAAGAACAACTTCGGCTGTCTTTTGTGCCTCAGCTTTTTTATCCATGGGTGTCGGGTCTCGGATAGCAGTTTCATTTACTTCATTTACAATGTTATTGTTTTCCATTTTTATTTTATGAAAAATACAAAAAAAAAAAAAAAGAAAAAGAAGAATCTTAAATAAAATTAAGAAAAAATCTTTTTTTGTATTTCCTATTTTTTTTTTGTGTACCCTTAATTCCTCTAAGGATCTTCCGTATTTTAACAGAATCGTCATCGTAAATATAGAGTCATTATTTTATCATCTAATAAACTAAAAACCTTCTTTTTCTTTCTACTAAAAAAGTTGTATATCAATAACAGCAATAAAATGATAAAATATCTACGTGTAGTATACAAAAACTGCTCGTCACGATCAGACGTCTTTAATAAGTAATTTAGGAGGCATTTTTACAAAGGGGAGTAAAAACGTTACTTTTTATGGCTTTTTAAGGTTTGATCGGCGATTTAAAAAGAGTCAAGTTGCCTTTTTCAGTGAGGTCTCCTTTTTGCCTCGCACTCATAAACTTTGCTACTAGACTACCCGTAGCAGAAAAAATATTGCACAAAAACGTAATGTATTGTTTACAGTAAGTGACTTGACGCGGGAAAAAGGAAAATAGATCAAATTATTATAGGCCTTTTTTTTCCTGCATGTATTTAGAACTACAAGCATTGCATCTGTAGTCTGTGAATTATCCTATAATACCTTGGGGGTTTTCCTCACCCCCGGATAGACATATGGTAAGAGAAAGGTAATCCTTGTTGTGTAACAACATCTGATTAATCTCACCACCTCAAACTTTGGTGCCATCTTACGTCGTAGTTGCGTAACAAACGTTGCACTTTTCTTTATTTCAGCGCGAAACTGCACACCCAGACCTGTGACTTTCTAGTATGAGTTAGTGCTAATACATGTAATTTTACAGGCACGATCTTACCAGTTGCAAAACTTTATATCAACAGCCCTCACGCAGTATACTTTTTATTGGCTTAAACATGCTTTAAACGAGGAGGAAATGTATCCCCAAGACTGGTTCTACTAAAAAAAAAAAATTGTAGGATCTTGTTCTATTGCAGGTGTTGTCGACAGCAGTAATATTTTTCTCTGATTTCCGATGTCTTTGTTGGTCAGACTGAAAATAAATTAGCAATAAATGCAAAGTATAAGAGCAAATATTACGTCTAGCATGCTTAAAAATACACTTAGAGTATTTACCAAGCCACAATACAATGTATCATAGCATCATTTTAAAACCAGGGCCAACAGATCAGTTGTAGACCAATGGTTGATCTCCCAATGGCAGTCCAGCTGATATAATACTGAAACCAATATCTATTTACTTAGCAACTAATGTTAAATTATAAAAATCGAAATGCCAAGTCACCTGTAAATGTTATAAATACGCCTGCCATAATTAACCAACTGTTGAACATCTTGAATACGCCTTCCGAAAGTATAAAACAACCTTTACCGGGTTTCTAATCTGGATTAACTTGTTGAAGACAGTTAGAATGTATTATATGTCATTCAAGAGTTAACGACCACACTAAATCAAAAGCGCCAGCAACTTAAAAAAAAGGCGCACATATTATAATTTCCTGTTTCATGCAAAGACTGTCGTAAGTGGTACGATTCTAGGGTCATGCGACGTAACTTAAAGTTAATTCAAAAATACAGTGTAACAAAGTCTAATAAATCGGTCTTATTCCGGATGTCATACAATGCCTTTGAAATGAAATTCTCAAATACACGTTGATCTGGACTCCAATAGCCTCTATACTTTGCTGGCGCACTTTTAAAAAATATTGATCTGCAGGAAATTTAACGTGATCCAAGCCATCAATGAAATAAAAACCAAAAAGTTCAATTGTCAATATTTGTCAAACAACAACAAGAAAAAAGAAGTCCCTCATTCTCTCCCAATGGACACATGATGTGATCGTTTTTTTTTGTTTTTTTTTTGCAGTTATTTTTTCTTCCCACAAGCTTAAAAAAAAGGTTTTTTTTATTGGTGGTGATATAGGTCAAGACAAGTTGATATCAGTATTGACCTCTTCTTGGCCAAATTCAGGTAAAGAACGCCATGTACGATGTCTGTTTCTTTTCAAGTGACGAGCAGATAAAAGCTGTTGTCGTGGGTTTGTTTTATTTTCATGAACTGTGCATTGTTCTACAACTGGTGGGCTATTGTGAATCCATTGTATGATTGATGTCAAGTAATTGACTGATTCATTGTTTCTTTTAACCATTTATCGCAACTGAGAGAAAGATGTGGAGAAAAAAGATTATAAAAAATGAAAGAGAGAGAGAGAGATGGCTGGCGTTGAAAAATTCATATTCTTTTATTTTCATATTATACTACCACTAATATTTCAGCCGCACAAGTCATCTGCACACACTGAGTTTACGAATAAGCATCCCTTGTTAGCTCTAAATTTAATACATTTAACTCGAATCATCTGCCTCAAACCGAGCATAATATTCCCATTGACAGTTAATAAGTTGCCCAAAGCATATGATCAATTGACCTCATTACTATCTTTTAATTGTTCTTTTGTTGAAATAAAAGTTTTCCCTCTGCTAATACCAAAGATGTTTCGAATTTTTGGTTTCTAGGTAAATTATGTTTGTCTTGGGACATACTTTTTTTTTAAAAAAACTTGTGACGAGTTATTATGCACGATTAAGGTCTATAAATCACACTGCAAGTCATCTGCTTAGTTAAGGGATATTGTCAACTACTGCAAATGAAACACATTGTAAAGCTAATTGAATAAAAAAAAAATTTCTGTTAATATCTATGCACATATAGGCATTTCGATATATAATTTGATGCTAGAAGTATATCAATACATACCAAGAATGAGGCACAGTTTTAAAAGTTGACTGAGAATTAGAGCTACTAGGTAATTTTTTTTTCCTCGGCTTCTCAAGTGCAAGACAATGGTACAGTTACATATTGGTTTTGGCTAATATCTAATGCGCATTCCTTTTCATGAAAAAACGGCCGGTTTATTAATTATATATCACAGAAGTTATCTAGTAAAAATCTGTAATCTGATAGCCTTTAATCCAGATGAGCTTAATGATATACATGGACATACATGACAATGTTATAGACTTATAAAACATATTTATCTTTGTTGACAAGCTCATACGTGCAGATACACTCATCAATCCAACCCTTAAACAGCAATTTTTCGCCCGGGAACTGATCATGTAAGTCATCTGCATCCACAGAGTCCATCTCCTCATCACAGACAATAACCTCTCCATGACCGACAATTGTGCCTCCTCCAATTCTAATATATTTTTCATATTTTTTGCTCATTTCATCATCTGTTGCAAGCTTGGCACGAAATCCTCTGAACAATTTTTGATTCTAAATGCACAAGAAAAAATAATAAGAATCTTATTCATCCTCCCTTTCTTTTTTTTTTATAAAACTACCTTTCCCTCTAATCTGTTTTTTCTTGATTTAGCAGGCGCACCTGTTCTTCCAAAAGTGACCTCGCCTGCAATCTCAAACCTTGTCTCTGGATAGATTGCATTCATCTCCAAACACTTTTCGAGCCCTATAAAAAGAAATGTTCAATAAAAAATAAATTTGCATAATACCAGCTTACATGATGAATCAACTATGTAACATCCATGAAGAATACCTAGCAAGTACTGATCGCTGATATTGACGATTCCACGAAAACTTGGATCTGTGTTTTGTTTAAGTTCATATCCAGTGTATATGCAGACGTACAACTTTACTTACTTGCCAGATCCAATACCAAGTGTGTAGTATTTTCATTGATCTCGTCCACAAATGTCATATCGGGAATAGTGGATTCCTTTTTTTTAAAAAAAAATAAGAAACTTTCTTTAAAATAACGATTGAGAATAGCGACTTACAAGCGACTTATCCTTGACGTACACTCGGATTGGACGTGCTTCTTCTGTTTGGACTTCGGGTAATGATCCATCAGTATCAGCAGGACTTGTAGCTATATAATTGGGTTAGAACCAAATTAGAAAAGGAGAGCTTTTATTTACATGTGTTACGAGGCGTGTCTTGTTCCACTGTATCTTGATGCGAAAGGTATTGAATGGGTACTTGAGATAAGTTTAGGTCGTGTTCTTTTTCAAACTCTTCTCTCATTTTCTTGAATTCTTCAACAATAGCTTGAACGGAAAAGGAAGGTTTTAAATCTTCGGCGTCAACTTCATGGTTACAGAGCGGGCAGAACTCTTTCTGGCTTAAATGTTCCTCAATGCATGCTTTACAAAATGTATGTCCACAAGGTGTTGAAGTAGCGTCTGAAAAATTGTTTAAGCTGAAAACAATTATTAGTTTCTTCTTTGAAATAAGGCGCCCTCTCTTTTTTCAAGTACGAACCAAATAGAGCAGCGCAATTCTCTCGACATGCCAGCCAAAAGTCTATAGACGACATTTGTATTTTCTGCGTTTGTGGGCTTCATTGTTGATTGAAGAAGAAAAAAAATCTAAAAGCTTTAGAAGACGCGTTTATTCAACCAATTAAATGACTGCTTTCTTAATCCATTGTAGCAAACCTTTCATATTCTATACAGAGTGTGATAGTAAGTGTCGGGGTAAGACCTGTGCAACTGTTTGACTTTTGGCCGATTGCAATTAGCATATCAATTATACAATACTTTGGTCTATAATACGCCACTTGTTTTAATGCATGATAATTATAGTGACAGTAGATCATAGCTCTTGTAGTAGCTTTATGTCTGGCGGTGATGATTAAGCATACCACCTCTCAACTAAATAGTGTATAAGTTTTTTATTGGATTATAATGAAGACATGTCTTTGCCCGTTGTCCAAAGATTCATCGTAAATAGATTCATCACACCAGTCAATTAAATACAGATATATATATATATAAAGGGAGGGAAGAGGGGTAGATGTATTTTATACATGTAAACAAAAAAGTCGGGTCTTATAACAATTATCAAGGCTATTTACAACAATCTCAAAAAAATAGATGGATTTATACGGGATTATCTAAATCTTGGTGGTATCGGTTGGGTGCTCCTCTGCCTCTATTATTCGTATATCCTCCCCTGTGTGGTCTTCCTCTAGAATTATATGGATGGCCATTACTCATATTACTATTATTATTAGGGTATCCGCGTTGTTGATGTGATCTATTATTATTGTCTAATTGACGAGGTATACGATTGGATTGGTTTTGTTGATTGGATCTGTATGCTGGTGGTTGGTGGTGTTCAATTTCGGACATATTAGGCTTCTCTACAAATGGAAAAGTATCTTGTCCAACTCGTTTTAATTTGCATGATTTAAGTGTTGAAATAAATAATCGGCCCTGTCTCAGCTTATTATCTCTATAAAAAAAAACGTTTAGTTTTTTTTTTTACAGCTGATCTTTCTTCATTACTTACACGCCAGAGATTCTTAAAATATCACCACTTTTAATATCTTTTCCCATCTCTCCCCATACACTCAAAATAATTGAACCTGTTTTGTCTGCAACCAAGAATCTATAAATCATATCTCCTTCACGGGTCGTGACTGGCTCACCATCTTTTGTTGTCGGTAAGTTTAAATGTAATAATAAAAAGAAAAAATTAAGTACATTTACCTTTTTGTAGTACAATAACTTCACAATCAAAATTTCTGGACACGGGACTCATATCTTTTATTAATAACATATTCGTCCTCTGATTGGTTGGTGGCTCCATATTCATTTTTTTATTTATTTAAATATCCATGCAATACAAAAAAAAAAGTGAAAAAGCAAAAAAGGGGAGAAAATAAATAAATCAATTTATACTTTTTTTTTCTTCTATTCATTAAATGTGACTGGAGTATTTCATGTCACAAAAAAAAAGTTTACGCAGTGACTTTCCAAAAGACAAAATGACGAAACAAGTAACGTATTTGATCTCTTGTACGAGGTCCAGTGTAACTCATGATAGCATAAGCAATAGGTGATTTTCTTCTCCATAACACAACAAATACTAGTATCATTATCAAAAAATTAAAAAACGTATGCCTTGCAACTGATTTGAGTAACCAAAGACCACGCCAACGTAAATACGAATGATGTTTCTCTCTTCTTAGATGGTCAATTTCTTGACAAAGAGCTGCTACTTCTATCTGTAGATTCTTTAATGCCTTTTTTGTAGCTAATTTACTGCTTTTTTTACTGGATTCAGCATAAGGGTGTCGACTTGGTGTAGACAAATATAAGGATGATGTCGCTGTGGCTACCTCATTATCATATTCTTGCTCCTCTTGCTGATAATATCTGGGTGATAGCTCTGGTGTCATGGGAAATTCACTAGGACTTGAATAGTATGATCCTTGTTGTTCAGATAATAGCTGCTCAGACCTAATGCTTCCCAAATAGTATTCTTCTTTTTCCTGTTCATTCGTGTCCCATTGAACAAGATTTTCTTCTATCGTGTAACATATAAAACATGAGAATACAATTTGTGAAACGCCTCTTCTTTTTTTACCTTGATCGGTGCCTGTGTCTTGAACTTCTTGCAAATAGTCTAATGATTCAGTTAGGCTTACTGTCAACTCAGAATCAGGATATTTCTCTAAAAACTGGTTCTGTTTATTAGTAAAGATGGAAATTAAACGAAATTCATTTTGAAAAATCTACCTCAGTTAACAGGTCGATAAGTGCATGAATGTACATAATTTGAGCATCAATCGGACTTACTCCTCGAAGTCTATCCCAAGCTTTCCTACAATAAAATTAATAATCTTGAATAAAACATTCATGTATAAAATCAAGTATATTTAATACCATTTTGCGTATTGAACAATATGTTTTGAAGACGGTTTTAATAGCATACAATCCCCAGCAAGTGTTTGCTTATAAAGTCCATAAAAATTTAGTCGGTCTGCTATTGATGGCTGAAACGCTCCTCCGCTTTCTGTTGGTAAACACCGCACTACCGCTAGTGCTCTACAAAATCGTACTTGAGTCATGTATAATGAAGCTGAACTTGACATTTTAATGTAAGGAAATGCAATGAGAAAAATGAAAATATAATAAAAGAGGACAATAATACCTTTATATTCGTAAAAAAAAAGTTTTATATTCTCTGGGCTTTTACACGTGATGAGTAAATAGTGACAGAGAGCGTGTTATCCCAAAGGAGGATGAAACAGGAAACTTTTGGGGTTCTATCCAACTGGAATGAAGGAAAGGCATATGTTTACTTGGTATGTAAGCAGTGTTTTGTATACACGTGAACTAAACAATTATGTTGTATATATTCGCCATGATACAATTTCTGATGAGTTCTTGTAGGGTTGACCTTGTGACTAAAGCGTCTGTGAAAAATAAGAAGGTAGAATCACGAGTAGACGCCAATGGGTAATAAAATACCGTAAAAATGACTTTTTTTAAATAACCTTATATAGAACCCAAACAAACATGGCCATTGCTCTTTATTTAACAAGATTGTGTTTTAAGTACCCTCTCGGCTTATAAAGAACAGTTTTTCGCAAACAGTATATGGGACGACTGCAATTTGTTCAGACTTAATCAGATGAATCTCAGATAAAAACAAGAAGTCTCTGCGATGTGTACTTATTGCAATAGATTAACAGTAATTCATCATAATTACAAACAAATAAATCACTGTACTTAAAAAAGAAAAAAGAAAAAAAAAGACGCCAGACAACGTTTCTTTGCCCTCTGTCTGTTTATCGATATAAGATAGAGTTATACAAATAGTATGTGGTGATGTAAACAATTAAATAAACTTGGGATTTATAAACAGATTCATGTCCTTTCCAACCATAATTCAAAAAAATTATAATTTCTTGCAATGATAAATGGATAGAAAAGTATCAAAAAACTACTTATATAATGTAAAACATTCATGTTGTGGAAAGAAGTATGAAACGTAATCACTCGTATTACCGAATAAATGCTAAGATTTGGGCAAAACCTAGCATTTCATCCTGTTTCAAGCTTTTCTTTTTAGAGATGTTACACACGCGTAATTTATTTTGTTCCTCTTTTGTACCGCAAGTTTTGGGGAGAAAGGATTGAAATTCCGTTACATATCCAATCTGCTAAATTCTCAAGTCAGTTATTTTTTTAAACAAAAAAGAGAAAGCCTGTCTCCGCTTTTTAATTTATTTATTGTCGTTACAGAGCCAATTTGGAATAATAGAGTGTTTAAAGAAACGATAGATGATATGGTACATTTTTTAAAGTTTAGCAGTAGGGTTGACAGCCTTGAAGACATTGTCGAGCTTCATGGCGAGCATAATTTGACCTTTGACCTTAAGCTTGCCACTCATATATGCCTTTTGACCTATAACCAATACAAATGAGTCCAACTTGATAATTACATCATATTTAAAATATGTAATGACTTACCGTTTAACTTGCCAGTGGCCAAATCGACAAAATCAGCATCCTTTAAGGACAAGATAGCATCAGCTTTGACACTACCCTTGCCACGAACAACCTTTCCTTCCTTCTTGACATCAACAGTGAAAACTTCTTCCTTTCCTTCGGAATTCTTAATAACAAATTGGAAGACACCGTTGACCTGCTTGATCATCTTTGCTCTTTCTTCATCACTGAACCCTTCGAAAGCTTTGTTCAATTCGGCAATGAGCTCGGAGCTCTTGAAACCAGGGACTACAATATCAGACATTTATTTGTTATTTAAAAGTTAATAAAGAAAAAAAGAAATGTAATTAATTGTTTTTCGGTTTTATATACAGCCCTTTTTTTTTAAAGTTAGAAATCGTTGTCATCCTGATCTTTACAAAAACAGAGGGGAACCGTCACAGCTATTTCTAAAGTGGTGAGAAAATTTTACAGCAAAACATATTCTTGGTGTAACGCTTCATGCTCTTTTATAGAAAGTTTTACGTTGCGTAATATTAATTTATGAGCAACCCATTTTCATGTCTCCTTCTTACCCCACACGCAAATTATGAGTACGTATCACATGCTTTCTTCTTATTTCTGTTCTTCTGGTAAGACAATAATTTTGCTAAATCAAAGGGCTGTATAGTCTATAATAGTTATCCAAATATGGTATTTTCACGTCTCTTTTTCATTAGATAAAAGTTGCAAATTTTTTGGTAACGAATATTTAACCAAAAGCTCCTATACAATTTTCAATATTTTTTGACAATGGGAAACTTAGGGAGGAAGACGTGTCATGCAACCCACGTAAATACAGATAGCTATTAAACGTTATACTTTCGTTTCGTAAATGGTGTATGGTCAAAAAAAGTTAAAACAAAGTACGGGCCTCTTAGGGATAGCCAGGGTGCGCGTAATCGTAATTTTGGGTTATAATATTTTAATAGACACCAAGAGGTCAATATAACTTAATATTTTGAACTAGATACAAATTTATTGCAATCATCATAGTTTAAACTAGTATATGTGTGTTATAGCTTACTTTCAGCTACTCGTTTGGACTTATTTACCCTAATATTCCTGCGTAAGATTAAGATCAAATGAGCTTAAAAGCGAAGGAGTGATGGTAGAACTGTCAAACCAAGTACAAATCATTTAATATACATTTATTCGTAATTATTATATTGTTTTTGATTATCTTTTCTTGTTTCTAAGTCTAAAGGATAGTCAAATCACAGATCTTACGTTGTGACTACGTGCACTTTGGTTGTACCTAAGGAAAAATTGGCTGCCCCTAAGAAAAGCGAATAAAGTATTTGCATGTATTACTTTCTATTTATAATCAGTTTCTGTCAAATGTCAACAAGAATAAGTATAAATACTATTGTTATCCTTCAGAACGGATTGACTCGTCTTAATAGTCTTTTGAGGTCCCGTCTTTCCTTTGCGATATGGATACTTGGCCACCCAACATTAGATTCAGTAGCGTTAAAATTATGAGAGGTTCTCTTAGGTTGCTAATTTTCCATGGAGTTAATTCTGGATATTAAAGTTTAATCATTTCTTCTTTAGCCGTATACCCATTTAAAAACTGTTTAGGTGCTGTCGTATGATTTCTGGCTTCAAAATCTTCACAGCAAACTTAATATAGCTCCCGCTAAATGCACAGATATATCCAGAATCTGGTGTTCTCTCCTATATCAATGTTATGATATTTCGGTTCATATTATGTTGAGAAAATGCGTGATCCTTGTCTACATGTTCGGAAGATTTGATTCAAACATTTTACCGCAACTATCGACCAGCATCATATTTTTAAAATCCTCAGAGGCCTCTTTAATTTGTTCAAAACGTTACACAGTTCAATTTCCAATCATGAGACTCTGTCAAATCTTCAGATTATGGCAGTTTTTTTTTTTTTTTTTTTTTTTTTTTTTTGTTATATCCTTAAAGGTACCTAAAAAGCTATTATCACTTCATGTCGGATAGGAAACCATTCAGACCAGACCAGGTTTCCATTACCGTAATTCAAAATCACCCATTTTCACACATAGGCCAAAGCAGTGACCACTCCTGAATTTTTCTTACCACTTTTTATTTATAACTCTTACTCTAATAATATCTTCATGTCCATAAGTCTTTCATGATCGCATATCTCTCACTAAATGGTAATTCGTCGAGTCTTAAAAGTTAGCATTTGCGCATATAAAAAAGAGAGAGAGAAAGAGTTTGGAGAAAATGTTTTTAATTTTATTAATAAATAATTACGATAGAAAGCAGTAGTAGTTAACATTAAATTTATCCGAATTTTGGTATAATTTAGTTCTTGGCAGCAGCAAGGGCAGCGGCTTGAGCACCAGCAAAGCTGTCCATAATGTGAGCATAAGCAGGCAAACGCTTAGCGAACAAAGCAGCCATACCGTTGATATCGTTACGCCAGTCACGTCCTAATTCACAAGCAACAGCAAACCAGTTGGTCAATTGGATACCACCTTGTTGCATTCTTAACCAAGAAGCATCACGGACAGCCTCAGTGAAGGTACCGGAAGCATCAGTAACAACAAAGACATCATAACCAGCCTTCTTAGCAGAGAGAGCAACGAAGGTAACACAAACATCGGTGACAATACCGGAAATAACCAATTGCTTCTTACCGGTCTTCTTGACAGCCTTAACGAAATCTGGGTCATCCCAAGCATTGATTTGACCGGGACGGGCAATGTAAGGAACACCGGGGAACAACTTCTTGAGTTCAGGAAGTAAGACACCGTTAGGACCATCTTCACGAGAGGTGGTAAGGACGGTGGCAGCACCAAAGTACTTGGCGGTTTCGGCAAGACCCATAACGTTGTTGAGATAAGTATCGGGGTTGTAATCACCAACTAAGTTGAGAAGACCGGTTTGATGATCAACAAACAAGAAAGCGGTATCATTGACTCTGAGACGGTTGTAAAAGTCAGCAGAGACGGAGGAAGCCAAGGCAACGGCACCGATTAAAGTAGCAGTGATAGAGAAACGCATATTAATGTTTTAAAGAAAATATAATTGTTTGATACTGAGAGAAAAAAAAATCTGTCAAGAAAGTGATCACTATTTATACAAAAAACCCTTTAATTCCCCCCTGAACGTAATGGTGTAATCGGAAACCTTAATTTTGCAAGCCTCAAATTCGAGCATGAGGATCGTGATTCAGCTGGTGGTTACACACATTTGTAATGAATGACAAAGATTACACAATGCAATACTTTGCGGATTTGTTTACAACCAATTTTAATTTGTCATTTTACTTTCGGATGTCTGTACAATATTTTCATATAGTAGACCTTTTTCTATGTCTGATCTAGACGATCTTTAATGTATAATTTTTTGTATCACGAATTAATAATGTTGTTGTATTCTTTTTCCCGTTTCGTTTTATTCATGATATTAAAATTAAATAAAACAAGATTTGCCTTCGTTTACGCCATTTTTATTAAACGGGATTGTTATTTTTTAAATAGAGGAATTCTTACTACCAAATAGAAACTGAAAATAATGTGGGGTCGCTTTTTGAACATATGAAGCATTGTTTTAAAATTTAATCATTGAGTACAAGCTTTTATGATGGAAACAACTTTTCAAGTCCGGATAAATGGTTATGATATTTCATGCAACTCCATCTTCAGGAACCAAATAAATTAATCTTATATTGCACGATGACTATCAAAAGTATTCCAGCAAAGTTCTGAGAACAAATAATCAAAGTTAGCCAGCGTTGTATCTAGTTTTATTTTTTTATAACTAACTGTGTAATGATGTTTTTGAAAATGCAATGAATTAAAACTGTTGTCATAAGTGCGTAATATTATATCTCACCAAATTAATTGTTGTTTTTGGATTGAATTTTTATCGCTATTGCGGTAAAGTATACAAACGATCATAATGCTTCGCGTACCAAATTAAATATATACCGAGACAGTAGTGTCTATATTTACAATTGTATACGAAGCATTTAATCCCGTATTATCTATGTTAAAGTAATAATTTTTTTGAAATAATGTTACGTGGTAATGAATCAATGTATGACAGTAGTGCGTTCGTTCCGTATGGCACATAAACTCTTGAAGGTGTTTTAATGCTTTAATCAATGTTTGAGTCAATTTGAATGCATTTATAATTGAAATAAATAGAATATTGAACAAAGGATATCTATGCTTTTCTTAATAATTTAGCACAAGCTTTGTTGTAGAGAACTGCTTTTCTAAACAAGCGATAAAAGTCTCATGGCGAAATTAATTGAAGTACATTAAGGTATATGAGGTTTAAAACTTCCTATAAACAGACATAAGGTAACTGCAACAGAATGTCTACAGAACACTCATATGTTATTTAAGAAAGTGTGGGTTTCTTTTTGCTAAATCTGCGTTCTGTGATTTTTAATGAGTACCTTCCTTGAGCTTAATTCTTCCAAGCCAAATATATTTGCTAAATAGTAAAACACTTTGATATAAATTGGAAAGATACAGCAAAAAGAATTTTTCTCTTGTTATTGTAACTATCTCAAAAGATTATTCATAATAAAGAAGCTAGATAACTAAAGAACATAGAGCATGTGTGTTAATCGTCAATTACTTTCTGTCAAAAATAAAATGATAGTTAGTAAATGTTGTGCTTTTGTCTTTATGAGTTTAGCACTAATGATTGAGAGCAATTGTTGTAAAGGTATATATAACACTTCAGCAGCGCTATTATAATTTAATCTAGTCAACTGCAGCTGGAATTCGTAGCTTGTTTGAGCCAAAAGCCAATATATTTCTAGCCAACATAAGTGTTTTGATGCACAGTGAAAATAACAGGCAGCTAAAATTTTAAAAAACCATATGGAAATAAGCTTTACTAGTTGTAATAATAATAATAAGCAGCATATGGTTAAAAAAAAATTGCTCTTTTCTAACCTGAAAACGACAAGAGTGGTCAGGTAAAAGTATCGGGTATCTTAGGGACAGCCAAATTTTCTTAGGGATGGCCATTTTACGTCGTGGTTACGTGCACTTTGACTGTCTCTAAGAAAAGCGTAAAAGTATCTTATTCTGTCGCAATGTGACACTTCAAAGTCATTTGTATATATTATATATTACCCTTTACAATATATCTTGGTTTATCTCAATTATTTTATAAGTAAATCATCAGTCATTTCCACAACATTTGACTAGCTTATATTTTCCTTATCAATGATCTCAAGACAATTAACCCACACTACCGCTATCATATTTTTTATGTAACCTTATGTCAATTTAAGTTCTATATTACATATGTTTCATGCATTGGAGTTACGCCCCCCATTATGTATGTGTGTATAGTACGATAATGGGTGGGCCCTTTACAAAGAATTAGAGGTATACGAATAAATTGTGTCTATGATTTTATTCAAACTGAGCTACTTTGACAATCGTTATCAACAATCTATTGTAATTTTTAGATATGTTTTTTTCAAAAAAATCCATGTTATTCTTAAGGTTGACAATGGAATACTACATTCATATGTTTAAGCCGAATATTTATCGCTTTATACGTCTCACTTTGTAATCTGATATTTTTTTTTTGAAATAAAGTAATGTTTTCTACATATAGTCTATCAAACGTGAATCGGAATACAAGATATCATTGATTTTTATTGATGTAACTGATGGTAGCCGGATTCATACATTAATTTTCAAGGATGACAAATCGCCGATACTTTCTGATTAGACAAAGCAAGGAAAATTTTGTAGAACAAAAGATTAATTATGGACAACTAATTCGCATGAATAATTTTTTCCATTAACTAAATTTGAATAAATGTAACAACCCCTAAAGAATAAAGTTATTGTCACATCGTTTAGCCATGCTTATTTTCTGGTACATGCCTTTATTTAATTTTACTCACGTTATCAAAGTACTTATAGATTTTGTGAAAAAGCATTACAAGAAAAAGTTATTTTAATTTTTTAGTAACTACATGAATTTGAACCAATGGCTTTTGATTTGGTTCTGTATTTACATCTATTGGGTTAATGCCATTCATTGAAGCATGGTTACACAAACATTTGTAAGGATCACGTAATCTGCAATAAATCCTCTGCACTATCGGAGATCATATTTGTAAACATTTATAAAGCTTTGCTAGCCAATCATTTATTTCCCTACCGGTTGACCATCATGCCTTCAGAGAACGTAGTAGAACGTGATTGTATTCATGAAATCATAGATTGAAAAATATGCAGGTTTCTAAGATCTGTGTGAATACAAACTTAATTGATTTATTTGGACTCGTATTGTTATTTTAATGTCTTGAATGTCTTTGCCCTGTAAATTATATCGCTGGCGAATAAGGTGAGTGCAAAGATAGGCTCCACAAATGACGAATTTAAAGTTTATCAATTCATTAACTACTTCAAGCTTTGTAATAAAAGTGAATTTTGATTATCAAGAAAACAACTTCTCTTAATAATAGACCCTATGACAAACACGTACACGTAACAAGTGTTCTTTCTGTAAATTGGTCTTGTGCCTGATCGAGATTTAGTTAGATTTATTTGACTTTAAAATGAAATTTACGACCGTGAAACCAGCAAGTAGGTAAGTATGTCAGAATTTTTTTTTTTGTAATCCACAAAAATCTTCAAATGGATTACAAATACCCCTTTTAGCCTATTTCGGGATGTACAAAACAAGATAATGTTTGACCTGGAATGAAATAGTGCGTTTTCGAATTGAGGCGTTTTTTTTTTTTTTTTTTTTTTTTTTTTTTTTGTGTACCATAGTACATTATTGCCCAAGCGATCTTGACTAATACAGTTCTTGCGGATTTCTACACTTCTTAAAGTAATAAATCGAAATTATTCCGCTAGATATAAATATAGCTTGATCTTTAACACAATCATTTTTTTTTTATTATCAAACCATTATATTTTCTTTAAAACATTAATATGCGTTTCTCTATCACTGCTACTTTAATCGGTGCCGTTGCCTTGGCTTCCTCCGTCTCTGCTGACTTTTACAACCGTCTCAGAGTCAATGATACCGCTTTCTTGTTTGTTGATCATCAAACCGGACTTCTCAACTTAGTTGGTGATTACAACCCCGATACTTATCTCAACAACGTTATGGGTCTTGCCGAAACTGCCAAGTACTTTGGTGCTGCTACCGTCCTTACTACCTCTCGTGAAGATGGTCCTAACGGTGTATTACTTCCTGAACTCAAGAAGTTGTTCCCCGGTGTTCCTTATATTGCCCGTCCCGGTCAAATCAATGCTTGGGATGACCCAGATTTCGTCAAGGCTGTCAAGAAGACCGGTAAGAAGCAATTGGTTATTTCCGGTATTGTCACCGATGTTTGTGTTACCTTCGTTGCTCTTTCTGCTAAGAAGGCTGGTTATGATGTCTTTGTTGTTACTGATGCTTCCGGTACCTTCACTGAGGCTGTCCGTGATGCTTCTTGGTTAAGAATGCAACAAGGTGGTATCCAATTGACCAACTGGTTTGCTGTTGCTTGTGAATTAGGACGTGACTGGCGTAAGGACATTAACGGTATGGCTGCTTTGTTTGCTAAGCGTTTGCCTGCTTATGCTCACATTATGGACAGCTTTGCTGGTGCTCAAGCCGCTGCCCTTGCTGCTGCCAAAAAGAATTAGATTTGACGCACATGTAATTCATAGAAGCAACTTTTCATATCATAATTATTTTACTTAGATGATAATGGTTTTAATATTAACAAATAATAATAAATTCTCCTTATAAAAAATATTGTGCCTTATTTAATTGTTCGTTTTCTATCTGAGTGATTTTTGTTTGCGTCTGCTAAGTTTTACACGAAGTGTTGACCAAGTTTATTAGTTATATCTTGTTCACTGAGAGATTATCTGTAATGTACCTATATAGAAATCTGTGCTTTTGTCTAGTGCCACCGCTTTGACTCGTAATGACGTAAGATATGAATAACTGTGGAGTAATAGATCATACTAAGTACAAAAAATAGGACACTTCAAACTGATTTGACGCGAAACATATTAAAATTGTTACATCAACGT